GTGGCGAGGATAAATTGTGGGTGATTTATCCTAAACAAGCCTTTCCCCCTTTCTCTTCTTCAGCTGAATGACGGGCAGTTCACGGTCATCCAGCTGGTGGGTATGCTGAGGGGGATTGCCTCAGGCATGCGGTACCTGGCTGAGATGAGCTACGTCCACCGAGATCTGGCCGCTCGTAACATCCTGGTCAACAGCAACCTAGTTTGCAAGGTCTCCGACTTTGGCCTCTCCAGATTCTTGGAGGAGAACTCTTCTGACCCCACCTACACAAGCTCCCTGGTAAGCCAGGGGCCAGGGCTAAGCATTCCAGCCCCAGGGGGAGGTAGTTGGAGAAACAGCAAGTATTAGCAGCGTTGGGCCCAGGAGAGAATGTAGGTGCAGGCAGGAGGGAAATCAGCTTCCGATGTGTAGAAAGAAAACCGATGTGGAGATAGGAGATTGGAGGCCTGGAAAGAAATGAGACCAACAGTAAGGAGGCTGAGGAAGGAAAGTCGTGTGATGGAGGCCAGCCTGGGCTACCTAGCTGTCTGGATCCTATCTCAGAAAGAGAAAAGATGTGGGGTGTGTGCCTGTCATCCCAGCCTGGCAGGTGGGAGCTGGAGCCGAGCTAGGGCCACATGAGGCTCTGTTTCTATAAATCATCTCGGGATGTGGGGCCAGGAGTCGGGAGATGTCTTAGTCTTTCCCTGTGGCTCTAATAAAATATGCTGACAAAGATACCCTTAGACAGGGTTATTTGGAGCTCAGTTCAAGGGACAGCCCGGGGCGTGGTGACAAAACCAAGGCAGGCAGGACCTGGAAGTGGCTGGTTACACTGCACCCACAGTCAAGACACAGAACAAGAAAGGAAGGCCTGTGCTTAGCTCCCTTTGTCCTGTTGATTCAGTCCAGGACCCGCGCCAGGAAACGGCACTACCTGCTTTTAGGCTGGGTCCTCCCACCTTGTTTAACCCCATTAAGATAATTCCTCTCAGGCACTGCCACAGGCTCATCTCCGAAGAGTCTAGATTCCGTCAAAGCAGGCAACGCTGTCCATCATGGGAAGATACTCCTGGGTCCTGCTGGTGCCTGGGTTCACCTTTCCTCCTCTTTCCACAGGGAGGAAAGATTCCCATCCGGTGGACCGCCCCTGAGGCCATTGCCTTCCGGAAGTTCACCTCTGCCAGTGATGCCTGGAGCTACGGGATTGTCATGTGGGAGGTCATGTCTTTTGGGGAACGGCCCTACTGGGACATGAGCAACCAGGACGTGAGTGTTCCACGACCATACCGAGATTCTTGCCTTGGATACAGGAGTGGGGGATAGTGGGGGGGTGACACGAAGAGGAAGTGATATTTATATCCAAGAGCTGGCTGCAGGGACTGGGACCCAAGTTCAGATCCCTAGCACCCACATAAAAGCCAAATTCATAGGCGCTCATCCGTGACCCCGTTGTACAGGGGTGTTGAAGACAGGCAGATCAGGGGGACTTAATGGCCCACCAGCATAGATTCAGAGAGACATTGTCTCAGGGAAGGTGGCTCAGCGGGTAACGTGCTTGTAATGCAAGCATGAGGATCAGAACTCAGATCCCCAGCACTCTCATAGACGTCAGGTAGGTGTGGGAGCCTGCCTGTGACCCCAGCATTTGGGAGGTGACCACAGGAGATCCTGATCAAGCTAGACGGGGATAATTAGCTCTGGGTTCACAGGAGAGATCCTGCCTCCATATATAAGGTGGAGTGTGAGTGAGGAAGACGGCTGATGTTCTCCTCTGGTTATTACGTGCAGCATGCACATATACACACACACACACATGCACACACACATGCATGCAGAAAAAGGAGAGATGGAAGATGGATCAGTGGGCAAAGGCACCTGCCGCCAACCAACACAGTAGGAGGAAAGAACTGATTCCTTCAAATTGTCCTCTGACCTCTATATTTGTGCTACCGAGTATGCGTGTGCGCGCGCACACACACACACACACACACACACACGCACACACGCACGCACGCACGCATGCACCCTGCTTCCACAACTAAGTAAATAGATAAAAGCAATAAAGAATAAAGAAAGCTGGAGAGCCATAGAGAAAGACACTCTTTATTGGCCTCCATGTGCACACATACACGTGAACAAACACACAGAGTTGGACTGGGATGTAGCATTGCTAGATTTGGGGATGGATGGTGAGCAGGGTTGGGAGGGTTACATTCTGGACTGAAGCCCGGGAGCTACCGGTGTGGGGGGTGGTGCTTTGTCAGCCAGGGCCAACCTCCACCCACCTAGGACTCATCACTCTGTTATTGGGTGGCTGTGGTTCCCAGCCCAACATGATTCTCTCAGATCTTCACCTTGTCCTTCTCCTTATCACCGCAGGTGATCAATGCCATTGAACAGGACTACCGGCTGCCCCCTCCCCCAGACTGCCCCACATCCCTCCACCAGCTCATGTTGGACTGTTGGCAGAAGGACCGGAATGCCCGGCCCCGCTTCCCCCAGGTGGTCAGCGCTCTGGACAAGATGATCCGGAATCCTGCTAGCCTCAAAATTGTGGCCAGGGAGAATGGAGGGTGAGGATCCCAGAGAACAGCCCCCTCCACCTCTGACTGCCACCACCCAAGAGCCTTTCTAAGTGGCCGGGGGTATCCGTCCATTTGATGACATATGGACTAGTCTGTGTTGGTCTTCCCAAAGCCCTCTGGTGTGGTCGCTGTCCAACTTAGCATTTCTCTCCATCTTTATCACCCCCACTCAGGGCCTCACATCCACTCCTGGACCAACGGCAGCCTCACTACTCTGCCTTTGGCTCTGTGGGTGAGTGGCTTCGAGCCATCAAGATGGGAAGATACGAGGAAAGTTTTGCAGCAGCTGGGTTCGGCTCCTTTGAGGTGGTCAGCCAGATCTCTGCAGAGTAAGTGGGAAGGGCGCAGCACTCAGATAGTGCCTGGGGACTCTGGGTCCGGCCTCAGGGACCGAGTGTTAGATTGGTGGTCCAGCACCATGCCCAGGGCTGCACACCAAACAAATCATGACCGAGGTTGAGACCCCGGATTCTCCCAGGTAGCAAAGCCCTGGGCCGTCTCTCTTCCCATCCCCAGCCTGTATCTATCTTTGTGTTTCTATCCACATTCCAAACCCGGCTCTCACATTAATGTGTCAACGCCGGTTCTCTTTTCCCACCCATAAAAGGAGAAGACGGGACTGAGATCTGGAAATCCCTTCCCAGCTTTGATCTTAAATGGTTTTATGATTCTATCAACTCCCAAATAACTGTTCTCTTGCCTGTCTGTACTTGGAGTGTCCCCTTTCTCCGTCTCTGATTCTCTCCCAAGGCCTTCGCTTACTCCAGCTTTGAAAGTGGGGGGAAAGGGCATAGACTTATGTAGGCAGGAGGTGGTGGCATACCGGTATAGCACTGTTCTCCCAGCTCCTTGGGAGGCTGAGGCAGGATTTTTCATTTGAGGCTAGTATGGCCTACACATCAATACCTTGTCCTCAATTTACCAAATAAAATAATATGTAAAATTAAAAAAAAAAAAACCCTTCAGAAGGTGCCTGGCTAGGTAGGTCCCCATCTCTCCTTAACATCTCTCTTGAGGCAAAGCCCCCCTTGATGCCCTAGTTCTTTTTCTGTTGGCCCCTTTCCTTATTTCTTACTCTTCTAAAGCAGTTTCTGAAGCCTCTTTCCCCTAACTTCTCTGAGGCTTTTCTCTTTCTGTCCTCTTTGGCAGCTGTGAAGTAGAGGCTTGGTGCCTAAATTCTGCCTAGCAGCTCCTGACATCACCACCCTATGGGCTTCCTGATTGGCCGGTCCCTAAACTCAGCCTGCCTTCTGTCCCCCCCCCCCCCCCCCCCCCCCCCCCCCCCCCCCCCCCCCCCCCCCCCCGCAGGGACCTTCTCCGTATTGGAGTCACTCTAGCGGGACACCAGAAGAAAATCTTGGCCAGTGTGCAGCATATGAAGTCCCAAGCTAAGCCAGGAGCCCCTGGTGGCACAGGAGGACCAGCCCAGCAGTTCTGACCTCCAAGGCCTCACCACGCCAGAGACATGGCCTCCCCTTCTTTCCGGGGCAGAGCGCGGGGACTCATAGAGATGCCCCTCTCCCCCCACCACAGCCTCCCATTGGATTGCACTTTGAACTGAGGGGGTTGGGAGTTGGTAATCTTTGAGACCCAGGATTTGGGGAGCTGTGCCATATGGGATGGTAAGAATTATCTGCCCTCCAGGCGGGGAACCCCAAACTCAGAGTGAGTCTTTCCCTCAAGCCTGGGCAAAAAAAATCCCTAATCTTCCATCTTCCCAGAGGGCTCACTCCCCAAGTGCCTTCCACTTCAGTGGGCAAGTTCCTGCAGACCAAAGAGAAAGGGTGACCAGCCTGCCAACTTGGGAGTGGTGAATGTCCCAGGAGGCAGGAAGGGGCTGTCAAGACCCAGTGATGTAATCATTGGATTCTGATGTCCCAACTTGCTGCTGTCACCACCAAAGGCAATCATTTTCCCCTTGTGAGTGCCCCTCCCCTCATCTGCCTTCATATTGAAGGCTCTGGATTTTTACTGTTTTTATTTTGTTATTTCTCCTTTTTCTCCCCTTTGTCCAGATTTTGTGTGTTGACGGGTACCTGTTTCCACCCTCCTGTTGGGAACAAGGACCCATTGATATGTTCTAGAACAGTGCCTTGGAAATGCCACAGCCCCAGACAGTTCCTTTCCCCTTCCCTCCCCCCAGCACCCTCAAGCTGTGTCCATGAGTGGAGGGGAGGGAGGGAGGTGGTAAAGGGGGCTGTTCAACAGAGGCAGACGGCGGTGCTTGGAAGGGGGTTCTTAAATTATATTTAAAAAGAAAATTTTTGTATAAATAAAAGAAAATGGGATATGTCCCAGTACTGAGTGAGGGTGACTGGGAGCTGGGATAGGCTAGGTCTCTGAGAATAGGGGACCCCTTGGGTCTGGATTTGGAGGGTCAGGTGAGGGAAGGGCCTGAGTGTTGGTTCCCAGCCCCAGGGTGTTATGTTTGGGTTGGTGGGAGGTGAGTCACTGGCAGCTGGTGCTAACTGCTCCAGCTGCCCCTGCCAAGAGCCTCAGGCACCTCCGGGGTGGGGCTGCCATCTCCTGCCCCTCCTCTGTCTCCTTTGCCTTGGCAGGGGCTGTATGAGGGAAGCCCCAGCCTATAGCCCACAGTCCTCCACAGCTGCGGATGGTTTAGTGGTCATGGGAGAGCTGGCCTGGGCTGTGGGGGAAGGGAAAGATGGGGAGTGGCTGAAAGGGGGGCCCTCACACGTGTGCACAGACGCCAGGGAGCTCTCGGGACAATTCCCCCATTCAGGATGCTGCCCAGGCAGGTTTTCCTGGCCTCCTGGGAAGAGGAGGGGGAGCTGCTCCCTCCCAGACAAGAGGAGGAGAGCCACCCCCCATCGCAGCTTCCACACTCCCCTTGTAGTGTCTGCTGCCTCTTCTGCCTTCCCTTTGGGACACCTGTGAGGGCAGGCCGAACCCTGGCTCGCCTGATGGAGCTTGAAACCTTTCCCACAGCTGCTCTCTGCAGTGGAGGGAGGCAGAGCCTCATAGCACAGGAACCCCAGGCAGTGTTCCTGTCTATGATTTCCCATGCTGTGAGCCTTTGTGAAGCCCCCAACGTGTGTGTGTGTGTGTGTGTGTGTGTGCGTGTGTGTGTGTGTGTGTATTCAGCTCTGTTGGGGGGTTATGTCCATGTGGATGTATGTGTCCACAGAGGCCAGAAAGAGTATGCTAGATCTCCTGGAGCTGGAGTTCTAGGCTGTTGAGACCCGGGTGTTGGGAACTTAAAATTCTGGTTCTCTGTAAGAGCAGCAAGGGCTCTTCACCACCACTGAGCCCATCTCGCTAGTTTCTTGGCTGTTTGTGTGAAATAGAGACAAACAGACGGGGTCTCTTCACTGACCTGGGGCAGTATACTAGCCAAGTGGGCTAGGCTGGGTGGCCAGCAAGTCTAGGAATTCAGTTTCTTCCGTCCGCAGTTCTAGAATGCTAAGCCCACACTGCCACCCCTGTTGCTTGGCCCCCTCCTCCACTGCAGACAGACTCCTGATTCTAGTGTTCGCCTACTGACTAAACTAGCCCCCCCACACACACACATATTTTGTGACTAGGGCTTGCTATATAGTCCAGGCCAGCCTGAACTCACTATCCTCCTGCCTCAGCCTCTGGAGTGCAGAGATAGGCACGAAATCACACTAAGTTCTTTGTCTCCTCTCTTCCTGGCGGGTGGGAGGGGCTCAATACTACAAGGAAGGGGAGTCTCTGGGGCACCAGCCCAGCCGACTGCCCCACATCCACCCTGGGGAAGAATGAGGATGAAGGCCAAAGGAGCGGAGCTGCAAAGATGGTGGCCAGGTGGAGAAACTGGGCTCAAGGCAGGAGGCTGCTCTGCAGAGGTGCACTGTGCCTTCCCAGGTAAGGGGAAGGAAAACACGGCCGTGCAGGGCCCTCCATGCCCAGCCCTTTCGATACTTGGATTGGGTTTGGCTGGCTTCAGGAAAGGTCCCCGAAGGTCTAGTTGTCACACAGATGGATTAATCATATCTCCCAGGGCATGTGTCAACCTGCTAAATCCCAGTGTCTTGAGGTCCTAACAGTCCGATCCACCACTAGGTTTTGCCTAAGCAAGGAGGAACCTAGAAGGAGACAGACTCTCAGGGTGTAACGTATACACCTTGGCCTTCTCTGGCTGGGCTAGGTGGTGGTCCTTTCTACTTGGGTTGTCAGAAGGGCTCCCAAAGCCTGTAACCCCACCCACAGTTTCCATGGTAACCAACTGAAGGGTAACCAACTGGAGAAAGGGAGGAATGAAGAGGGTGTGACACCCTCTGGGAGGGGGACAATTAGAAACAAAACCTGGAATAGCCTTGCTTCCCCCTAGTGGAGGAACTCAGAGGCCCAGTCCTCCACGAACCTGGGCTCTTAGACCTGTGGAGTCCCTAGACTCAGGAGCCTGAAGTAGGAAGACTCTGAGCACAATGAGTGCAAGGCCAGCTAGGGTTATAGAGGAAGTCTGAAGCCACCTTAAGCAAGGGGCATAGCAGTGACATGGCTCAGCTGGTAAAGGTGCTTGCTGCCGAGCTTGAGTTTGGTGCCTAGGTAAAGAGAACTGACCCCCTCTAGCTGTCTTCTGACCTCTACACGTATGTGTGAGCATCAGAACAAATAAAACCCACTGGGTGCTGGAGAAATGGCTCGGTGAAGTGTTTGTTGCCCATTTATCCCCATGGCCTGACGTAGCAGTCTGCACTAGAACAGCAGTGGGGAGCAGCCGGGAAGGAGAGGTGGATGGATATGTGGGAGCTGGCTGGCCAGCTAGCCTAGCCGCTGGGCAAAGACAAGGTGGAAGGGGCCCGAGGAATGACAGCAGGGCTGTCCTCTGCCCACTACGTCTTGAGTGTGCACACAGGGAAGTGTGCAGCTACTGGGCGAGAAGCGTGCTGGGGTTCAGGATGTTGGGCTGAAGAGACCGCTCCATGCCTAAGAGCACTTGCTGCTCTTCCGGAGGATCTGAGTTTGGTTCCCAGCACCCACAGCAGCTGGCTTAGAACTGCCTGTGACTCCAGTGTCCTCAGGTTCTGGCTTTATGAGCATCTGCACACATATGGCAGACATTCTCTCCTACACGCACACACACTCAACGAATAAAGCAAAGTTCTGACTCGGGGTGTTCAAAGGGAAGCTCCTGCAGGCTCAGGAAGTAAACAATTCAGGACGTCCCTCGAGCTGAGCAGACGCACTAGGCCCCTCTTGGCCCAGCCTATATCAGCAGTAAGGACTGCTGAGAACACTCGGACAAGCTGGGGATGCCCTCCAATCTGTCAGGCTGCCTGCAAGTCGTGCAGCGAGCACCGGGTCTCCAGCTGCCATGAGCCGGCGCGGCTACCTCCGCGTCATTTCTGCTGCTGTGACTGCTCATGGACACTCATTAGTTCACCACGCTGGAACTGGGCGGTGTTGCCACTTTGGTCCATTGTTGGTTCCCTGTCTGGGATAAGCAGATGTCTATTCATGTCTTTACAGGAACGGGTGTCACACAACAGCACCTGTACACACACGGACACATATGTGCACACACTCACACATGTTTTTTAAAATGGGGTCTCTGGGGTAAGGAAAATGTAGGACGAGCTCTGGTGCGGAGTGCTTGCCGAGCATTCACAGAACCCTGGGCTCCAGCGCCAGCACAAACTACCAACAGTGACATGTGCCTGTAATCTCAACAGGTGGAGGCAGGGCAAGTCCAAAGTCATCCTCAGTTATATAATAATTTGTCCTAAAACACAAACAAACAAACAAACAAAGCATGTGCATGGGAAGCCTTTTCTCCTGACTTGCAGGGCTCTCGGGCCAGTTCATCCTTCCTTCCAGGAGTTTCCGTCCCTGCCCTTCTGTCTTCCATTGCTGGTTATCAAGACTGAGTGGCCCGCTGGTCTGGCTTTCAGTGAGTGAAATTCTCCTTCCTGAGCCTTAAGCCTCTCTCCCTGTGGACCTTTGCACAGCATCCAGCCTCTAGGGACCCACACACACCTCTTTGTCTCCCACACAAACTGCCTCCACCACAATCAGGGGAAATCCACATCTAAAAGCATTAAGTATGGAGAGCTGGTACAGTGGTTAAGAGCACTGCCTGCTCTTTCAAAGGTCCTGAGTTCAATTCCCCAGCAACCACATGGTGGCTCACAACCATCTGTAATTAGATTTGTGCCTTCTTGAGGAAGAGACCAGGTCAGTCATCCTCATAAATTTAGATCATGAAACCCAATATGGACAAGTTCAATAGAACCTCCATACATGGGCTGCCCATGCGTGCTTCAGCATTGCCAGGGCATAAAATAAGTAAGTAAGTAAGTAAGTAAATAAATAAATAAATAAATAAATAAATAAATAAACAAATAAATAAATAGCGAGGTATCTCAGTGGAGAAGGCATTCACTGTGAAGTGTGGTGACCCAGGCTCAATCCCTACATCCCACAAAGTAAAAGGAGAGAACTGATTCCCACAAATTGCCAGACTTGAGAATGGCAGCCATGTGCACCCCACATATACATAACACACAGCCACACAATAACAAATGTAAAAAAAATTTAAAAAATAAATTATTTCATCTGTTTTTCTGAGGACAAGTCAGAACTTGGAGGCTCTGAAGGCAGGCTCTGGAACATCTGAGGAGAGAGCAAGGAAGCCCACATTGGAGGAGGACTCACCTCTTGGCCAAGACTTGACGCCCCCAGAGCTGGCTCTTACCTGTACCCTCCAGCCTATGTCTATTTTGTCTCAACAGTTTCTCCCTAGAGGTGGTGGGGGGACAGAGGAGGAGCACAGGTGTTGTGTGCATCAGGCCCCACCCCCACTGCCCGTTCACCCCCGGCACCAGGACTTACCTCCCCCTCCTCGCTATGGCAGTTCTCACTCTAATCAGCAAGTCGGGGACTAAGAGCACCACAATCACTCCTGGCACGATGGTCAGTAAGCTGGATAATTCTGAGGGTAGAAAGGAAATAGCAATGGGGCTGGAGTGGGCTCAGTGGGTAGAGTGCTTGCCTTACACGCTCAGAACCCCAGGGCCCATGTAAAAGTCAGATGTGGTGGCTCATGCCTGTCTTCCCAGCAATAGCAAGAGGCCCCCCTTATCCTGGCCCTAGTGGGTGAAGACAAGTGAATTCCTGGACACTGGTTCAGTTTCAGGCCAGTGAGACCGTGTGTGTGCGTGCGTGCGTGCGTGCGTGTGGAGGTCAGAGGATAACCTGCAGGATTAGTTCTCTATTGCCACCTGAATCCCAGGGATCAAATTCAGGAGGCAAATTGGAGACAGCCACGTTGACTCACTGAGCCCCTGTCTTAACTAATAGGTGGGAGACATCTCAACAGCCACACCCAGGTTGTCCTCTGGCCTCCTGTGCAGACTGTGCCTGTGCATATTCACACCCTCCCCCACGACAGGGGTAGGTGAAAGGGTGGGAGGCTGAGGGAAATGGGAGGGAGCACTGCCTTCAGGTCCGTAGCTGTCAGCCTAAGGCATCTTGGTCTCCTAAATCTCTGGATGTCTAGTTCTTTCTCCAGGAGGCTCAGGGACTTGAAGATCTGAATGCCCTCGTCCAATAGCCCTTATTATCCGCAGTCACAACTCCCTAAGACTGAATGAGGCTGTGTGTGTGTGTGTGTGTGTGTGTGTGTGTGTGTGTGTGTGTGTACAGGAGCAGATGTCTATTCGTGTGTTTATACACACATGTGCAGGCCAAAGGACACCCCCTGCTGGTATTCTTCAAGCACAGTCCTCCTTCCCCAGCACTAGGATTACAAGTGTACACCCAGGTTTTCGTGTGGTTCTGGGGATCAAAGTTGGGTCCTTGTTCTTTCAGAACAAGTAACTGTGTTACCTCCCCAGTCCCCCGCTGGCCTTGAACTCACTATTTTGCTGAAAATGACCTTGAACTTGTTCCGACCCTATACTCCCACCTCCTGCTTACTAGGATTATTAGCACACACCTGGCTGAACTTCCACCCCGCACCCATTTGCTTCACTCTGGCTATTCCTGTCCAGGACCTCTCCATCACCTTTTGACTTTCCATATATATATTTGTTATTTATTTATAAGAAATATACACATTTCCATATATAAAAATATATAGCACAATGTAATTTAAAGTATATTAATATACAATGTACCCAAAATATTTATATATAATCATAAACTATATGTAATAAGTAATTATGTATTTTAAATATTACCTATAGTATATAATACACAATATTGCCTATGCTATATTACTTATTATACTATATATAATAGCTTGTGATAGATTAATAATATTGTATAGTATACCTATCATTGTCACCACATCACACATCTGTATATATAACAGATATTATAATTGTAAAAAAATTTAATCAAAGTTAAATAAATTAAAATTAATTAATATATAAGATACATGAAAATTAAAAACAGAGTAATATATAATAGACACAATGTACATGAAAATTAAAAACAGTAATTCTGTGGCAATGGCCAGTGGGACAGAGGCCTGGGATGTGGTTGTTACCTAGCTTTTTTCTGGACGGGATATCCCGAGGTTCTGTGCAGAGTTCTCCTCCATAACCCAGGTCACAATGGCAGATGAAGGTGTCCCCTTGCTCCTGACACCGGCCATCATTGTGACAGGGGTTCTGTAGACAAGGGCTATCTGCAAGGGCAGAAAGGTGTGGGTGGATCCCAATAGGATATTCACAGTGTAGGAGACGCCTGGCTGTGGGACAGGCCCCAGGGAGAAAGCAGCAGTCACCAAAGCTGCTCTGGGGTTCAGGGAATCTGCTTAGCCTCCCGAACCCCCGCATGTGTGTGTGTGAAGGTCCAGAGGTCAACTTCAGGTGCCATGCCTCAGCTCTCATCCACCTGCTCATCTGTCTGTTTGTTTTTCAAGACAGGGTCTCTCTGTAGCTTTAAAGCCTGTCCTGGAACTCACCCTGTAGACCAGGCTGGCTTTGAGCTCACAGAGATCCGCCTGCCTCTGCCTCCTGAGTGCTGGGATTAAAGGCGTGCACCACTGTACCTGGCTGGAACCCTATTTTCATTGCTCATACAGTGGGGTGTTGTGCTTTCCACTAAGTAAGGAACAAGTCTATCCTGGGGCAGAGCTCTGCATGGCCGGTACTAAACGCCTGGTAAGAGATGGTTCTTTTCAGACTTCCTGAGATCAAGCAGGAATCCCACCCGGGCAGGAATCTGACTCAGGGAGGGAGGGTAAGCCTGGTGTTGGAGACCACAAGGACCCAGGCTCACCCCGGAAGCAGCCTCGAGTAAAGTTGGCCACGGTGCAGGCCTCTCCAGCCCTGCAGCCATAGGGCTCACACAGCAGGGTCCCCTGGCTTGCGCAGGTGCAATGCTGGGAGCAGTCATCAGTCACATAGCTGTCACCTAGCTGGAAAAGAGGAAGTGAAGGCAGCAGACATTCTAGATTCATCCTAGATCTCATTCTCCATACCTGGATTCCCAGGCCTCCGCTGCCCAGACCTTGTAATAGAGGCCATTGGTGGTGCAGCCGCACTGTGTCACTGGGAGGCTCTGGGTATCACTGTAGATGTAGCCCGGGATGGTGGCACAGCCTTCCATGCAGGGACCTTCACAGGCCTTGGGGGTCACAAACTTGGCACAGGATGCTGGGCAGGGCGTCATACAGGGCTGGTACACAGTACTGGCAGGGCATGTCATGGCTGAGGGACAGAAGCGTGGTTAGCAGCTGGCTGGCCTTGGGGCTGGTGAGTAAGAGACAGAAAGCAGGGCATACGGTCATTCAACAGAGCACAGGGCTCCCTGTACACAGGGAAGCTCGGGCGAGCAGGCCCGGTCCGCCTCAAGTGTTGTCTGGAACATACGACCTTTGATGAAGACAGATGGACATGGGAGGGTGGGTACAGCAGGACATAATCCCAGCACTCAAGAGCTGATCCCGAAGGGCACCAGGAGTTTGAAGCCAGCTTGGGCTATGGAGTGAGATTTTGACGCAAAAGCCAAGAACAGGAGCTGGAGAAAGAGCTCCGCAGTCAGGAGCTCGATCCTGCAGAGGATTCTGGTTCTTTCTGCTCCCAGCGCCCACATGGCAGTTTAGGACCACCTGTAACTCCAGCTCCAGAGGCTCTGACACCCTCCTCCCACCTCTGTGGGCCTCAGGGTGCACATGGTGCACAGAACGCATGCAGGCAAAGCACTCATACATGTAAATCAAATAAAAATCAGTAAAGTTTTAAAATAAATCCACCCCAAAGCATACACGGGATAGCGCGGGAGTTAAAGCGCTTCTGCTCAAGTCAGGTGTGGGGACCTGAGGAAACCTGGGGGTTGACAGGCAGGCAGCACTACCTCCTCACCAGGCACTGGATGAGAGAGAGAGAGAGAGAGAGAGAGAGAGAGAGAGAGAGAGAGAGAGAGAGAGACCCTGTCTTAAAAAACAAGGTGGGCTAGTGAGATGGTTTTAGTGGGTGAAGGCGACCTGCCTGGATCCCTTCCCACATGGCGGAAGTTGTCTTCTGTCTTCTGACCTTCACATGTGTGCTGTGGAACATGTGCACCCACACATACACACAAAATAAAGAAATGTAACTGTCCCCCACCAAACAAACAAAAGAACAAAGTAAATGGTTCCTGTTCTCTGGTCTCCACACATATGTCTGCATGCATCCAAACACACACGGACACACACATATATAAACATACAAAAAATAAAAGAAGAGAAAACAACAGAAAAAAATGGGCAGAGAGGAGGAGGGGATTGGACAGCGGAGGAGTGGATGGGAGAGGGGTCAGTCTGGAATCACTTGCTGCCTTGAACTAGAAGAATCAAGGGAAAGGCCACGGTGAGGGCGGTGGCAGCAGCAGAGCTGAGCAGACAGCAGAATGACTGAGGAGTGAGAGCCGGCTGCCGGGCAGAAACAGAGCCTCACCACAGTGCGTCTGGTCCCGCCAGCCAGTTGTGTTGGCACCTGCCTCCTGGCAAATGATTGCGTATCCACTGAGGACCCGGCATCGAAACTCCTCTTCTTCTTTGGTTTTCCAACCAGTGCACACGTCGGACATACAGTGTCTGGGGTAGAAGGGGAGGGTGGAGTAGGTGTGCTTTAGAGAGGGGGAGCAAGGAGAGCCAGCCTTGTGGAAAAAGGGCCCAGGCAAGGGGCTGGGGGCTGGAGACATGGCTCAGCTGACCAAGTGCCTGCCTTGCAAGAATAAGAAAGGGCCTGTTTGATTCCCACTATCCATGCTAAAAACAAGCAGGGTGTGGTGAGGTGCTTGTAATTCCAGTGTTGGTGAAGGGGAAACAGGAGGGTCCCTGAGGCTCACCAGCCAGCCATCTTAGCCTAATCAGTCAGCCTTAGGCTCAAGTTAGAAACTTGTCTCAAAACAAGGTGGAAGCTGGGGAGATGCCACTAGGAAAAAGTACCTGCTGATCAAGTATGAGGAATTGAGTTCGAATCCCACACATGCCTGTAATCCCAGTTTCGTCAGGGAGTAAAAACAAAAGGATCAATGGGGTTCACTCTCTCACAGTCTAGCCAAAAAAACCCCAGTGAGCTGCAGGTTGGGTGTGAAACCCTGTCTCAAAGGAATAAGGCAAAGAGAGAAAGCAAGACACTGGACTTTAACTCTTGATGACCCAACACTCACACAAAAGGAAAGAAAGGTGGATGGCCCAGAAGTCGATCTCTGACCTATGTAAACATACATGGCACATACACTGAACGAAAAGGTGCGTGCCCATTCCCCTCGCAAATCCCCCCAAGTAGATAATAAGCAAAAGCTGAGGAGGCAGCCAAGTTGGTAGAGTGTTTGCTTAACATGCGTGAAGCCCTGGGTTCCATCCCCTGTACCACAAAAGCAAGGCATGGTGGCCCACGCCTGTAATCCCAGCACTTGGGAGGTGGAGGCAGAAGGATCAGAAATTCAAGGTCATCCTTAGGCATATATTAGCCTGGGCTACACGAGACCTAAATAAATACAGAATAAAATGGATTAAAAATAAAATAGAGAAGAGGGGCCCAGAACCCCACACAGAAAGTCGGCAGGCTAGAGGGGTAGCATGGGGATAAAGGATTGCAGAAAAACAGGATGTAGAATGGGGGGAGTCAGTAGGAAATGGGGTCACAAGGGAGAAGAACCAAGCCCACAGAGCTAGAGGGGGTCAGAGAGGAAAACCACAGCAGGAATCTGGAACATTCTTGTGAGTACTGGGCCTGTAACTCACTGCTCGAAGGGCTCTGGGGCTACAATCTGGTGACAGGCAGCAAAGGGACCCTGGGGGTCCACCACCACCCTACAGGCCTGGGTGCTGCTGAGGAGCGCTGTCTGCTCTGGGCTGCACTCTGACGGCAGAGGGTCAGACTCTTCCTCTCCCCCTTCTTCTGGTAGGGCCCTGAAGTGGGGATGCCAAGAGGCTGTGTGAGGTTTGGGAGGGAGGTGAACTTGAGGGAAAAAATAAATACAACAAATGTGCAGAAAAGTGAAGGAAAGGACAAGGGCACATGGGGATTTCCAATGAGCAGCTGTTCCCACTGGTCAGTAAGAGACCGAGTGACAGAAGGTGAGTCCGTGTTGCGGACCAGAGGGTTAAGGCAGTGGAAAAAGAGACTTGCTGGGTAGGAGATACCCAACTCAGAGGGACAGTGCCTGAAGAGAATCCCCCAGTGAGGGGCTGGGGTGTGGCTCAGTGGTAGAGCCCCTGCCTAGAATCCCCCAGTGGAGGGGCTGGGGTGTGGCTCGGTGGGAGAGCACCTGGCTTTGATTCTCAGTAAGGGCAAGGAGTGTGGCTCAGATTATGTGCACAAGTCTACAGGTTCGGTCCTCTACACCTCCAGTGAAAGAGACTCTTAGTCATCTCCCAATCCCCAGCCCTCACCTTGGCAATCGTAAGAGGGCTTTCACCATCTTCACCTCCCAACTGTTGCCAAAGGCATTGATGTTTGAGGTGAGTGTTCCACTGGGCAGCATCAAGTCATTGGCTCGGTCCTTATCATAGTTTCCACACAGGCCCCGTATCAGCCCACGGTACATGGTAGGCAAGGAGATCACTGCAGGACAAAGTAGTGAGCCAAACTCTGCTCTCCCCTCCACAATCTGAGTCTCCCTTTCAGGCTGGGGGCTCTATTCCCAGGTATAAGACATCTTCCTCTGACCTATCTGAGCTGTGCCTTTCCATCCCAGAAATGGGGTTCCTATTTTTCTGTGGTTATTGGCTTTATTGTTGCTATTTTCATTTTTGAGACAGGGTCTCATATAGCCCAAGCTGGACTCAAACAGGCTATGTAGTTGAGGCTAGCTTCACACTCCTGACCCTCCCGCATCCACTTCCCGACTGCCGAGAGACTACAGGTGTGCTCCAGCTGTGTAGCTGAGGCTAGCTTCTCCACACTGCACTGTCAGTTTCTTGGTTAGGGTTTGATTGGGTTCTTTTTTTTTTTTTTCATTTTTCGAGACAGGGTTTCTCTCTCTAACAGCCTTGACTGTCCTGGAACTCGCTCTGTAGACCAGGCTGACTTCAAACTCACAGAGATCCGCCTGCGTCTGCCTCCTGAGTGCGCCACCACTGCTTTACTGGGTTTCTTTGGGACAGTATTGCACTGTAAGCCCTGGACAGGCTGGAATTCACGATGTAGACCACATTGTCCCCAATCTCACTGGAGATCCTCCTGCCTCTGGCTCCCGAGGGTTGGGATTACGCATGTGAGCGAGCATGCCAGGCTCAGAGACAGGTCCTCTGCGGTCTGAGTCTGTGCCCCAGTTACCTGCAGTGTGCTTCCCGTCGAAGTCCACCACCATTTCAAAGTCAGTGAGGAGAAACAGCCGCTGCGCCCGCAGGAAGACCCCCAGGCGGTCATTTGGGTTGTAGGGGATTGCCACCTTTTGGTTGTTGACCTTGAAATGGAAGACTGTAGCTGCACAGTGTGCTAAGTGGGCCACACTCACTGCTGCTGTTGTCTGCGCCTGGCTTCGCCCAGCTCGCTGGAGTTTTCATTACCCCCAGTGTCAGAGACCTCCCTTTATACCCCAGTTCCTTCCTTGCAAACACTCAGAAAGAGATAGCTCAGTGGGTAGAGGCACTTGCCACTGATCTGGAGGACCTGAGGTCGACTTCCAGGACCTACACGGTGGACTCAGAGAACTGACTCCTCCAAGATGTCTTCTGACCTCCACACATGCCCAAACACGTACAATAAATAAGAAAGTGTGCCAGAGAGACAACCCATAGGTTGACAGTGGTTGCTGTGTCTCCAGAGGACCTGCATTCGGTTCCTAGAATCCTCGTTGGACTGTTCACAACTACCTATAACACTAGATTCAGGGTTCATGACACCTTTTGGCCTCTGTGGGCACTCATACATATGTGGATATACTTACATAGACACACATAAATAAATAAATGATAAACAAATAAGTAAATATTTAAAATTGAAATAAGTGTAAAAGGATGCTGCTTTTCTAGCCAGCCCCGAGGCGGCTCCAGCCCCGTTACCACATGCCGTCCTCCCTTCTGCCCCTCCCTCCGCTCCCTTCATCCTCCCAGCTCTTTCTTCAGCCCCTTTTTTCCAGGAAGTGGTACCAACTCTGACTTCTAAGAGCAGTCTGCACCCCTGGAAACTCCCTGACAATGGAGCACTCTGGTTTTGCTAACCACAGGCGGTCTACAGTGGTCTCCAGGTTCCCTTCAGGTCTGGTCGTGCCCCTTTACTCACCAAAGCCACCAGCCCTTCTTGGAGCTGTATTTTATAGCCGTAGACGTTCGTGGTCACTTCATGCAAGGTTGGACTCCCTTTGGGGGATATTTTGTTGCGCCCCTCTATGACCAGGTGCTCCATCCCCTCTGGGAGTTTGTCCACTGTCTTTATGAGATAGTAGTTCATCCGACCCAGGAAGCGGTAGGAGAAGCCATCGAAAGTGTGGTAATAGGGGTCCCCAAAGATGGTACATTTTTCCAGTTCTGTCAAGAAATGTGCACACTGAGCCGGGCGGTGGTGGCGCATGCCTTTAATCCCAGCACTCGGGAGGCAGAGGCAGGCGGATCTCTGTGAGTTCGAGACCAGCCTGGTCTACAGAGCTAGTTCCAGGACAGGCTCCAAAGCCACAGAGAAACCCAGTCTCGAAAAACCAAAAAAAAAAAAAAAGAAATGTGCACACTGGAAAGGACCTCAGCCCAGCTACTGGTCTCCCAGAATCTCTTCCTAACTGTGGTATTTCTGATTACCCTCCCTCTTAGGCCAGGGGCCCTGCCTCTGATTCTTTCGGTCACCAGGGCTCCCCTCCCCTCCCCCTCCCCCACGGCTCCCTTACTGTTGGCCGCACAGTTACTGCTGCCGTCATCACTGTGCTGGCAGTGGGACCCTGTGGGGCAGCTGAAATTCCGGCACTGAACAGCTCCATCCACGCAGGTACAGCTCTGGGTGCAGCCACTGGAGAGCCAGGTCTTGCCTATCTGCAGAAGGCAAGGGAAGAGAAAGGGAGTGAGGACAGGGGTGGTAATTCTAAAGAGAAAGGCTTGGCTCCCATGAGAATGGTTTGCATTGGACCTCCCTACCTGCAGGTCCCATGTCTATCAAGCCAACTAACTATGGAATGAAAATATTTGAAACAATTGCCTCCAGCTTTTATATGTGCCTGGTCTTACTGTAGCTTGCAAGGCTGTGTTTGGTTGGTGTCCCTGGGAGGTCTGCTCTTTTCTGAACAGAAAAGGAGAAGTGGATCTGGGGAAGAGGGAAGGTGGAGGGAGGGAAGGAAGGAAGGATGCAGTCTGTGTGAGAGAAGAACAAATAAAAAGAAAACATAATAAAATAAAACTACCACATGGTCCAAATATCAAAAAATTGTATCTATGGTTAGGGGTAGATCTCAGTGGTAGAGCCCCTGCCTAGAATCCCCCAGTGAGGTGTTGGGGCACAGACAGTAGAGCCCCTAGAATCTCCTAGTGAAGGGATAGAGTATGGGTCAGGGGTAGACTTAATGACTACCATGAATGAGGCCCTAGGTTCTAGAAAGAAATTTTATGTCATTATTCCCTAAATAATACAGCAGAACTATTTGTGTAATCCCAGCCTCAGCCTCCAACTTTGGAGGACCCTCCCCTGTGCTCTTCGAACCTTGACCCTTCCCCAGGAAAGGTCAAGACCATTCTCACAGGCAATTTAAACGGCTCCCCAGAAAATAAACATGTGTTTTTCCCTTTTTCTCTCTGGTGGGTGATGGTGTTGGCGGCTTCCGGTTCCCCTAAGGGTCACCTGGGAGCACAGGCATCTAATTAAACCTGGATATATTTAATTTGGTCTGATTTGGTTTAATTAGAATTATTGTGTGTTGGCGGAGTGGCTGGGTTAGAAAATATTCCTAACATCTTGGAGGTCCCACCAAGGGGTTGTTTTTCCCGCGGGTCCACAGCCACGTGCTGGAAACGCCCTTATCCTCCCCCCACCCAGCTCTCCGACAGGCTAAATTCGGCTCCGGGCTAGGTAGGCTTCATTGTAGTGAGTATCTTTTTCTTGCCTATACTACTAGGGTTTTGTTTGTGTTTACTTTTCTTGATTTTCGGGCTTTTGTGGAAGATGTGGTCCGCACCAAAAGCCTCACCCACGTGGTGAAAGCTGAGACTTTTGCTGAGGTGAATTTTGTTTGTGCAGGGACGCCTGACAATTGATTTTCACAGCCCTGTTTGGGCCCAAGAGTTATTTCAGTGGACACACTGTGATAGACTTGAGCCACACAACTGGGCATAGACTTTTAAAATGGGCGCTTGCAATTCAAAGCCAGATCCGTTATCGCCCTGGAATGCCTCTTAAAAAAAAAAAAAAGTCTTTATAAATCTGTCTGATTCAATCTGTCCCAAGCGGCTAATTTCTCTATACACTAAGATTTGGCCCCAGTATGATCTTGACAATGGGACGTGATGGCCACCAGAGAAAAGCCTTGAGTTTACTGTCCTCCAAGACCTAGAAAATTTTTGTTGCTGTGGAGATAAATGGACAGAACTCTCTCGTGTTCACGATTTTTGGGCACTGAATTCTTGCCCCTCCCTCAGTAACCAGTGTCTTGCAGCACCAGTTTTTGTTGCTAGGTTCATGGTGCTTCCAGATTCCCAGTCATCTTGGAACTGGGATCCTGATAGCTTGGCCCCTCACCTACTCCCTGGAACCCTCACTACTCCCAACCCCCCTATAGAGCAACATTCTTCATATGCCTCTCCCTACCCACCCTCACCTACTCCTTCCCTAGCCAAACCGGAAGTTCAAGGTCAACTTTCCCCTTACCCACCTTCTCCCCGCCCTCCACCCCATCTTCCTATCCTCGGACCCCCTTTGCACAATGGGTTAACTCCCCCAATCCTTCCTTGTCTCCTCTCATATCAGATCCCACCATAACCCTGTCCTTCTCTATCCTCTCTGGGAAGTAGCGGGAGCTGATGGCATTATTAAAGTCCATGTTCCCTTTTCTCTTCCAGATCTTCCTCAGAGAGAAAAGCAGCTGGGGTCCTTTTCTGCTAATCCTCCTGCTTATATTAAAGAGTTTCACTGTCTGTCCCAGGCCTACGATCTAACCTGGCATGACTTCTATGTCATCCAGGCTTCTACTCTCACTCCTGAGGAGCTAAGTAGAATTCAGGAAGCAGCTAGACAGTATGCAGACCAGACTCATCTGTACGGTCCCTGTGGGGGAAGTGGCTGTGCCAGCCACAGAACCACACTGGGACTACCAACCTGGCCAAAGCGGTTGGGCGGGGCATCATGGTTCATTGCCTCCTTCAGGGTATGGAAATGGTCTCAGAAAAAGTAGTTAATTTTGACAAACTTCAAGAGATCACACAGCTAGCTGACGAAAACCCAGCCATTTTTTAAAATAGGTTACAAGAGAGCATGGTCCAATATACATGGCTGGATTTAGCCTCCCCGCAGGAGCCATGGTCCTAGCTACCCATTTAATTTCTCAGTCAGCACCAGATATTAGAGAAAAGTTAAATCCTATACAAGAATTGGTGAAAATAGCCTTTAAAGTTTTTAATGCCCAAGAAGAGAAAGCTGAGTCTTCCTGACAGATGAGGGTGTAACAGGCAGTAATGCTCCAGGCCCAAGCCTTAGCAGCTGCCCTAAGGCCAACAAGACTCCTGGAAGGGGGATACAGGAAGTCAACCACAAGGCTCCATCCCAGCAGAGCTCAGCTTAAGTCAACCTTGCCAGTAAGCTGCTTCAAAGGTGTTCTAGCCAGGCGGTGGTGGCGTATGCCTTTAATCCCAGCACTCGGGAGGCAGAGGCAGGTGATCTCTGTGAGTTCGAGGCCAGCCTGGTCTACAAGAGCTAGTTCCAGGACAGGAACCAAAAGCTACGGAGAAACCCTGTCTCGAAAATCAAAAAAAAAAAAAAAAAGGTGTTCTAAATGGCCATTCGGCACAATATTGCCCTGGGCCTCCTACAAGGCCATGCCCTATCTGCCAGCAATGTGGACACTGGAAATCACAATGCCCCCATGGGGGCTCGTCCTCTACGTCACACCATGGAGGTCCAGCCTCACCAACATCAACAAGTGAGAAGAGAGCCTAAAATGTAGGTCATAAATATCACCCCTTATACAGTCTTCACCCCTCTCCAAGAAGGGTCAAGGTAGCCAGCCAATCCTTGACCCTTCCCCAGGAAAGGTCAAGACCACTCCCACAGGCTATTTAGATTGTTCCCCAGAAAATAAACCCGTGGTGTTCCCTTTTCCTCTCTGGTGGTCGCATTGGCGACTTCCTGTTCCCCTCTGGGCCACCCAGGAGTGCAGGTGTCTAATTAAACCTGGATATCTTTTAATTTGGTCTGATTTGGTTTGATTGGGATTATTTTGCATTGGCAGAGTGGTTTGGTTAGGAAATATTCCCAACAATTTGTATAACTTTACATAGTCTTATTATAATTCATGTAGAATTATTTAAATCAAATAGGAAGATATATCAGTACTATGTATTTTACTTATTACTTGTGTGTGGATGTATGTGTGTGAATGCATGTGTTCATGTGTGTGTGTGTGTATGTGCATGCATGTAGACATATATGCACGTACATGTGTAGAGGAGGGCCAAAGGACAAGCTTTTCCTTAGGAACTGTTCACCTTGTTCTTTGAGGCAGGGTGTCTCATTAAGTCTTGAACTTGCTAAGTAGGCTAGGTTGGCTGGCCAGTGAGCCCTGGAGATCTATCTGCCTATCTCCACCTCTTCAATGCTGGGATTACAAGTAAATAATACTACATCTGACTTTCAAAAAATAGAAAAAATACTTATTTTGGGCATTGGATGCCATAGCATATGTGTGTGGGAGGGGTGGCCAGAGGACATTTCTTTCAGTAGCCTGGGATCAAAGTCAGGTCACTGGGCTTTGTGGGAGGAAATGGAGCAACAAAGTTCTTCCTGTTTGGTCACCCTCTACCTTGGTTTCAGCTGCGGGGATTCCCGGACACAGTTCCCAATCTATGAGGGCTGGGAATGTGGCTCGATTGGTAGAATGCTTGCCTATGATGTACAAAGCCCTGGCTTCCACCCCAGGCACCACACAACCCAGGCATGGTGGGGCAGCCTGTCATTCCCGTTCTCCAAAAGTCAAAGCAGGAGGACCTGGAGTTCAAGACCATCTTCAGGTATGCAGTGAGTTTGAGACCAGCCTGAGTTACAGGAGTCTTTATCTTTGAAAAATGAAAAAAACAAAAATTAAAACTCATTCTAAGGTCTACCAGCTTTCACATTCCAGGGCCAACCATATAAACAGGCGCATCCAAGGCTGAGAAAGGCAGAGGGTGCCTGCCCCCCACTCCCCGCCATCCCAGGCTCCACACCAACTCACTGGGATGAGGTCACCCTTGGCATCTTTGCAGCCACATTGGTTTCTGGGTACACACTTGTCCTCACTGAGCAGGTAGTCAGGTCGACAGACACAGCCCTCCTTGCAGGTGGAGGAGTCTTTGGGGCTGACGCCCTCACAGTGGCCTTTTGGGTTGGAGCAGGAAGGCAGACAGGAGGGAAGGCAACTGGTGTAGAGGCTGTTGGCTGGGCACTTCAGCGCTGTGGAGTGGAAGAAGAATGGGGCTCAGGCCATGCCTCGGATTTCTCCAGCCATGAGCTGGTTCTGTCCTTCCCTTCCCATGTGCTCCCTTACTGTCGGAGACACAGTTACTGCTGCCGTCTTGATATTGTTGGCAGTGGGTCCCTGAGGGGCACTGGAAGTTCTGGCATTGAAAGAGTCCTTCCTTGCACGCACAAATCCGGGTACAGTCAGTAGAGATCCATGTCTGGCCGGTCTGCAGAAGTCACCAGAAGGAAAAGAGAGAGAGAACATAGGGCTTAGTTTTCTGTCCAAGGGTCTTATATTTGCCCTATGCACCTGCAGGTTCCATATCCACCGAGTCAACCAACTACAGATGACAAAAAAAGTCCTTTTAAATTGCCCACTGGGATTGTGGGCATAACCGAGCCTGACTAGAACACTGAGTGAGGGATGGGAACATGGCTCAGGGGGTGTGACCCAGTAGTAGCTAGAGTACTGGCCCAGAATTCTTAGTGAGATGTTGGCAGTACCCAGTGGCAGGTATAGTGCTTGTTTAGAATCCCCCAGTGAGCGTTAGAGGTATGGTCCAGCAGAGGAACATCTGTCTAGAATCCTCCATTGAACACTAGGACATGTGGTTCAGTGGCAGAGCAGTCCCCTGGCACGTGCCAAGACTCTAAAACCTTCAAACCCCGGAGCTAACCATATAAGTAAGAGTATCCAGAGAGACAAAGAGAAAGAAGCTCTAATCCTAACCTTAAAAATCTAGGTGTGCGTGTGTAAATGGGCATACATCCATGTTGAGGTGTCACCTCTTATATCATAAGAAAACTGGGGTCACAGACAGCTGTACCTAGCTTCCATGGGTAGTGGGAACTCAACTCAGGTCCTCACATTTACGGAGCCAACTCCCATTCCCTCATGGCAGTCTCCAGGCCTGCTTACCTGGATGAGGTTGCCCCGGGCGTCCTTGCAGCCACAGTGAATTCTGAGCACACACTTGTTGTCATGCAGCACGTAGCCGGATCGACAGACACAGCCCTCCTTGCAGGGGGAGGGGACCCTGGGGCTGGAGCCCTGGCAGAGGCCCTCTGGATCCGAGCAGGTAGGTAGACAGGATGGGAGGCAGCTGGTGTAGAAGCTGCGGGCCGGACATTTCAGAGCTTTGTGGCAGAAACGGAGTGGCATTAGTGCAGAGAACCAGAGGAGCCCAAGGAAGCAGAGGCCATGTTAAACAGGGTGGGCAGAACAACTAAGAAACTTTAGGGCTTCCTCTGCCCCTTTTGTTATTCATCCAGCAAAGATTTACTGAGTATGGACTGTGTCCCCCAGAGAACTACCTTCCTTCTTGCCCTCTCTCTGATCCTTCCCCCATGGCTTTCTTACCGCTGGTGACACAGCTTCTGCTGCCATCTTTATTGTACTCGCAATGGGACCCTGTTGGGCATTTGAAGTTATGACACTGGACAGTCCCTCCTCTGCAGGTACAGCTCTGGGTACATTCACCAGTGATCCACGTCTTGTTTTCCTGTAGAAGCCACAAGAGGACGAAGTCCCCAGCGAACAGCAGAGGGTGTAGCTCAGTGCAAGGGGACAGAGCAGCAAGCAGTAGGGCACTTGTCCAGCATATGCCAAGAAGTGACTACCCTTCAACTCCAGGACAAGCCATAGAGATAGGAGCATCATGTGACAAGACAGATAAAATGGCTCCCAAGACCACTTTCAGAAATGTGTTTGTGTGCCCACGCACATTTGTGTTCACGCATGTGTGGGTGTGCATGTACTCCTGAAGGGCAGAAGACATTCTCAGGTGTTGGTCTTTCATTCCACTTTGCACCAGAACAGGTTCTCTCTCTCTCTTTCTCCCCATCTCTCCCTCCCTCTCTCTTTCTCTCTCCCATCTTGGTTTGGATGATGCTCACTACTATGTACACCAGACTGTCTAGCCTGCACATTTCTGAGGGTTGTCCTGTTTGTACCTTTCATATTTCGGCAGGAGCTCTGGGATTACAAACCACTGTGCCCAGTTTAAATGGATCATGGGGACTTGAACTGAAGTTTTCACCCCCCACCCTTTCCACACACACACTAATCCCATTTTTCACGCTCACTCACTGGAATGAGAGTGCCCTGGACATCTTTGCAGCCACACTGGATTCTGGGCACACACTCGTCATTATTCAGCACATAGCCAGGTTGACAGAGGCAGCCTGCATTGCAGACGGCAGGGACTTTGGTGCTGGTGCCCTCGCAGTGCCCATCGGGATTCAAGCAGGAGGGTAAACAGGAAGGAAGGCAGTTGGTGAAGTGGCTGTGGGCTGGGCATTGAAAGGCTGTCGGATGGAAGTGGCGTGGTGTTAGTGGAGAGGGCCTGAGAATGATGGTGGGAGCAGAGGCTTCAGAAACCAGGCTAGGACGAATGACCAACACAGCTTGTTTGTGGGTTTCCCCTCCATTCATTATTCATTCATTCAGCAGACGCGTAGTGAGCATGGACTGTGGTGATTCCTGAGAGAGTGGCCCTCCTAAGTCAACACGGGAGCTGAACCATTGGGAGACACTGAGCAGAGGCCCTACCGTGGGTTCCCAGACCCCTCCCCTCTGTGGTAGCTCCTACCTCCCATCTCTAAGGCCCAGGAGACTAGGTTCCTCTTGCCCTGCTTCTGATTCCTCCAGTAAAGAGGATACCCTCACCACCTTTCCCAGTGGCTCCCTTACTGTTGGCCGCACAGTTACTGCTGCCATCATCACTATGCTGGCAGTGGGTCTCCGAGGGGCAGCTGAACTTTTGGCACTGGATGGTCCCATTGATGCAGGCACAGCTCTGGGTGCAGCCACTGGAGATCCAGGTCTTGCCTGCCTGCAGAAGCCAGGGAAGAGAAAGGATGATTCTAAGGAACCAAGCTTAATCTGCAAGTTCCACACCTACTGAGTCAACTACTAGAGTGAGAAAAACTGCATCTGAACTTACAGGTAGAGTGGCTCAGTGGTAGAGCCCCTGCCTAGAATCCCCCAGTGAGGGGCTGGGGTGTGGCTCAGTGGTAGAGCCCCTGCCTAGAATCCCTCAAAGAAGGGCTAGCTAAGATGCTCAGAGAACATTTGTCTAGCATTTTCCAGGCCCTGACTGATCTTCACAAACCAGGGCCAGCCATACAGACAGATTTATCCAACATAGAGAGAAAGAGACAAAAGGAAAAGGTCATCAACAATCTAACTTTTTTTTCCGGGCGGGGGGGGAGTAGATAATCTTAGTGCTTGTGTGAATGTTCTTGCGTGAGAGAGCAGGTGTACATACATGTGGAGGCAGGAGGACAAGCTCAGGTGCGGGGTATGACTTTCTACCTTGTAATGAGACACGCCTTCCCCCTTGTCGTTTACCTCTGGCCCCCAAATGTCAAAGGGTCCCTGCTGTGTCCCCCCATTGCTCAGTGCAGCCCTAGTGTCGCGTTCAGTCTACATGAATAACGAAGATTAGAACTCGGGCCCTCAGATGGGCGTGAGGGCGCACGCCTTTAACCCCAGCACTCGGGAGGCAGAGGCAGGTGGATCTCTGTGAGTTCGAGGCCAGCCTGGTCTACAGAGCGAGTTCCAGGACAGTCAGGGCTACACAGAGAAGCCTGTCTTGGAAAACAACAAGAACAACAAAAAGAACTCAGATCCTCTCCATATTTTCAGCCTCAGCCTCCCCCCACCCAACTTCAGAGGCCCACTCACCAAGATGAGGTTACCCTGGGCATCTTTGCAGCTGCACTGAGTTCTGGGAATACACTTGTCACCGCTCAGTATGTAGCCAGATTGACAGATACAGCCCTCCTTGCAAGTGGGGGAGGCTCTGGGGCTGGTGTCCTTGCAGAGGCCATCGGGGTCCAGACAAGAAGGCAGACAGGAGGGAAGGCAGCTGGTATAGCGACTGTGAGCTGGGCACTGTCCAGCTATGGAGTGGAGGGAGAACAAGGTTAGTGGAGAGGATGGGGTGGGCTAGGAAGCAGGGACTAGAGAAACAAGGACGGGCGGAGTGGCTAACAGAACTCATTCATTGTTATCCATTCAGCAGAGCATGGACTCTGTGCCAAGCCCTGAGGAAAGAAAATAAGAATGGTTTTCCGCAACTCAGTATGGGAAACTATTAAGAGATTAGCAGTGGAAAGGGACCGTTCAGTAAACATTTACTGACGTGGGCTGTGTGGGAATCCCTAAGAGAAGAAAGTAAGAAAAGGTAGATCTCCCAGGGTAACACGGGACACTAATTCTGATGGTTAGTTTTAACTATCAATTTGACACAATGTAGAATCATCTAGGAAGAGTTGTAATAAGTCTTGTCCAGATCAGACTGGAACCGTCTGGACTACTATTAATTGATATAGGAAATTCAGGCCACTGTGGATAGCAGAATTTCCTGGGTTTGGCCCTGGGCTGTATAGAGTAGAGAAAGCTAGCTAAATGCGAGTGAGGGGGCATGCTTGCACTGCCCTTTGTCTGTGTGCCTGTGATTAACTCTCTAAGTCCCCACAGTGATGGGCTGGAACTGTGAGCCAAAAGAAGCCCTTTGTCCCTAAGCTGCTTTGTGTCACAGCACATGGTATCCCAGCAACAGAAACGGACTGTGACGTGACCACAGAGAGCCTGACACTGAGAAGGACACAGCCTAGCCACAGTCTCCAGAATCCCTTCCCACCCTGTTATCCCTCCAGCCCCTGAACTCCGAGGCCCAGGGAGGGGCCTGGGCACTTTCTTGTCCTGCCTCTGCTTCCTCCAGGCATGAGGACAGTCTCTTCAACTCCCTTCGAGGTTCCTTACTGATTTCAGCACAACTGCTGCTGTTATTCTCGATGTCCTGGCACTGAGTTCCTGAGGGGCACTGGAAGCCCCTGCACTGAATAAGTCCTCCCATGCAGGTACATCTCTGGGAACAGCCTGTAGCAATCCAGGTCTTTCCTGCCTACAGAAGTCACAGGAGGATGCAGGAAGTAAGGAGACAGGCTTAGCCTGCTGTCTGAAGGGCTTGTATTTGCCCTCCTTACCTGCGGGCTATTAAGTCAGCTAAGTACAGAACCAGGGGAAAATTGTATCTGGAGCTGCCTGGTGGGAGAGGGCCTATGTAGACTCCACTAGGAAGAAGGTGGGAACAGATTATCTGTCTGGAATCCCCCAGTGAGGGGCTGGAATATGGCTCAATGAAAGAGCACGCTCCTATGTTCCGGGATCTGAACATCTCCAGGGCCAGCGATATAGTCACGTACATCCCAGGCACACAGAACAGGGAAAGAAGGAAGACCCCAGTCCCAGACTCTAAGCTCACTCACCGGGATGAGAGCACCTTGGGAGTCTTTGCAGTCACACTCAATTCTGGGTACACACTTGTCCCTGTTGAACACAAAGCCGGACTGACAGAGGCAGCCTTCCTTGCAAGTGGAGGGGTCTTTGAGGCTGGTGACCTCACAGTGCTCCTTCAGGTTGGAGCAGGATGGGATGCAGGAAGGAAGGCAGCTGGTGTGGTAGCCGTGGTCTGGGCACTGCAGAGCTACAGGGTGGAAGGGTGTGAAGTCAGTGCACGGGGCTGCAGAGAGCCTGGGAAGTAGGGACTAAAGGAACTACGCGGGACAGGGCAAGAAGAGCTTGTGATTTTCCTCTTTGTTTATCCGTACAGCACACCCTTAGTGAGCATAAACTGTGCCAAGTCCTGAGAGAAGAAAGTAAGAAGAGTGGGTCTCCCAAGTCAGTGTGGGAGCCAAATGACTAGGAGGCGAAAGCTGAGAGGAGACCCTGCTGTGGGCCCCCAGAACCCTCCCCACTGTGGTACTCAGTATCCTGATCTCGCAGGCCCAGGAGAACACACCCTCTCCATTTTCCTTATCAGCTTTGGCACAATTATGACTGCCATCATCACTGTCCTTGCAGTGAGTCCCAGTGGGACACTGGAAATTCCGGCAACGTATGTCTCCTGCCAGGCAGGTACAGTTCTGGGTACAGTCTTTGGAGAGCCAGGTCTTGTCTGCCTGCAGAGATCACGGAGAGAAAAAAGAAGTAGACATCTAGAGATGGTTGTTCTAGGGAGACAACTTTGTGCCCTGTCTGAAGGACTCACATTTGTCCTCCCTGTCCACAGGTTTCATTCTATAGAAACAACCAATCGCAGGTGGAAAATACTGGAAAAACTATTACAACGGGGAATTTCGGTATATCTCAGTGGGATTGTGCCTATTTAGAATCTTCAGGTGACGGATAGGTATGTGGCTCAGTGGTAGAGCCCCTGCCTAGAATCCCCCAGTGAGGGGCTGGGGTGTGGCTCAGTGGTAGAGCCCCTGCCTAGAGTCCCCCAGTGAGGGGCTGGGGTGTGGCTCAGTGGTAGAACTGTGGCTAAGAAATTTCCTGTAGGGTCTGGGATCACATCTCAGTTATAGAGCAAGGCTTTTCAGTATTTGCCTTGAATCCCAAAGTGACAAACATGTAAGGGGATGTGTGGTTAAATGATAGAACACTTCCATAGCATGTGCCATGCACATCCAAGTTTCACACTGCAGGACTAGCCATAAATACAGGAGAACCCCAGATGGACAAAAGCAAAGGGAAAGAGAAATGGCTACCAATCTCACGCTGAAAAAAATTTTACATTTATATTTTTCTTTGTGTGTGCACACACATGTGCATACATGGTCATCAGAAGGCAGCTTGCTGGAGTCATTTCTCTCCTTCCACCACATAGGTTCAAGAAATTGACTTGGCCTATAGGCAAGTGCCTTTGTCTCTGGAGCCAAGCTCCAGGTACACTACTTTTTTTTTAAATTACTTTTATTTTATGTGCTTTTGCCACCAGTGTCAAGTCCCCTGGAACTAGAGTTACAGACAGTTGTGAGCTGCCATGTGGGTGCTGAGAATTGAACCCAGGTCCTCTGGAAGAGCAGTTAGTGCTCTTATAACCTCTGAACCATCTCTCCAGCCCCTACTTTTAAAAAAACTAATCTTTGTGTTTCTCTATTTAACGATGGCACACGTATGTGTGGAGGTCAGAGGACAAATCTTGGGTGTTGGTATCACCTTTCATCCCATATTCAGATATCAGACAACACAGATTAGCAAGCCCTTAAATTTTGGGGATTCTCCTATCTCTACCTCCCATCTCACAGAAAACCCTGAGGCCTCCAACAATCAGTTCGCCGGACTGTAGAGGTTCCAATCATGTCCTTACTCACTGAGCCATCTGCCCGGGTCCACCAGGCTTACACTTGGCACACACTCACCGGGATGAGAACACCCTGGTCATCTCTACAGCTGCACTGAATTCTGAGTATGCATTTGCCGTCATGCAGCACAAAGCCAGATCGACAGACGCAGCCCTCTTTACAGGTGGAGGGGGCTTTTGGGATGGTGCCCCCACAGAGGCCCTCTGGGTCTGAGCAGGAAGGTGGACAGGAGGGAAGGCAGTGGGTGTAGCGGCTGTGGGCGGGGCACTTCACATCTATGGAGGAGAGAGAGTAGTGTTAGCAGATGGGGACAGAGGGGTCCAAAGATACAGAGGCTGCAGAAACCGAGCTAGGATAAATGACCAACACAATTTGTGCTGTCTGCTTTTTTTTTTTTTTTTTGATTTGGTTTTATTTTTCCTTTGCGATTCACCCGGCAACCACTTGACAATCATGCGCTGGGTGCCAGCCTGAGGAGAGAACAAATGAATATATCTCCCAAGTCAGTGGGAACCTAGCACTAAAGAGACTAGCACTAAAAAGGGATACAATCCAGAGTGGGGCCCCAATTCCTCTGTATTGTGCTAGTTCTCATGACCAGCCTCTGAAGCCAGAGACTACCTATGCTCCTTGCCCTGTCTCCACCCCTGCAGCCACAAGCACCCCCCTACCATCCCCATTGCCCTCTTACTGACGATTTTGGTGCAGTTAATGTTGCCATCTGGGCCATTCTGGCACTGAGTCCCTGGGGGGCAGTTGAAGCTGCGACATTGGACAACCCCTCCCATGCAGGTACAGCTCTGGGTGCAGCCACTGGAGACCCAGGTCTTGCCTGCCTGCAGAAGCCATGGGAAGAGAAAGGAAGTGAGGACAGAGAGGCTGTTCCGGGGACACAACCTCACCTTGTGTCTGAACAGCTTCAATCTGCCCTCCCTATCCATCCCTAAGTTCCACATCTATTGAGTCAACCAGCCATAGGTGGAATGTATTTGAACAGAGAAATATATGGGGAAGGAGGATTAGCAGTTCATTGGTAGATCATGGTCCTAAATCCTCAGTAGGGACCTCAAAGGATACTAGCTCAGTCACACAACTCACCAGCCTAGAATTCCCTCAGTGAGGGGCTGGGGTTTGGCTCAGCAGGTAGAACTACTGTCTAGAATTTATAATGAGGGTTTGGAGGTGGGGTTCAGTGGTAGAATCTTCCACTGATGGACTGGAGGTGTAGCTTAGGAGTCAAGCACTTGCCTAGCCTGTGCCAGAACCTGACCATCCTTCAAACTCAAGGGCCAGACATACAGACAGGAGCATTCCAGAAGAAATTAGATCAAAAAAAAAGTTTTATATGGCTCCAGAGATGGTTTAGCTGTTAAGAGCACTCGCTGCCTTGTGGAGGACCTGGGTTCAATTCCCAGTACCCACATGGCTGCTCACAACTCCTGTAACTCTAGTTCCGGGGAATCTGATGCCTTCTTTTGGCTTCTGTGGATACCAGGTTCCCAAATGATATACATGAATACATGCAGTCACCCACACACATAAAATAAGAATAAATCTTTTTAAAGATTGTACAGTGTGTGTTCACGTGTGTGTGTTCATGTGTGTGAGTGCTGGCCCACATGCCAAAGCAGTTGTGGGGGTTCTCCTTTCTCGGCCTGCCATGTTTTGGCAGAGTAATGGGATTCCAGACACAGGTAACTGCCCATCTCTAGTGAGTTGTGGAGATTCAAACTCAGGTCCTCACACTTGCACAAGAGAACAACTGACCCACTGAGCAAGCACTCCCGATCTTCGCCACACCCACTCACCGGAATGAGGTCGCCCCGGGCGTCTCTGCAGTCACAGTGCATCTGGAGCACACACCTGTTGTTGTGCAGTACATAGCCAGGCTGGCAGACGCAGCCCTCTTTGCAGGTGGAGGGGACTTTGGGGCTGGTGCCCTCACAGTGGCCATCCAGATCAGTACAGGAAGGTGGACATGGGGGAAGGCAGTTTGTGTAGCGGCTGTGGGCAGGACATTGCAGAGCTATGGGGTGGAGGGAGATTGGTGTTATTGGATGGGGCCTAAGGAAGTGGAGAAATGGCCCATAGAGCTTCAGGATTTTTTCCCTATTGTTATTAATTTTGAAAATATTTACTGAACATGGGGTGTGTGTCAAGTCCTTAAAAAAAAAAGTAAGAATGGATCTCCCAACTAAATGGGCAAGACTAACCATTGAGAAAGCAGCAATGAGAAGGGTCTCAGCAGAGCCAAAGGTCCACAGACTCTCTCCCAACCTCTGAGGCCCAGGAGCTAAGCTCCTTCTTGCCCTGCCTCTCATCGCTCCAGTCATTAGCACACCCTCCCCACCTTCCCCCGTGACCCTCTTACTGATTTTGACACAGTTATAGCTGCCATTATTGCTGTCCTTGCAGTCAGTCCCCAGGGGGCACTGGAAAGTCCTGCACTGGATGGTCCCTCCCATGCAGTTGCAGCTCTCTGTACAGTCTCTGTTGAGCCAGGTCTTGCCTGCCTGCAGAAGCCACGAGAAGAAAACTGAGGAAGAGGCCAGCTCTAAGGAGACAGCTTCTTTATATAGGTTTAGGTATGTAGGTTTGTTCTCACTGCATCTACTGAGTCAGCAAACTATGGGTGGAAAATCTTTGAAAAAAATAATTGCGTTAGGGGATGTGGGTGTACCTTAGAGGCACAGCACCTGCCTGGAGTCCAGTAGTTAGAGCTGGAGGTGTGGTCAGTTATGGACAGCCTGCCTAGAGTTCTCAGTGACAGGCCATGAGCAGCCTTCACACTCTAGAGTCAGTTCTGAAGACAGGCACATCCATGTGGTGGCACACACGTTCACTCCTAGCACTCAGGAGACAGAGTAAGCGCATCTCTGTGAGTTCAAGACCTGCTTGGTCTGTCTAAATAGTAAATTACAGGACAGTCAGGACTACAGAGAGAGACCTTGTCTCAAAAAACAAAAACAAAACAAATAAAAATATAGGCACATCCCAGGTTAACAAAAGCGTGGGAAGAAGCACAGTCCACTTTTACTTTAAATCTCTGTGTGCATGTTTTCATGTACGTTCATGTGTGTTGGAGTGTTTGTGCAGATATGTGTGAAAGTCAGAATATAGCCTGGAATATTGGTCCTCACCCTCTTACCTTGTGTTGTGAGGCTGTCTCTGGGCAATCACAAGACTAGCTAGCCTACACGTTTCCAGTAGAAGCTAGGAGCTACCACATCCAGCTTACAAAGGCTCTGGAGATTCAAACTCAGGCCCTCACACTTGTAAGGCAAACATTTTACCCAGTGAGCCATTTCCTTGGCCACCCCACCAATCCCTTTCTTTCCACATCTACTCACAGGAATGAGGTCACCCTGGGCATCTCTGCAGCCACACTGAATTCGGAGCACACACTTGTCATTATTCAGTAAGTAGCCAGGCTGGCACACACAGCCCTCCTTACAGGTTGCGGGGACTTTGGAGCTGGATTCCTCACAGTGGCCATCCATAATTGAGCAGGAAGGTGGACAGGAGGGAAGGCAGCTGGTGAAGTGGCTGTGGGCGGGGCACTGCAGAGCTTTGGGGTAGAGAGAGTGGCGTCAACAAGGGACCCAAGTGAGCACAGGTTATAGGAAGCAGGTCTGGCCAAGTGAGCAATGCTCTTTGGGCCTTAGTTTGCTTTTGTTTTATTCATTTAGTAAACATTTACTGAGCATGGCCCTGTGACAAGTCCTGAGAGAAGAAAGGAAGAAGACAAGTCCCACGTCGGTGTGGGAGATCACCCACTGAGACTGACACTGACAGGGAACTCAGCTGCGGGTCCCAGAACCCACCCCCACTATTGTAACTTTTGTTTTTTTATTTTTAAATATATTCATTTATTATGTATACAATATTCTGTCTGTGTGTGTGTGTGTGTGTCTGCAGGCTAGAAGAGGGCACCAAACCTCATTACAGATGGTTGTGAGCCACCATGTGGTTGCTGGGAATTGAACTCATGACCTTTGGAAGAGTAGGCAATGCTCTTAACCACTGAGCCATCTCTCCAGCCCCCTATTGTAACTTTTATACCCAGCCTCTAGGCTCAGAGGAAGAAGCTCCTGTCTTGCCAATCAGGAGCACGCCCCCTCCACCTCCCCTGTGGGGCTCCCCCATGGCTCCCTTACGTATTTCAGCACAGTTACTGCTGCCATCATTGCTGCCCTTGCAGTGAGTCCCTTGGGGACACTGGAAATTCCTGCACTGGATGGCGCCTTCCACACAGGTGCAGTTTTGGGTACAGCCTGCAGAGATCCAGGTCTTGCCTGCCTGCAGAAGTCATAAGAAATGAAAGGAAGTAAAGTCTGAGGGTGGCTTTTTATTTATTTATGTTTGTGTGTGTGCACATGTGAGTGTGTGCATATGCGTATGACAGCCCATGGAGGCCAGAAGACACATCAGTCCCTTGAGGCATTTGTTATAGGCATTATAGGCATTTGTGAGTAGCTGGGATCAAAACTCCAATCCTCTTGATAGAGGAGCAAGTGCTCTTAACCAAGGAGCCATCTCTCTGGCACCTAGTTCTCAGGAGACAACCTCACTTCCTGTAGGAGGTACTTACGTCTGGCCTCGCTGTCTCCAGATTTCACACAAGTTGGGTCTACCAACCATCTCCCTACCATCCTGATTCCCAGCTCACTCACCGGAACGAGAGCACCCTGGGCGTCCTTGCAGTCACACTCAATTTTGAGCACACACTTGTCATTACCCAACACATAGCCAGGTTGACAGAGGCAGCCCTCCTTGCAGGAAGGGACTTTAGGGCTGGTTCCCTCACAGCGGCCATCAGGGTCAAAGCAGGAAGGTGGACAGGAAGGAAGGCAGTCCGTGAAGTGGCTGTGGGCCGGGCACTGCAGAGCTTTGGATAGAGGGATGGTAGGGTTAGTGGAGAGGGCACAAGGAAGGCATGGCTGTAAATATCAAACCAGGCAGAATGACCAACAGAGTTCGGGGCTTTCCCCCTTCCTCTTAGTGTTCATTCACTGAGGATGGGCTGTGTGTCCAACACGTAGGACAGACGGCAAGAATAGTTTCTTCTAGCTCAGTGTGGGAGACTAGCCCTGGGAAAGGAAGGACTCAGAGCCACACTCTATGTTCCCAGGATCCCTCCTATTCAATTCCAGAATTCCTACGTGGACCCTCGAATGCATGACCTCTTAAGTGTGAACTAAGTGCATTTTGCACGTGGACCCTCGAATGCATGACCTCTTAAGTGTGAACTAAGTGCATTTTGCCCTGCTTGAAACCCTTCCAGCCACGAGCACACCTGCCCCGCCTCCCCCACGGCCCCTTACTGATTTTCACACAGTTGCTGTTGCCTTCATCGTTGTCCTTGCAGTAAGTCTCTGAAGGACACTGGAAATTCTGGCATTGGACAGTCCCTCCTGTGCAGGTACAGCTCTCGGTGCAGCCTCTAGGAGTCCAGGTCTTGCCTGCCTGCAGAAGCCATAGGAAGAGGAAGGGAGTGGGAAAGGGGCTGGTTCAAGGAAGACAGGCTTACTGCTATCTGCGGGACTTTCACTTCCTCTCCCACTCTCTAGGCCCACATCTACTGAGTCAGCCATTAGTGCATGGAAACTGTTTGAGAAAATACTGCATCTATGGACGGGACTTAGTGTCTGACAGCGAGCGGCCAGCAACTATTTCAACAGAGAGCATCTGTCTACAATTACTCGGTGAAGGGCTGTGGCATGACTCAGTGGTAGAACCAGTGCCTAAAATCATACAACAAGGGGTTAGGAGTGGTTCTCGGGGAAGAGCACTTGCTTAGCCTATGCCAGGACAGGCTTTTCTTCACATCCCCAGGCCAGCCATGTAGACATGAGCATGCCAGACTGACAGGAGCAGGAGAAAGAAGAGGAAGAGGAAGCCCAGGAGGAGAAGACATTCCCACTCTCCAAGCCCACTCACCGGGATAAGAGCGCCCTGGGCGTCTTTGCAGTCACACTGAATTCTGGGTATACATTTGTCCTTATTGAGCACAAAGCCAGAGTTGCAGAGGCAGCCTTCCTTGCAAGTTGAGGGGACTTTGGGACTGGTGCCTTCGCAGTGGCCCTCCAGGTCCAAGCAAGAGGGTGGGCAGGAGGGAAGGCAGTCGGTATAGTGGCTGTTGTCTGGACACTGCAGAGCTATGGAGTAGAGGGAGAGTAGACGTATGGAGAGGACCAGAGGAAGCCCAAGGAAGCGCTTCTGTGCAGGGGTCAGACTCGACAGAATGACCAGCAGATCCTTCTCCACCCCACCTGCACAAGCATTCACTAAGCATGCCCCGTTGATCAATCCACAAGAGAAAAAGTAAGAAAAATGGATCCCTCAAGTCAGTGTTGAGACTGAGAGTGAGAAGGGACTCAGCCCAGCCATGGCTCCACAAACTCTTTCTCTACTGTGGTAACTTCTATCCCCAAACCTCTAAAACCCAAGCAACAAGAACTAAGCTCCTTTTTCCTCTGTGTAACAGTCCTAGCTGTCCTGGAACTAGCTCTTGTAGACCAAGCTGGCCTCAAACTCATAGAGATCCACCTGCCTCTGTCTCCCGAGTGCTGGGATTAAGGGCGTGTGCCACCACTGGCCGGCTCAAAGCTCCTTCTTGCCCTGCCTCTAGTCTCCCCAGCCATGAGCACACACCCTCCTTCCCTTCCCCCAGGGCTCCCTTACTGATTTTAGCACAGTTGCTGCTGCCATCATTGTTGTCCTTGCAGTGAGTCCCCGGGGGACACTGGAAATTCTGGCACTGGATGGTCCCTCCTGTGCAGGCACAGCTCTGGGTGCAGTCTCTGGAGATCCAAGTCTTGCCTGCCTGCAGAAGACATGGCAAGAGACAGAAAGTGAGGAAGGGGAGGTTAGCAAGAGACAGACAGCCTCATTTGTCTGACTTAGGTTTGCCCTCCCTATTGCTACTGCAGATCTACTGAGTCAGTCAACAACAGGTAGGAAATATTTAATAAGTATTTCCTTCTGTTTCTGTATGCACAACTCAGCAGAATAGAACCTGCCTACAATCTCCCAGTGAGCAGGTGTGGGGGGGGGGCGTGAGCGATCAGCAACATTTCTGCCTGGAATCCTAGGTCAGGACACTGGGGGAGGGGGTCTGTGGTAGATGTTGGCCCTGAATCCTATAGTAGGGATTTAGGGAACATATAGCTCAGTTGCAGAGCACCTAACTAGAATCCTTAGTGATGGGTGGTTGTGTGATTTTGAAGTAGAATACTTGTCTGGAATTCCCAGTGAGGGATGGGGAGTGTGACTCAGTGGTAGTGTATTTGCCTACCCTGTGCCTGGACCTGAACAATCTTCACATTCTAGCACCAGCCATACAGGCTGGAGAATCCAAAATACAGAGAAGCAGAAGAAATGAGTTAGTGGCTCCCAACCCTGCATGGGTGTTATTTTCTTATTTTCTTTTCTTTTTCTTTTTTGGTTTTTGAGACAGGGTTTCTCTGTGGTTTTGGAGCCTGTCCTGGAACTAGCTCTTGTAGACCAGGCTGGTCTCGAACTCACAGAGATCCGCCTGCCTCTGCCTCCCGAGTGCTGGGATTAAAAGCATGCACCACCACCGCCCGGCTCATGGGTGTTATTTTCGCTTGTTGGTTTGTTTGTCTGTTTTTGAGACAGGTTCTCACTATGTCGTCCTGGCTGGTCTGGAACTTGTTAGATAGCTCAGGTTGGCTCTGAACTTTTAGGGACATACCTGACTCTGCTTTCCAAGTACTGGGATTAAATGCATGAGCCGTCACCCCCCCCCCCCCCCCCCGCCGTGTGTGCGTGTGTGTGTGTGTGTGTGTGCGCGCGTGTGTGTGTGTGTGTGCGCGTGTGTGCGTGTGTGTGTGTGTGTGTGTGTGTGCTTAGACATGAAGGTTAGAGGATAATCTCAAGTATTGGTACTCACGTTGTAGCTTGTATTGAAAAGCTCAGTGTGTCTCTCTGTATCTGTCTTTTTCTCTTTGTTTTGGCCACCACAGCATACACAAGACTAAACTAGCTCTCATGTTTCTAGGATTCTGCTGTCTTCCTTTCCCATCTCCCAGTAGAAGCACTGGGTTAGAGACATAGGCTACTACTGAGTTCATCTCACATGGGTTCTGGGGATTCGAACAAAGGTCTGAATACTTGCAGGATGAATACTTTATAATGGAGCTATCTTTACAGACCCCACTAATCCTACCATCTGTGTGCACTCACCGGGATGAGAGCACCCTGGGCGTCCTTGCAGCCACACTCAGTTCTGAGCACACACTTGCCGTCATGCAGCACAAAGCCAGGTTCACAGACACAGCCCTCCTTGCAGGTGGAGGGGGCTCTGGTGCTGATCCCCTCACAGTGGCCTTCTGGGTCTGAGCAGGAAGCCAGACAAGATGGCACGCAGTTGGTGTAGTGGCTGTGGGCGGGGCACTGCATAGCTATGGGGCAGAGAGAGTGTGGTTAATGAAGAGGAACACAGGGTCAAAGCAGAATGCTCAAGAGAGGGTGGAGCTCCCTACGCCTTTTGTTACTTTCAGCCAACATTTACTGAGTGTGAACTTTATGCCAAGTCCTAAGGAAAGCAGCGAGAGTAGAGCTCCTGGGACTGGAAAGGTGGCTTAGCTGTTAAAATTACTTGTTGCTCTTGTGCACCCAAGTTAAGTTTGTCCTGTTCAAGAACCTCGTGCAAGTCAGGCTCCAGAGCATCTGATGTCCTCTGTGGCCCCTGCATGAACTCGCTCGGGTGCACATACCATATACAGACACACCGCTCGCTATACGTGGAATTATAAATAAAATCTTTACAAAGAACGAGTCTTCCAGGTGAATGTGGAGACTGACAACTGAGAGACTAACAGTGGGAAAGGGTCCAGCTCAGCCACGGCTCCCCACAACCCATTCCCGTAGTGGTACTCTTATCCCAGATTTCATAGGCTCAGGGGACTAAGCTCCTTCTTGCCCCACCTCTGGGCTCCTCAGCCACGAGCACACCCTCCCCACCTTCCCCACGGCTCCCTTACTGATTTTGGTACAGTTGCTGTTGCCATCCGCGATGTCTTTGCAGTAAGTTCCTGAGGGACACTGGAAATTCCTGCACAGGATGACCCCTCCCACGCAGGTACAGCTCTGGGTGCAGCCTCTGTTGATCCAGGTCTTGTCTGCCTGCAGAAGCCAAGGGAGGGGAAGTGGAGGCATAGGATTTATTAGAGAGAGACAGCTTTGCCTCCTGTCTGAGGGATTTACCTTTACCTTCCGTATCCGCAGGTTCTGTATGTATTCATGTAGCCAGCTATGGATGCAAGGTATATGGGGAGAAAATGCAGTGGAGGTTTGCCTGGAATCCCCCAGTGAGGGACTAAGGGCATAACTCAGTGACAGAGCTGAGCCCTGAGAATTCTCAACTGGGGGTTTGGGAGCATGGAGCACACTTCAGATGTAGAACTTATGCCTAGAATCCTCAGAAGTAATAAGTGGGGCGGTGGGCAGGCTGTGGTTTAGAGATAGGACATCTGTTCAGAATCCTTCAAGAGGGTCTGCGCTATGGCTTAGAGGGAGAGCAACTACCTAGGAGCCATTCTTGAGGACTGGGAGGACTTGACTAGAATTTCCCAAGAGGGGATGAGACCATAGCTTATTCTCCAACCTTTAACTTACAGGACTAGCCATACAGACAGGCGCATCCCAGGTGGAGAAAAACAAAAGGAATGAAAAAAGTGGCCCTTAATCTCACTTTTTACAAAACGTTTCAGTGTTTATGGGTGGGAGCAGGAACACATGTATGTTCAGAGGTCGGAGGACAATCTTGAATATTGGTCCTCATCTTTTACTTTGTTCTGAGACTCTCTCTTCTTCCCTTCCTCCCACCCCTCTTTCCTCCCATCCACTCCCCCTGTCTTTACTGTCCTTCACTCTGTTTCCCATCTCCTAGTAGGAGCCCTGGGATTACAGACGCACACCACCAAGGCCTACATTGACTGGACAGATTCACACTCAGGCCCTCAGTTCTCTTCAGGAAATGTTTTACCCTGAGCCATTTCCCATCCCCCACATCCCACTTTAGATGTCCACTCACCGGGATGAGAGCACCCTGGGCGTCCTTGCAGCCACAGTGATTTCTGAGCACACACTTGCCGTCATTCAGCATGTAGCCGGATTCACAGACACAGCCCTCCTTGCAGGTGGAGGGACCTTTTGTGCTGGATCCCACACAGCGGCCATCAGGGTCCGTGCAGGAAGGCTGGCAGGCGGGAAGGCAGTTGATGAACAGGCTGTGTTCTGGGCACTGCAGAGCTATGGGGTGGAGGGAGACAAATTACTGAAGATGACCTAGAAGGTCCGAGTGAGCAAGCTGCAGAAACCAGACTAGCAGGCTGGAGAGAGGGCTCAGCCTATAAGATTGCTTGCTGCTCCTACACGGGCCTTGAGTTCAGGTTCCAGCATCCATATAAGGTGGCTCAGCACCCCCTGCTATTCCACCTAAGGGGATGCAGCATCGCTTCTGGCCTCCACATGCACTGCACTCAGGTGCAAAATACACACACAGGCACTCCATTATACATGTATTTAAAACATCTTTAAAAAATTTGAATCTGCCAAGTCAATTTGGAGACCAACAATGTAAAGACAACAGTGGGATCCAGCCCAGCCATGGGTCCTCACATACCTCCCCACCATGGTACTCCCATCCCTCCAGCCATGAGCATCTGCCACACCCTCCCCACCTTCCCCACGGCTCCCTTACTGATTTTGATGCATTTACTGTTGCCGTCCTCGATGTCCTTGCAGTAAGTCCCCGGGGGACACTGGAAATTCCTGCAGTGGATGGCCCCTCCCACGCAGGTGCAGGTCTGGGTGCAGCCTCTGTTGATCCAGGTCTTGTCTGCCTGCAGAAGCCAGGGGAGAGAATGAAGTGAGGGCAGAAGGCTGCTTAGAGGACAACAGCCTCGTCTCTCTGAAGTGCTGACCTTTGCCCTTCCTATCTGCAGGTTTCTTATTTAGTTAACCCATCATTGACGGAAAATTTTGTGTGATTGGTAGAGCACCTGCCTACAATTCCCATCAAAGTGCTTACAAAACAACCGTCCCTTGGTGGCCTGAGAGCACAGCGCAGTTCACACAGCTTCTGACTACGTACAGTCTCCTGGTGGGGTTTGGATGTGGAGGCTCAACTATAGAGCACTTGTCTAGTATATTCCAGACCTGATCAACCTTCACACTCCAAGGCAACCATGTGTATAGAAAGGCACATGCCATGTGCACAAAACACAAGAAAAGAACAAGTCGTCCCATCCCAATTTTCAAAACAATCTCTTTGTGTGGAGATGGGTTTATTTGTGTGTGCAGAACTAGGGCACATGTATCTGTAGAGGTCAGAGGATTCCACTTTGTATTGAGGCAGCTCCACTCCCCTCCTTTTTTCTTTTTACACGTCCTTCTCCACGATGCACAGAGACTCCCTTAAGTTTCTAGGAATTCTCTGTCTCCTAGTAGGAGGCTGGACTACAGAGACAGGCTACCCAGCCAGTTTACGTGGGCTGTGGAGATTCAATCCAGATTCAAACCACCTTCTAAGCCATCTCCCCAACCCGCACCATCCCAGCCTCCAAGCCCACTCACCGGGATGAGAGCACCCTGGGCGTCCTTGCAGCCACACTCAGTCGTGAGCACACACTTGCCGTCATGCAGCACAAAGCCAGGGTCACAGACACAGCCCTCCTTGCAGGTGGAGGGGGCTCTGGTGCTGATCCCCTCACAGTGGCCTTCTGGGTCTGAGCAGGAAGCCAGACAAGATGGCACGCAGTTGGTGTAGTGGCTGTGGGCGGGGCACTGCATAGCTATGGGGCAGAGGGAAAGCTGGATTAGTGGAAAAGCTCAGAGGGGCTCAAGAAGCAATGGCTACAGAAACCTGGTGGGGCTGAATGACCAACAGAGCTTTGAGGGTTTTTACCCCTCTCATATCATTCATTCAGCAAACATTCACTGGGCATGGGATGTGTGCCAAGGCCCCAAAGTAATAAAATGTCTTTCCAAGTGAATGTGGGAGACTCTAACACTGAGAAGGCGCCCAACTGAGTTCTCTACTTTATCCCCCACCTGTAAGGTCTAGAGCACTAAGCCCCTCTTGCCCTGTCTGATCCACTGAGTCATGCGCAAACACCCTCCCCCTTCCCCCATGGTGGCTCCCTTACTGATTTCAACACAGTTACTGGTATAATCTTCGTTGTCCAGGCAGAAAGTCCCTGAGGGACACTTGAATTTCTGGCATCGAATGACCCCTCCCATGCAGTTACAACTCTGGGAACAGCCTCTGGAGATCCAGCTCTTGCCTACCTGAAGAAGTCAGGAGAAAAGGAAGTCAGGAAGGAGGGGCTGGTTTGAGGTGGCCAGCCTCACCCGCTGTCTGAAGGGCTTCAGTCTACCCTCCCTAACTGTACATTCAGAATCTCGTGTGCCAATTAACTACAAGTGGAAAATATTTGGAAAAAGAAAAAAAGAAAACCACTACATCTTGTCAGGATGTAATGGCAAACACTTTTAAATCAAGTGTTTGGGAAGCAGAAGCAGGTAGATATCTGTGAGTTCAAAGACAACCAGGACTACATAGTGAGATTCTGTCTCAGGAAACAAAAACACAAGGGCAAATGCTGCGTCTGGGGCTGGCAGTACAGTTCAGGGGTGCAATGTTTGCCTGGACTCCTCCTGAGGGAGACTAGAGTATAACTCACCCTTAGACAATCTGTCTATCATCCGTACTGAAAGGCTGGGGCGTGGCTCAGTGCTAGAACACCTAAACCTAGAATCCTCCAGTTTGGGGATAGAGGTGTGGCTCCTTGGTAGTGAGCCTGCCTAGACTATGGCAGGCCCTGACAAACCAGGGAAGGACATCCCAGGTGGAAAGAAGCAGAGGAAACTAGAAAGTGGCCACCAAACCTATTTTTTTAAAAAAAAAATTTGTATGTGTTTGTCTATGTTTGTGTGGGGGAGTGACTGGGGAAGGACTTATCCATCGAGGCCCGAGGACAAGCTCTAGTTTTGACTTGTCTTCCGTTCTGTGTTGAGCCAGTCCCCCCACACCTCACTCTCTGCTGCTGTTCTCCACACGACCTTCTAAAGACTCTCCTGTCTCCCAGCTCCCGGGAGGAGCACCGTAAGAGAACCACTACAGCAGTCATGTGGGCCGTGGCCATCTGAACCCAGATCCTCACCCCTGTGTGTGTGTGTGTGTGGCTGTGGCTGTTCTTGGTTGTCAACTGACTACATCTGGAATGAACTAAAACCCAATGACTGGGCACACCTGTGAGGGATTTATTTATTTTTCTTAATTAATTAATTTGAAGGGGGAAGACCCACTTCTAATCCAGATCTTTGAGGTAGGAAAATCGACCTTTAATCTACCTGCTGGCAGCCCATATAAAAGACATAGAAAAAGGAAGCTTTCACATTCTCTGTCTGTCTCTCAATCTCTCTCTCTCTCTCTCTCTCTCTCTCTCTCTCTCTCTCTCTCTCTGCTTGCTCTCATTGGCAAATCCATTCCTTCACTGGCATTAGAGCCTACTTTTTTGGGACTCTGGTGTATACTAAAGACCAGCAGAGGAATCCAGCCTCACAGACTGAACAACTATTGGATTCTTGGGCCTCCCATTTACAGGCAGCCACTGTTGGATTAGACTTACAGGGTAAACCATCCTAATAATTTCCCTTCCTATATCTAGAGAGATTCATTCTGTCGAGAACCCTGACGAATACACACAGCAAGAGATTTACCCACTGAGCCCTTCTCAAACCAACTTTCTATACCAACTCACTGGGATGAAGGCACCCTGAGTGTCTTGGCAGCTACACTCAGTTCTGAGCACACACTTGTCATCATGCAGCACAAAGCCAGGTTGGCAGACACAGCCCTCCTTGCAGGCGGAGGGGGCCCTGGTCCTGGCACTCTCACAGTGTCCTTCCGGGTCCAGGCAGGAAGGCAGGCAGGAAGGAAGGCAGTCGGTGTACTGGCTGTGTGCTGGGCACTGCAGAGCTAGGGGATGGAGGGAGAGTGGGGTTAGTGGGAAGAACAGAGGCAGACCACAAAAACCAGCCTGGGTAGAATGATCAGTAGAGCTTGGGGGTTTTCTTTCCCCTTTTGTTATTCATTTAGCAAACATTTACTGACTGTGTGCCATGGCTTGGAAGAAAAAGGTAAGGATATGGAATATTGACGTGGATATGGAAGACTAACCTCTGAGAGCTAACGCTGAGAAGAGTACAGCCAAGCTGTGGATCCCCAGCATCCCTCATCACTGTGGGATTGCCTATCCCTAAGCTCCACCTTTCCCTGCCTCTCGTCCCTCCAGCCATGAGCACCCTCCCCACCTTCCCCCAGGGCTCCCTTACTGATTTTGACACAGTTACTGCTGCCATCATTGCTGTCCTTGCAGTGAGTCCCCGGGGGACACTGGAAATTTCGGCACCTGATGGCCCCTCTCATGCAGGCACAGCTCTGGGTGCAGCCTGTGGACATCCAAGTCTTGCCTGTCTGCAGAAGCCAGGGGTGAGAAAGAAGTGGAGACGGAGGATGAGCTAGAGAGCCAGGCTTAGCCTCGTGCCTGCAGGGCTTACGCAGGCCCTCCTCACATTCAAGCTCCATATCTATTCAGCCAACCATGCACCAGTAGAAAATATTTGATTTTTTGAAAAATGGCATTTGGGGCTGCAGGTTCAGAGACAGAAGGCCTGTGTAGAATTTCCCAGTGAAAGTCTAAGGGTGTGGCTGAGCAGTACATTGCTAGCCTAGAATCACATCAGGCAGGGTGTGCTGCTTGGCTCAGAGTTAGAAGGCTTGCCTAGAATCCAGTACTAAGATGCTGGGGCAAGGTTCATCCTTAGAGCCTTTGCCTGCTGTATGCCAGGCTCTGAGGACACAGGTCTTCACAGTTCAGGGCCAGCCACACCGACAGGAACGGACCCCAAGCCCACTCTCCACACCTACTCACTGGGATGAAGGCACCCTGGGTATCTTTGCAGCCACAGTGAGTTCTGGGTACACACTTGTTCTTATCAAGCACAAAGCCAGGGTGGCAGAGGCAGCCTTCTTTGCAAATGAAAGGCCCTTTGGGGTTTGTGTCGCTGCAGTGGCCATCCAGGTTGGAGCAGGAAGGAGGACATGCGGGAAGGCAGTTGGTGTAGAGGCTGTGGGCCGGGCATTGCAGAGCTATAGGGAGGAGGAGAGACGGGTTACTGGAGAGGTCCAGAGGGACCCAAGGGAGTAGAAACTACAGAAACCAGGCTGGGCTGAACAACGAACAGAGCTTAGGAGAGCGTTTTCAGTCTTTTGCCATTCACTTAGCAACCGTTTACTGAGTGTGGGCTGTGCGCCAAGCCCCTAGGGAAAAAAGAAGACGGATCTCCCAAGTTAATGGGAGAGACTAACCATTTAGAGATTTACATTGAAAAGGAACACAGCCCAGCCTCGCGTCCCCGGAGTCCCTCTCCCCTGCGGTGCTCCCCATCTCCCACCTCTTAGGTCAGGACACTGACCCCGCTAGCCACGAGCACACTCTTTCTACCATCCCTGGCATTTCCTTACTGATTTTAACGCATTTGCTGCTGCCATCTTCATTGTCCTGGCACTGAGCCCCTGAGGGACACTGAAAATTCTGGCACTCAATGGCCCCTCCAATGCAGACACAGTTCTGGGTACAGCTACTGGAGATCCAGTTCTTGCCTTCCTGTAGAAGCCATGGGAAAAGAAATATAGTGAGGGGGGAGAACTGCTTCTGGAGTGACAGCCTCCCCTCCTGCTGAGGACCTTGTTCTTTTAGCCTGCAGGTTTCACTCTACTAAATCAAAAAAAAAAAAAAAAAAAACAGATAGAAAAATATATATAAAAAAAATTGCATCTGAGGCTGGAGGTGGAGCTGAGTGAAGAGCCCCGGTGTCCGGTCCCCCATCAATGGCTGGGAACACAGCTCAGGGCAGAGCACCTGCACAGCCTGCGTCAGGCCCTGACCAGCTTTCATACTCCAGGGCCATGCATAGAGAGAAGCGATGCAAAGGAGAAAGTGGTCCCTCCCCAGTCCTATCTCTACGCCACTCACTGGGACGAAGACACCCTGGGCGTCTTTGCAGCCACAGTGAGTCTTGAGCACACACTTGTCATTGTTCAGCACATAGCCCGGTTGGCAGATGCAGCCCTCCTTGCAGGTGAAGGGGACTTTGTGGCCAGAGCCCTCGCAGCGGCTGTTGGGGTCCAAGCAGGAAGGTGGACAGGAAGGAAGGCAGTTTGTGTAGTGGCTGTGAGGAGGGCATTCCAGAGCTACGGAGTGGAGGGAGAACAGCATCAGTTAAGAGGGCCAGAAGGGGCCAGAGAAAGCAAAGGCTGCAGAAACAACATAGTTTGTCCCCGCTTTTTATCCATTCCACATTGACTGAGTACGCATGGGCTGTGTGCTAGCCCTGAGGAAATAAATACATGAATAAGGTTCTTTTTTTTTTTTTTTTGGTTTTTCGAGACAGGGTTTCTCTGTAGTTTTAGAGCCTGTCCTGGAACTAGCTCTTGTAGACCAGGCTGGTCTTGAACTCACAGAGATCCGCCTGCCTCTGCCTCCCGAGTGCTGGGATTAAAGGCGTACGCCACCACCGCCCGGCTGAAAAAGGTTCTTTTAAACTAATGTAAGAAATTTAGCCAGGTCAGTCAGCAATAGCAAAGTGACCTTCATGTCCTCAGTCCTCCTAGACTTATGGATATAGGACATACAGCTATAACGGAGACGCAGGACAGGGAGGAGAAACTGCCAAGGGATTTAAAATGGTCTTTCAGGGAAACAGCTGTGTGTGGTGCCTCAGAGCTGTACCATCAGCACTTGGAGTACAGAGGCAGAAGGATCCAAACTCAAGGCCACTGTCAGCTACATAAGTAAGTTTAACAACAGAGAAAGACAGGGCTGAAGAGATTTCCCAGAAATAAAGGTGCTCGTCAGCAAGACTGAGGACCCGAATTGGATTTTCCGGATGTCAGTGAGAGGAGAGAATTAACTCCCGAAAGTTGTCCTCTGACCTCCACATGTGTGTTCTTACATGCATGCATATACACACATGCACACACACACAATAAATAATGTAATAAACAAAGCAAAACAGAGAGTGGTCAAATGGAATACACACTGTGTTCATGAATAAGGAGCGTCAGCAATATGCTGATCCCATCAATTATTCCTCAGTGAATTAACTTGCTCCTCCCCCACCCCCTCACTGAGAGATTCTAGGCGATCACTCTACCCCTGAGCTACATTCCTAGCCTGGCTGACTTAGCATGTATATTATATCATATATCTTAAGCTACTTAGAGATTGTTAAAAGTGTATTGGAGGGTAACACAGGTTCTATGCAGACTCTATGCCATTTATGAAAGGGACTTAAGCATCCGCAGATGTTGCTACCCTTGGGGTTCCTGGACCCAATCAGACCCCTGCTGATATGGACAATTATAAGTACTAAAAAGTTTCAATCATCCCCCTTGCTTTGCATTTTAAGATATCTTACTTATGTGTGTATGTGTGTGTGCATGCATGTATATGTGTATCTATGTAATGTGTATAAGGGTGCTCACAGAAGCCAGAAGAAGGTATCAGATACCCTGGAGGCAGAGTTACAGGGGTTTGATAGTCACCTGATGTGGATGTTGGAAACTGAACTTGGGGTCCTCTGCAGGAGCACTTAACTGCTGAGCCATCTCTCGTGCTTTAAAATTTTAAAGGATCTTCATTTATGGTGAGGGCTACACAATTGTAGAGATCCCAAAATTGTTCTTACCTACTGAGTCATCTCTCTGGCCTTAATGTTTGTTTAGCTATACAACTGAGCCAGGCTTGGTGGCACAGGAGGAACAGAAGTTCAAGCACATGTTTGCTGCCTAAGGATTCTGAGGCCGGTCTGGGTGGATGACGCTAAGGAGTCAGTATTTCCCAGACACTACAGGTCATTTCCATCTATGAACCCCCAGTGCTTGTGACAGCATGCACAAGGCCTGCACAAGTACAAGCCCAACAAAATCTCAGCATGGAGAAGGGAAACGGGGTGAACTCCCACCCCTAGCTGAAGACCTACTGGCAGCTGGTATCTGCTGGGAGACAGAGTTGGTTTTCTTTAAGGATGTGGCCCCTGGGAGGTGGACTACACTCCAGCGGATCAAAAGTAAATAAAGAGCACAAACTGACTCAAATGGTTTAAAAAAAAATTCACAAACTTGAGTGGGTAGGTGGAACGGGGAGGGTTGGGTGAGGGGTGAATATGATCACAATACAGTGTATAAAATTCTCAAAGAATTAATACTAATAAAACCAACACTAAGGCTGTTTGGAAGAGCCATAAGGAGTCACAGTACTTTTATTTACCTAAAGTTACATATAATAGATTAAATGTATACATATATAGTTTAAATGAAGTTGTATCACTTGGGCTGACAATGCTCCCTACAGGAGCAAAAGACTAACAAAACCCCCAGTATCAGGTGTGAGAAATCCCTTTGAAGTTATTAGTCAGGGACATCCAAAAGACTCCCGAAACACTATAGGCTACTGCCCTTGGTTGTCCTCCCAAGGTAAAGATAAACCCCTTGGGTTGAAGACACATGCACTTGGAATACAGTACTCAAGGATCTTGAGGATCTGAGCTGGCTCCTACCCAAAAGCCTCCTCCCTGAGGATTAGCATTCATGGTACCAACAGGTACTGTTGGGGTTCCAAAGAAAGGGAACAACCAATAGTCCTATCTCACTGGGACGTCCGTCACTCCACTGCCCAGCACGAAAGATATTCCCATGGGTGCAATAGGGACACACATCTTGGTGATCATCAACAGCTGTCTAATGGGTATTAAGGCCCGCTCAACAACAGAGAAAATAAAATATGCTTGATACTGGAAACCTACCCCTGGGCTCTTAGAAAAGAATCTACCTGGGTGAGGCGGTTGTAGCACACACCTTTAATCCCAGCACTCAGGAGGCAGAAGCAGACGGATCTTTGTGAGTTCGTGGCCTGGTCTACAGAGCTAGTTCCAGGACTGGCTCCAAAGCAGCAGAGAAGCTCTGTCTCAAAAAACCAAGAAAAGAAAAATCTACACTTTACTAATTAAACTGCATTCCAAATACCTATCTGTATACCAACAGAAGCTTGTAGCTCTCGCTCCTCACCAAAGAAACGTCTCTTCACAATAGATGAGGACCATCTGCATCACAACTTCTGCAGCGAAGGCTCAGGGAATATTGCAGGAGAGGGGACAGAGGATGAGGAGATCAGCTGGGAACAGGAAAGCGTCTCTCATGAGGCTTCAACAATATGGCTGCCTAAACAAGACCTGCACAAGCACGCCACCAACAGATGTGCTGACACGGGAGGGGGGATCTCATGGGGGCCTCAGGCAACTTAGGGATGGCGAAAGGGGGAGAAACCGTTGTCCCTAACAGGTCAGCCATGAAATCACACACACATATACACACATATATGTTACTTACATGTAACAATAAGTGGACTAAGTTGTATTTATTTATTTATTTATTTACAATGGCATTGTCATTGTAACAATGACAAAGAAAGAGAGGTCACAAAATTTGCAAGGGAGCAAGGGCACAGAACATACATAGAATTGAAGGGAGAAAAGGAAAGAGGGAAATGGTGTAGTTACATAGTAACTTTTTAAAAAGACACTAAGAATGCCAGGCATAGTGGTGCACATCTTTAATCCCAGTGCTGGGGAGGCAGAAACAGGCAGATCTCTGTGAGATCAAGGACAGCCTGGTCTACACAATGAGTTCCAGGACAGCCAGAGCTGCACAGTAAGACCCTGTCTCAAAAGAAAAGAAAAGAAAAGAAAAGAAAAGAAAAGAAAAGAAAAGATAAAAAACAGAAAGCTCAATATTCTTCATAGTTCAAGTTCTGAAGTCTCAAAAAGCTTATAGTAGAAAAAAAATAAAGAAAAAACTGTTGTGGAACAATCATTTTGTACACTTTAAAAAAGTGTCTTTGCCAAGGTGCCTTCTGATTAGTTTAATAAAGAGCGGAATGACCAATGGCTAGGCAAGAAGAGATTAGGCGGGACTTCTGGGCAGAGAGAAAAGTGGAGGAGATGAATCTCGGTGCAGGGAGACACCAGAGGGCTCAGAGAAGAAACAAGAGGTACAAGATGGAAGAGTAGTAAAAAGCCATGAGGCAAAACGCGGATTGATACAAATGGGCTAATTTAAGTTATAAGAGCTCGTGGGGCGTACGTCTTTAATCCCAGGCAGAGGCAGGAGGATCTCTGTGAGTTCGAAGCCAGCCTGGTCTACAGAGCCAGTTCCAGGACAGGCACCAAAAAATCTACAGAGAAACCCTGTCTTGAAAACAAACAAACAAACAAACAAGAGCTAGTGGGATAAGCCTAAGCTATGAACTGAGCTTTCATATGAAATGAGCTGTCATTTCTTGTGAGCTGGTGGCTCACAAAATCCACCTCAAAAGGCAGAAAAGAACTTCAGAAAGTCTCCAGACAGCTAGGGATGTGGTTCGGTTGGCAGACTGTGAAGCCCATCATGAAACCAGGCATGGCGGTGCAAGTCTCAGGGTGGAGGCAGAAAGATCAGGAGTTCAAGGTTATCCTTGGCACTTAGCAAGTTCAGGACAAAACTGTGCCATACAAGACCCTGTCTCCTCCTTCTCTTCTTCCTTCTCCTCATCAAGATATAAAAGAAGGCACCCAGTCTAGTCTAGAGGTGCAAAGAGCTTTCTAGAGGTATGTATGAAGATATACAGTGTGTGGGAAAATGAGGTTTTGGGTGTGAGCTGCATGCAGATGAGAGGTAATAGATGAGAGGTCTTAAAGTCACAGCACAGAATTTAAACGTAACTTCAAAGGCAGCAGCAACCAGGCAGGATAGTGACGGCACTGCCTTTGGAGAGATGAAGATGGAGAGGGGCTAGAAATGCAGCTCAGTGCAGACTGTTTATCTAGTGAGAAAAGCTCTGGGTTCCATCCCCAATAGTACAACTTAATTCACAAAGTTCTTGTATCAGTGGACTGGCTTGGGGATTTATTAGTCTATATCGCCTTCCCACAAGCATGAAGACCCAAATTCAATCCCAAGAGCCCATTTGAAAAGCCAGACATGGTGGACAGTGCCAGGAAGGCAGAGACAGAAGGACCCCCTGGGGCTCAGCAGCCAGCCTAGGCTTGGTGGCAGAGGGCCTACTGAGAGACCCTGTCTCAGAAAACAAAGCAGGTTTTTAGGAGATAGCACAGCTGGGAGCATGCTTGTCATAGAAGCACAAGGACCATGTTTCTTCCCCAGCACTCACATAAAACCCAGGCAGGTGGCATGCACTTGTAATTCCAGTGCTGGAGGCAAAGACAGGCAGATCTGCTGGTCAGCCATTCTAGACAGCAACTGAGCTCCAGGTTCAGTGAGAGACCTTATTTCCAAACAGAAAGTAGGGAGGCTAGAGAAATGGCTAAGTGGGTAAGAGCACTTGAAGCTCTTCCAGAAGATTTTCCCTTATAGCCACCTAAGGTACTGGGGCATGCACACGTGCATACACACACACACACACACACACACACACACACTTTTTTTTAAAAAATTTATTTATTTATTATGTATACAATATTCTGTCTGTGTGTATGCCTGCAGGCCAGAAGAGAACACCAGACCTCATTACAGATGGTTGTGAGCCACCATGTGGTTGCTGGGAATTGAACTCAGGACCTTTGGAAGAGCAGGCAATGCTCTTAACCTCTGAGCCATCTCTCCAGCCCCCCCCCCCCCCCTTTTTAAGTTATAGTGGAACACGCCTATTACCCTGGTGTTCAGGAGGCAAAAGCAAGAGAACCTTGAGTTTGAGGCCAGCCTAAGCTACAGAGATATGTGGAAAGAAACGGGGTCTGGGAATAGCTATGGGGTGACTCCAGGGGAGACTCACGGCAGAAGCTGCTGTTCCTCCAGATAGGTGGCTTGAGCCCCTGTTTCTGGCAGGCATCCTGGAAGGACTGCAGAGCCTCACAGAGGGCACGGAAGAGTTCTCTGAATTCACAGAAGTTGTTCATACATCCCAGCAGGAAGGGCTTAAGGGATACCCGGGAAGCACACTGGGCCCAGGTAGGACCCTGGAGAGCAGTCTTGCAGTTTGCTTGGGCTTTCTCGAAGTCAGCGGGCCTGCAGTTTCCGTTCATGATCTCCTGCTGCTCCACCTGGATATTCTGCTCTTCGATTTTCTGGCAACTGGAACGGGAAAAGCAAGGGCTCAGAAGAGCTGGGCGTGGTGATGGATGCTGTGATCCCAGTACTTGGAAGAGGGGAGGCTGGAGGATCAGAAGTTCAGGGCCGAGGCTGGTGAGGAAGTTCACCACGCAAAGCACTTGCCACCAAGCCTCAGGACCTGAGCTCGGTCCTTGGAACCTATATAACAGAAAGTGAGAGAAGGGATTTATATAAATTGTCCTCTGACTTCCACACATGCACCATGGCATGTGTACACACACAAACACAATTCATAAAATTAAAAGAAAATGTTTTAAGTTGCTCAAGGAGGCTGGAGAGATGACTCAGTGGTTAAGAACTTGTTGCTCTTAAGAGGAGCCAGGTTCAGTTCCCAGTACCCACACGATAGTTCACAAGCATTCATAACTCCAGTTTCAGGGGATCCAGTGTCCTCTTCTGATCACAGTGGGCACCAGGAACACCTATGGTACACAGACACACCTACAGGCAAAACACTCACACACATAAAATACAATAGAAATCTTAAAAAACAAAAGCACTTGGGAGGCAGAGGCAGGCGGATCTCTGTGAGTTCAAGGACATCCTGATCTACAGAGTGAGCTCTAGGACAGCCAGGGCTTTGAAAATCAACCTTGAAAGAAAGTAAGTTGTTCAAGGTCATCTTTAGCAAAAGTGAGTTTAAGACTGTCATGTACTATGTAAGATTCTGCCTTAAATACACACACACCATATATAACCAATAACAATAAATTTAAAATGGAAGTTGGGAATGTAGTTGCAGGTTAGGGCCCTTGCCTTGCATGTCTGAGGTCCCCTGTACTGCAAAAATAAAAGAAGCTAAGTATGGTGGTGTGAGCTTGCAATCCTAGTGCTCAGGAAGCAATGGCAAGAGGATGTTGGTGAGTTCAAAGCTAACCTGGTCAATTTATTAAGTCCCAGGCCAGCCAGGGCTACATAACGAGACCCTGTCCTGAAAGGGCAGAAGGAAAAAAAGGAATGAAAGGAAGGAGGAAGGGAAAGAGGAAGAGAAGAGGCAGAAATTGCGAACAGGTGGCCAGACTTAGAAGCCCATTACCTTGGGTCGATGTGCTTATCTGCCCAGCTCTCCATGAACTCCTGCTCATCCTGGGCCAGTTCATCACTGGACATCATGAGTTCATCCTCTTCCTCACCATTGAAATTCCCACACACACCGCAGACCTGGGAGGGCAGAGAGGAGTAGGTTTTCAAGGCTAAAAGGGTAGAAAAGTTTTTCTTTTTCTTTTTCTTTTTTTGGTGCTGGGGGTGAAACCCAGGGCTTTGGGCAGGTATTCTACCACTGAGCTACAGACCTCATTGCCTTTTCATTATTTTAACTTTTATTCTTTGGAAACAGAGTCTTCTGTACCCTAGGCTAGCCTCAAACTTGATGTGTAGCTGAGGATGACTTTAAATTATTGATCTTTCTGCCTCCAGCTCCTAAGTGGAGGAATTACAGGCTTGTACTACTACACATAGCTTATGATTGAAGGAAGGAACCCAGGGCTTCCTGGATAGTAGATAGGCACTCTTCCAAAAGAAGTAAAACTTATGCCTTCTAATAGTTGAGACACGGTCTCTCTGTGTTATCCTCTCAAGTGCAAGGATTGGAGACGTGTGGCCAAAATGCCAGGTGCTAAGAGCATTTCTCATTGATGCATACTTGCCCTCTATAAATAGACAGGAACACTTGGCCTTCCTCCTCTACTCTGGAGAGTGACCTCGAATGGGGTACCATTCTATCCCCCAAAAAGTCACCCCCCACCAACACAGCCAGTTGTTTCCCTTCTCACCTTTCCATTAGAGGATGCAGGGATTTTGATATCTAAGAAATTGTTGCTCTCGAATTTGACTTGAACTTCGTCCTTAATTGTGACAATGGTATAGACGTCTTCCGTCGTGATGCTGACTCCTGGGATCTGGGTCGTGGCAGGAAGGGTGACCAGCGTGTCATTGATCTGAAGAGGAAGACAGAACCATGAGTACATGAAGAAGCCAGAAGCCTCTCCTTCCAGACTTTGCTCCTCCTCCCACCCACTGTACCTAGCTCACCAGGACTGAATGGTGCTTTTGCAGAGTGACTCGGAAGCTGAAGATGTCAATGTATAGCTGATAGACACCGAAGGTCTTGGGTTTGGTGTGGGTATGCTGGTCGGCCTTGGCACTGATGGTGAAGAAAGGCAGGTTCATGCTGGGGTGGCACACTTTGACCATGACGTAAGTACACATGTCTTGGATAGGATGGCTATGGCCATCAAAGCTCACGATCTGCGAATCCTCTGAGATATGACACTCTCCCATCTCTGTGGAGAAAGAGGTGGATGAGGGATCATTCCAAGATCTCTAGGAACACAGTACATCTTTCTCTCTGGTCCAGGCCAGAGAGACCCAAGAGAGCAGGGGCCACATTAAAGAAAAGAATCAAAGGGCAGGTAAGGTGTGACTCACGCTGCTGGGGACTTATGCTATGTGTCATAGTTTGAATGTAAGTGACCCCCATAAGTTCACAGAGTGGCCTTATTAGGAGATATAGCCTTGTTAGAGGAAGTGTGTCTCTGTGGGGGTAGGTTTTGAAGTCTCCTTTGCTCAAGCTACACTCAGTGCGACAGACAGTTCACTTCCTATTGCCTGCAGACGAAGATGTAGAACTTTCAGCTCCTCCTGCACCATGATTGCCTGAATGTCATCCTCCATGAAGATAATAGACTAAACCTCTGAACTGTAAGCTAACCCAATGAAATGTTCTCCTTTATAAGAGTTGCTTTGGTCATGGTGTCTCTTTGCAGTACCTGAAACCCTAAGACACCATGGGAGAGGAGGTGTGGGCCAGTGAGATGAGGGAACAGGTAAGGACACTTGCAGCCAGGCCTGAAAACTCAACTTTGATTCCCAGAACCCACATGGTGGAAGAAGAGAACTGATTGACATAAGCTGTCCTCCATGTGCACACGTTCCTGCTGACTTCGCCATGCAAAATAAATAATAAATGTATTCTTTAAAAAATTTAAAGAAAGAGCTAGGTATGGTGGGACATGCCTAAAATCCCAATACTTGGGAGGTAGACAGAGGAAGATCAGGAGTTCAAGACCAGCCTAGGGCAGGGGAGAGGGAACGGCAGTGTGAGTTCTTCTACAGGTCCTTCAGATATAGTCAGGTTACGTCAGACTCAGCACAACAGGGGATGTAGGGAGGAGGGTGGAGGACTTGGAAAGCCACTCCTAGTGACTGAGGGGTCCCTTGCAGCATGCCCTGCTTACCTGCAGCACAGCGCAGCAGCCCATTCTGGCGCAAGCACACATGGTTGGCCTCACAGGCCGTTTGGTTGCAGGTGACATTGCTGTGGACTGAGCACGTGCAGAGGGTGGTGCAGGTCTTCTCTGTGTACCAGCTCTCCCCCAACTGTGGGGCATGGCCAATCCAAAAGGGTAACTGCGTTTGGTCCCTTCCCTTCCTCCCCTCCCTCCTTCCCTTCATTTTCTCCATTTTCCTCCTCTTCCCCAACCTCTGTTCTCCGTCTATCTGTCCATCTATATTTTCTATGCAACAGAGTCTCACTATGTAGCCCAGGCTGTCCTTGATTCACGACCCTTCTGCCTCAGCCTTCCCCAACACCTGGGTCTAGATCTCTATTTTTCTCAGTCTCTCAGTATCTAGCCTTTGTCCTCATCCCCACTCTGTCCGGTCCCACTTTTTCTTACACTCCGAGGCTTCCACTTCCTCTTGCCTCCCCATACCCACATGAAGCCAGAAAGGGAGACCATCCCTGCCATATGGCCTCTCACCAGGTGGTAGGAGCCGTCCTGGTCACTGCAGCCACACTGTCTGAGGGGCACACAGGTAGTTCCACTCAGGATGTGGCCTGTCTGGCATTCACAGCCCTCGACACAGGGCAGGGTTGGACAGTCTCTTGGGCTGCTTAGGGTGAGGCAGGTGGCTGGGCAGGGGTTGGCACATGGGTTATAGCTGCTCCTGGGTGGGCACCTCAGAGCTAAGAAGAACACAAATGTTAAGAACGACAGAATGGCATTGCTAGCTCCTGACCTCGGAGTGACAGTCCCTGGGAAGGTTCACTGATGAGTGAGGGACCCTAGTCCATCTGGGGGATAGGTTTCTAAATCTTTTTCTGTTTTTGAGGCAGGGTCTCATGTAGCCCCAGCTAGCCTTGAACTTGCTCTGTAATCAAGTATGCTCTTGAATTCCCGATCCTTTTGCCTCCATCTCCCCTGTTCTAGGATTAGAACCATGCCTTATTTTATTAATTGATTAACTGGCTGACCAGTACAGGGTTTGGTTCTGTAGCCCAAACTGACCTCATAATCCTCTTTATTCAGCCTCTTGATTCTAGGGTTGCAAGCATGGACTACCACACATGGCTCTCATAGCTCTACAATGAACTATTGTGTAGGCTTCCAACGGAAGTATGACCTGGGCGTGGCAGGCAGGACACACCTAAAAGCCCCGAGCTGAGAAGGCTGCTGCACCTCTATGAGTTCAAGGTCAGTATGAGCTATATGACACCTGTCTGAAATCCTATCTTCCTCCTCAACCATGATGAATGCCCTGGTATGTGCTACAACGTGGATGAACATGAAAATCACGCTAAGTGAAAGAAGTTAGTTACCATAGGACACATACTATATGATTCCTTGTGTGTGCAAATGTTCACACGTGTGTGGATATATGTGTGGGGATGGGTGTGTATGGGCGAGGATGTTAAAGGTAAAGCCTAACTTTCAGTATCATTTCTCAGGTGCTGTCTACTTTTTTTTAGAGAGAGAGAGAGAGAGAGAGAGAGAGAGAGAGAGAGAGAGAGAAACAGACAGACATACACAAAGAAGGGGAGAGAGAGAGAAACAGAGAGAGAAAGGGGAGAGATAAAGAGAAAGGGTATAAACTACGCAGTCCCGACTGGCCTGGAACTCCCTACATAGCCCAGGCTGACCTTGAACTCCTACCTTCCTGCCTCCACAGCTCAAGTGCTAGGATTACAGGCATGAACCACCACTCCTATTCTTACAGGAAGCTAAGTTTGCAGAGACGGGGGCTGAGGTGGGGGATGGAGTGTTAACAGGTCAGACTTCCAGCTGGGACAGAAAAGGTTCGGGTGAGGGATGATGGTAGGGATTGGTGGCTGGAGAACAAAGTGAATGCCCTTCTTACCACTCAATTTTTTTTTTTGATTTGTATACTTAAAAATGCCCAAAATGGTTTGGACATTTTATACAAATGGTGTCACATACAACCCTTTGTGGCTTCTCTAGTAAGCAGAGTTTTCAACATTCATCCATGTTGAGCTAGAATTTCATTCTTTTTCCAGCTACACAATTGTAGGAATGTACCCCATTCTGTCTACCCACTGCACAGTAGATAAGACATTTGAATTGTTCCCAATCTTTTTTGCTCTTAGTAGGTCTTGCTAGATAGCACAGGCTGGCCTCCAACCATCCTTCTCCTGCTTCTGCCTCCCAAGTACAGGGATTACAGGTAAGCACCTAGCCCAGACTTGCGTCCATTGTTGGCTGCGATGAAATGTGTTATAGACCTAGGTGGATGAATTGTGGTTCAAATAAGTTATTGTCCTCAGCGCGCATGCCAGACTGGATTGCAGGTCAGTTGATAAATCTACTTTAATTATTTTTAGGAACTGCCATACTGTTTTCCCCAAATGGCTAAAATGGGGGTTTAACTCCACGGTGGTGGGTCTGTCCAGTATACACAAAGCCCTGGGCTTGATCCTTAGCACTACAAAGAGGGAAAAGGAGGCTGTTAATATCAAATCCCAGCAGGCAAGAGGGTGTTTTTTTTGGGGGGGGGGCGGGAGTTCAAGACAAGGTTGCTCTGTAGCTTTGGAGCCTGTCCTGGAACTATCCCTTGTAGACCAGGCTGGTCTCAAACTCACAGAGATCCGCCTGCCTCTGCCTCCCGAGTTCTGGGATTAAAGGCGTGTGCCACCACCACTCGGCAAGAGGGTGTTTTGAGAACACTCTAGACTGTACAGAAATTCAAGGCCAAGCTACTTACCAAGGCTCTGTCTCAGAAACCAAACAAATGGGATTGGGAAGATGGCTAAATGGGAGAAGTGCTTGCCAAGTAACTGCAGACTAGAATTGGGATCCCCAGCAATGGCATAAAAACTGGGTGGGCGTGGCTGTCTACCTGTAATCCAACAATTCAGAAGGCTGAGACAAGGGATCCCAGGGTCAAGCTGGCTAACTGGACTAGCCCATGAAAAAGTTCCAGGTTTATTGAGAGACCCTGTCTCAGCAAATAAAATGGAGAAAGATCAAGGGAGACACCTGAGGTCAACCTCTGGTCCTCTCCTCTCTCTCTCTCTCCTCTCTCTCTCTCTCTCTCTCTCTCTCTCTCTCACACACACACACACACAGAGACGTGGGCATACATATCTGCATACATGTGTGCCCACACATGTAAAAATGAATACGCAGGGGCCAGTAATGGATCAGAGGATAAGTAAGTGTGCTTGCTGACAACCTGCTGACCTGAGTTTCATCACCAGGACCCTCATGATGGAAGGAGAGAACCAACTCCTGCAGTTGTTCTCCGACCTCCACATGCACACTATGGTTTGCACATACATGCACACGCGAAAGAAAGGAGTGCATACCCACATGCACACCACACACAAATACACAGTAAAAACCAACAAATCCAAACAGAAAACAAAATAAATTTAAAACAATTTAAAGACTGCTTCTGGCCAGAAGGATGGCCCATGCCTTTAATTCCAGCACACAGGGGGGAAAGGCAGGCAGATCTCTCCACCTCATCTACATAGCCAATTTCAGACAGCCAGGGAACCACAGTGAGACCCTGTCTCAAGATTAATTAATTAATTAATTAATTAAAAATACTTTTTTTAGTCAGGCAGTGGTGGTGCATGTCTTTAATCCCAGCACTCGGGAGGCAGAGGCAGGCGGATCTCTGTGAGTTCGAGGCCAGCCTGATCTACAAGGGCTAGTTCCAGAACAGGCTCCAAAGCCACAGAGAAACCCTGTCTCGAAAAAAACAAAAAAGGCCGGGCGGTGGTGGCGCAAGCCTTTAATCCCAGCACTTGGGAGGCAGAGGCAGGAGGATCTCTGTGAGTTCGAGGCCAGCCTGGTCTACAGAGCTAGTTCCAGGACAGGCTCCAAAGCCACAGAGAAACCCTGTCTCGAAAAACCAAAAAAAAAAAAAAAAATTAATTAAATAAATAATTAAATAAATAAGAAATACTTTTTTTAAAAAGGAAGAAGAGGACAATAACTAGACACAAGGCCAAATTTTTGATGATATAAAAATCAGACAGAGTCAAGCATGGTTGATATACACTTGTAATCCCAGCTCCCCTTCACTTACACAGCAAGTTGGAGGCCAGCCTAGGTTACACGAGATCCTGAAATCCTGCCTTAAAAAAAGGGGGGGGGGCAAAGGGGGAGGGAGGCTCTGGCACTGTAAGACAGAGCCAAGCTGAGAGAGGCAGAACAGGGAAGAGAAGAGAGCTTCCTGTGGGTGTGGATGCAGGCTGAGGAGCAGGGCTGAGGGATGGGAGAGGATGGGGTTCTCAGGATTCACCAAGGGTGTAGGAGCTGGGGGGGGATCACTCACGGCAGAAGGTGCTGTTGCGCCAGGTAATCACTTGGCCAGCTTGGGCACACAGCGATGCATAGGCCTGCAGGGAGCGGCACAGGGCCAGGATGTCTCCTTTGGTCCCACACTGGCTGTACACACAACTGGAGAAGCTGGCCTGCGGGGGCACCGCTTCGTGGCAATTGGAGAAAGGTCCTGGAGGACAAGACAAGGTCGGGGAGAGGAGAGTGAGCCCTGTGAGCAAGCTGGGCCTTGAGGCTTCTGTATAGCTGGTTTAGGGGATGCATGTGTATCTGTGTGTGTGCGCAAATGCATGCGTAGACCAGAGGACAACCTCATTCCAGTCCTCAGGATTCATCCACCTTGGGGTTTAATTTTTATTACTATTATTATTACTGCGTGTCTATAATATGTCTGTATGGGCACATGTGCTATGGCATGTGGAGGTCAGAAAACAACTATGTAGAGTTACTTCTTTCCTTCCAAATTTACATGAATTCTGGGGACAAAACTCAAGTCAGAGCACAAACCTTTACCAGCTGAGGCATCTCACTGGCACACCTCATCTATACTAATTGTGTGTGTGTGTGTGTGTGTGAGGTATGTAGAGACACATGTGCCGCAGCACATATGTGAAGGTCAAGACACCCACAGGAGTCATTTCTCTCCTTCCACATGGGTCACAGGGATCAAATTTGATGGCAGGCACCTGTGACCTGCAAGTCATCTTTCCAGTCTTCCATCTTGCTTTTTGAGACATGGTCTATCATTGACCAGGCTGGAACACACCTAGTCAGCTAAGCTGGTTAGCCGTGAGCTCCAAGGATTTGCCTATCTCTGTTCTCTCCACAGGATTACACATGTGGACCAACATGCCTGGGCGTTTTTATAGAAGTTATTGTTTTGTGAGGAAGGGGTATATATATATGCATGCCACAATACCCATGTGGAGGTTAGAATACAACTTTCTGTAGTTGGTTCTGTGAGGATTCCAAGGATTGAACCCCGATCTTCAGGTTTGACGGTAAGTGCCTTTACTCTCTGAGCCATCTTTCCAGCCCCATATTCGGGTTTTGTATTTGGGTTCTAGGGATTGCAGTCAGGTCCTGTGCTTACAACACACGCACTTTCCGACTGCGCTAACTCTTCCACTGTGCACAGCTAACTTCATGTCCACTTGCACCAAAGCCTGGATGTAGTCGGGCATGGAATCACAGGCCTGTAATCCCAGCACGTGGGAGAATGAGGGAGGAGGAGCACCATGATTCTGAGGCCAGCTTGCGCTACATAGTGAGAGTGAGCCCACCCTGGTCTGAAACAGGCCTTATCTGAAAAAACAAACATGGCCTGGAAATGTAGCTCAGTTGTGCTTGCCTGGTGCACCCTGGTTTTGATCCCCAGCACCACATGAACTGGATGTGATGGTGAACATCTGTGACCCCAAGCATTAAAGAGGTGGAGGCAGGAGGATCAGAAGTTCATTGCCATCCTTGGCTACACAGCAGGTTCAAGGCCAGCCTGTCTCAGACACACACACACACACACACACACACACACACACGCACGCACGCACGCGCGGGACCTTGTCTCAAGACAAAAACAAACAAAAACCAACAACAATGGCAAAACCAGGAGCACTAGGAACCTGTGCTGAGAAGGCCTGCCAGACATGGCTCCTAAGAGATAGATAGTCTGTACTCCTGCTGGCCTCCCTGCCTTTCCGTCTGCTGCTTCTCTGGCTTTATCCCACCGTGACCTGTTCCACCTCTTGTCCAGGGCAGAGGACAAAGGGCACTGGGAGGAGACGGCCTCTCACCAATAGGGTTCATCAAGATGGCGCATTTTTTAGTCCAGGCGTCGTCCATGCTGTTCTCTTGGCAGCTGGAGGACTTGCCCCCGACTACAAAGCAGCTGCATGAGGAGGAGAGGAGAGGTTAGAAAGGCTAGGTTTGAGGGAGAATCCTCCAAACTGAAGCTAAGCCATGGAGGGGGGAAATGGGAAGGAAACACATTGGCACCCTCAAGTGGGAAGGCCAGGGGACACATCAGGAAGGAAGAGGCTAGAGGCCAGCGGGGCTTCTCAAACCTCTGTGTCAAAGGCAAGCATGAGAGAAGTCAGCTGGCACAGGCCTGAGGAGCCAGAACCATTTTATTAAACTTTTTACATTATTTTGAGACAGGGTCTCTCTACACAGCCCTGACTGTCCTAGAACTCACCATGAAGACCAAACTGGCCTCCAACACAGAGATTTACCTGCTTCTGCCTCCCAAATGCTGGGACTAAAGACATTAGTCACATGCCTGGCTGGTTTACATTTTATTTTTTATTCTTTAACGTTTAGTTTATTGTGTTTAATTACATGCGTGTGTGTCTGTGTGTGGATATATGCACATGAGTGCAGACATCTGGAGAGGCCAGAAGATGGCATCAGAACCCCTTTAGCTGTAGTTAAAGGTGTTTGTGAGCCACCATGTGTGTGCTGGGAACCAAATCTGGGTCCAGTGCAAAACAGGAAGCACTCTAAATGCTGAGCCACCCTCAGCCCTTTTCTGAGACAGGGTCTTATGTAGCCCAAAGTAGCTTTGAATTCACTATATTGCCCAGAATGACATCGAAGTATTGAGCCCCTGCCTCCATCTCCCATCTGCTGAAATTATAGCTATGGACCACCATGCTTGATTTACATGGTGTTGGGAATGGAACCCAGGGCTTCATATATGCTAGTAGAGCACTTTCCCACTGGGTTACACACCCAGTGCTGTTGGAACTTTTCAGACTTGCGGTCTCAGGTCAGGAATGTGGCCCTAGCCACTGGCAAAGCCCTGCGTTCCATCTCCAGCACTGGAAACTCAGAGAGGCTGAAGAGCAGAATTGGCTGGATTCCAGGCAGTACAATGTACAGCACAGAGAACCCCAGACAAACAAGGGATACTCATTTGCAGACTTCCCCCCAGAAACTAGTTTCCCTAAGCTCAGCTCAAAGATGCCCAGGTCCCCCAAGTTCTGATTCCCCTGTCCATCTTCCTATGCCCATTTTTCCTTAGGCCTAGCTCACTCGCTAAGGCTCAGTATTCACCAGACCTACCTCACCCAAGCACAATTCACCCAGGCTCAACTCACCTAGTCCCAGATCCCTACACCCAAACTCACCCAGGCTCAGAAGCTTCAAGTATTTTCCAAGCAGCTCCCAGAAGAAGTGAGTTGCCTGCAGGCTTCCCATCTGGACGCAGATTGTCATCCAAACTGTTATTGTTGTAGTTCCCTAAGGAAGAGAGACGTCATAGGGATGGCGTACGTTGCATAGGGTCACCCTTGAACTCACTAAGTAGCAGAGCTTCAGATCCACCTAGTTCTGAGGCCACTTCCTTTCCAACTAGAAGAAGACACATTGCTCAACGCCATATCAAAGCTAACCCTTTAGTCTTTTTGTTTTTCTTTTAGATGACAAGGTCTATATACAGCGGTCTAGCCTTGGACTAACTATAGCTAGGGATGGCCTTTCAGGTTCATCTCCAAGTCCTGGTATTATAGACATGTACTACCGCCTAGGTCATTCAGTCCTGGGATGAGACCCGAGACTCCCTGCATTCGAGGCAAGAGCTCTACTGATGGAGCTGCAGCCACATTCCACCTGCCATCTTTGTTCTTAAGCAGGTTTTTAATGAAGCCCCGACTGCCCTTGAACTCACTGCCCGACAGAGGGTGGCCTCTACCTCCTGAGGACCATGACATCTGGAAACCCTTTCCTCTTTCCCTCTGGCTTTCCCAGACACCTGCTCTGGGGTTGTCCTCAACTCATTCATTGGTTGACAAGTTCTGAGGACACCGTGGAGACAAGGGGAGTGGGGGAGATTTCCCCAAGGGTCTTACCACACAGCCCACAGAGGAAGCCAGCGTATAAGGAAGGCACTGTCACCTCCACCAGGTGCTTTCCGTCATATCGAACCTGAAGCCCAAAGTTCGTGTAGAGCAGGACAAAGATGCCGCTCAACCTAATGGTCACCCGTCCTTTCAGAGGCCACACAGGTAGTGCCACCCGTTGGTTGTTCAGCTACAGAAATGGGCACAACATAGTAGAGAAGTAGAGAGAGTCAGAAACTTGGGACAAAGATGAAATGGGGCACAGTGGGAAAAAAATGGAGAACAATAGGACAGAAGGGTTTGGAGCTCAGCTCTTGGAGGTAGAAGCAGAGGAGGGGGTAGTACTTCAAAGTTCTCCTCGGTTACATAGCAAGTTCTGGGCCAGTGTGGACACATGAGACCCTACCTCAAAATAACAACTGAAAGAAAAAGGAAGGAGAAAGAAGTCGGGTGGTGGTGTGGGGTTGTGGAGGCAGCAGAAGACACATACCACGACTGTTCGGCCTTTGAACAGGGAGACTTTGAGGTCGAAGACCTGCACGTGGACAGCTTTGACACTGGAGACTTCCAAGTTGCCGTCGTGAACCTCGTTGGTGACACTCACTACAAAGTTGTTGTCATGAGCATTGGACCAGCAAGGCTGCGTCAGTACATATGTGCAGGTGCCCATAAAATGATGCAAAGCTCCATCAAATGTCAGGTAGTGGGGGTCACCTGAGGCAATGCAGGTGGCTGCACCTAGAGAAGAGAGGTCAGGCTTTGGTGTCTCGTTGCCCCACACCCCAGAAGCCCTGAGTCAAGGCTGCCATCTTAGGGAGGCTGTTTTGAGGTGGTACACATCCTTGGATTTCAGTTCCTTCTAGGGAGAATTGTTGGATTGGCCCAGGAAGGTCAAGGAAGGAGACTACATTCCTCAACTTCACGTTCTCAGCCCTTGAAGATGCTGATCCTACTTTGAAAGTTTGGATCTGGAATCCCAAAGACACATGCATATGCCAGAATCTTGATTCTCCAGCTCAGTACTATTGGGAAATGGTAGAAACTTCAGGAGTGGCAGAAGGTTTGAGGTCAGTTGGGGGGATGTTGTTGAAGGGGATTGCACTTCTTTCTCCTTCCCTCCCTCAAGTCCCAGCCATGATGCAAGGAATGTTTTGTTCTGCTGTTTCCCAACAGGATGTGCTGACTAACCACAGGACCCAAAGCAACAAGATCAAATGATCACAGACCGAAACCTCCCAAACGGGGAGATCAAGGAAAAGGTCCTCCTTGTCCTCCTCACCTTTCTCCTCCTTTCCCCCCTCCTTTTATTCAATAATAAAGCATTTGTTGATTTTTCACACAGTCCAATTACTTCTACACAAATGGCTTCAAAGTAGTTATATGGCCCCAAAGGATTGTGGGTTAACAGTCTAGCCAACAGCCTCAGGACATTTGCCCCTCTGCTCTCAACTGCTCCCCTCTCTCTCATCACTCTGAACACTTACTGATCCTAGGGGGAAAGAAACCCCCTGAAGCATCTATCTAAGCCCAAATGAGCGAAAGCAGTGATATTTCCCAACCCATAAAAGCTCAGGGAGATGGGACTGAGCTTTACAGCGGACAGCCTTAAACGTTGGGTTCTTCTGCCGTCATAGCTTCAGATGAGACCCTGACACACCGGGAAAGAGAGCGCCTCATGGCAAAATCGCCTCCACCAGACTGGCCTGCGGGTAAACTGTGGGGGCATTTCTGTGATTCTTAGCTGATGTACAAGGGCCCGGTCCCCTGGAAGCAGTACAGTCCCCAGGCAAGCGGTGCTAGGCTGCTGAAGAGCTGAATTTGATTTTGGAAGAAGCCAGCAGCATTGTTTCTCCAGCTCCTGCCTCCAGGTTCCTGCCTCGGCTTCCCTCAATGAAGGACTGTTAACCTGTAGGTCGAAATAATCCTCTTCCTCCCCAGGTTGTTTTGGTCCTGATGTTTATCACAGCATAGAAAGAGAGGACACTTTGAGAAAAACCTCGCTTTTGTTTCATGAGGTTTTAAGGAAGTCTGAAAGCACAATGCCAAATCAGAATTTTACAGCTAAATTGTACTCTTCACAGCTATTTCTCCCAGTTAGGGTCTGATTTCCAATGAAAACTGTTCTGCACATTGACTCCCCGGTATTGTCGGAGGGCTGTAAGGTTTCAGTCTCCTGATAGGACATGCAATGATCATGCAACAACGCAAACCAAGAAACCCTTTGCAAGTAAAGATTAATGTGACATTTAGGCCAAAGAAAACGTCAACGTGGCCTTAAAAATATGAACTCTCCACAGAACGATCAACCAATTAAAAAAAAATAAAATAAAAGAGGCCTAATTTTTTGAACTGCAAACTGCTGCATTGCTCTTACTTCTGAAGGCAATAAATCAATAAAAACTCCCCCAGCGGAAGTCCTTAAACAAACTAAATGCTTACTTCTTATTTTTGTTTGTTTGGTGTTTGCTTTTGGGTTATTTTGATGATGGTGGATGTTTGGGGGTTTTTTGTTTTGTTTTGTTTTTATCTTTTGAGACTGGGTTTCTCTGTATAGGTTGTTGTTTTCCTAGAACTCACTCTGTAGACCAGGCTGGCCTCGAACTCACAGAGATCCTCCTGCCTCTGCTACCCAAGTACTGGAATTAAAGGTGTGTGCCACCACCGCCTGGCAAAATGGTTTATTTCTGAAAGTATACATCATATCTGCTCCAAAGAATAAAGACACCCAGCTGGTTGGTGGTGCACACCTTTAATCCCAGCACTTGTGAGGCAGAGGCAGGTGGATCTCTGAGTTTGAGGCCAGCCTGGTCTACAGAGTGAGTTCCAGGACAGCCAGGCTACACAGAGAAACCCTGTCTCAAAAAAAAAAAAAAAATACAAAAGGATAAAGACAGACACAACAAAGAACACCTCACCAAGAATGTACCCAGTAGTAGGAATCGAGTGTAGCCTAAGGATATGGAAGGAAACACATTCTAAGACCAGAGAGTTTTCCCACAACGAGAAGAACAAAAGTTATTACTTGATACCCGGTGTTTCTCATTTCTTTCTTGAAACCTTGGTAAGTGTTGGGGTTTTGACAGCGTCCATTAAAGGCAGTACTGAGATCTCTGCTCATGTCCTCAGAGAGGCCTCGAACGCACTGGATCTTGGCTGAAGAGTCCGGCTCCAGGCCCCGCAGGTAACATCTTCTCGGATTTTCTTCCCTCTCCCGGCGACCTCTGCTCTTCTCTTTCCTGCTTGAGTGTTCGCAGAAGATTTTCAGAGGACTCTTCCCCCGGCACTTCTGATGGATACTGTTGCCCGGAAGTACCTGTCGTGTTCCTCGCGGGTTCTTCTCCCGGATGTGCCGGCCGTGTTCCTCGCGGCTTCTCCCGGATGTGCCTGTCGCGTTCCTGGGAGCTGCTCCTCCCGGAAGTACATGCCGTGCCTGTGGCCTTGCCCACAGCTGCTCCTCCCAGACCTAGAGGTACTCGCTGGTCACCTGAAATTTCCTGAAGGGATTTCCTGTTGCACTCCAGGCTCCTCATAGCATAGAGCAGAATATTCTGTCAAGCTCCTGGTTTCGCAGATTCACTTCTTCCCAGGAACCATCTTCTGCTGTCTTCCTCTCCTTTCCTTCCTTTTTATTTATTTATTTGTTTGTTTGTGTTTGTTTTAAACAGTCTCTGGGCTGGAAAGATGGTGCAGGATAAGTGAAGAGCACTTGCCGGTTTTGCAGCCAGAATTCAGCTCCCAGCGCTCAGAATGTAGGGTTAGGGGAGCTTCCAACTGTCTGCAACTGCAACTCCAGGGGATGTGGCGCCCCCTCTGGCTTCTTCAGGTACTTACATCCACGTGTACACCAGTCTCACACACAGAGACACAAACACATTTACAGTTAAATATTGAGACAGTCACATGTAGCCTGGACTGGACTCAAACCAGCTATGCAGCTGAGGATGATCCTCCTGCCTCCAACTCCCAAATGCTGGGGTTACAGGCAGGCACTATCACCACAGCTAAAGCTTCCTTCTTCATAAATGGTTCTTTCTCATTATTTGTTCCCATCTCAGTAAAAATGACCAGCGCAAATCTCTAGTTGAGTCCCTAGTTTTGGGGAACACTGCTTTTGGCAATGTTTTCCATGTTACTTTACTAAGTTCTGCTTTCCATATTACTGTATTACCAGATCTTGACAAAAGTGACTTAAGCATGGGGGCTTTCTGGCATGCAGTGTGCCGGGAGGCCACCGTGGTGGGAAGGTGTGGTGACGAGGATGTCAGGTAGCTCCTGTGGCATCCTTATAGCCAGGGAGCAGAGGATGCTGGTGCTCGACTCGATTTCCCTGTTCACATAGTCCAGGACCACAGCCCATGGAACCATGAGGCTTCCATTTAGTGTGGGTCATCTCACTTCAGTGAACTGAATCTAGAAACTTGCTAACAGACGTGGCCAAAGGCTTGTTTCCTAGATGTTTCTAGACCCTGTCAATCTGACGCTCAGTATTAACTGTCATCATCCTCTCAGATGAAGGCCCTGCTCACCTTCCACGGCGACTTGACTGCTCACCTTGGGCGTGACAGCCTAACACACCATTCCTGTGGCTACAGACTTCCTGAGCCCTACACTTCCAGGGCCGGCAGCGAACGTTGTTGTTACCATCACAAGTGCAGATCTCTTTGCAGTCTGGATTAAACCATTGCTCCTGTACCTGGGTGCAGAAGGGAACGCAGTAAGAGATGGCTTCCTTGCCTGGTTATCTTGTCTTCCTGAAGCTCTGGGCTTAGGTGCAAGAGTCTGGTATCAAATAGGCCTAGTAGTATACCAAGTGCAGTGGGAGAACCCTGTTCCAGAAAGTGATGAAGCAGGATGCCTGGCATCCTCCACGGGCCTCCACACTACACACACCACACAGACAAATTAATAGGATACTTAAAAAAAAAAAAAGAGGGCCAGCAAGGTGACTCAGTAGGCAGGAACACTTAGTGCCGCAAAGCCTGAGGATCTGAGTTCAATCCAGAGACCCAACGCTAAAAGGAGAGCCCCAACTCCCGAAGGTTTTCCTCTGAGCTTGGCATGTGAGTACAAGCACACCACACGCTCCCAGTTAAAATAGACAGACACCCAGGACAACTTCCTGCCATGAATATCCACTATCAATACTTGCTACTAAGATAAATTAAACAGAATTTATCTTTCGTTAAATATAAAAGTAAAGATACACTCTTTTAAACTTATTTTGTTTTGTGTGCCTCACCTACATGTATGTCTGGGTGAGGGAATCAGGACTGAAGTCACAGACAGTTGTGAGCTGCCACTTGGGTGCTGGGAATTGAACCCAGGTCCTCTGGAAGAACAGTCAGTGCTCTTAACTACTGAGCCATCTCTCTAGTCCTGAGAGATACATTCTTTTTGTTTGTTTGTTTGCGATAGAGTAGCTCAGCTGGCCTGGAGCCTCCCAAATACTGTAATAACAGGTAAGTGTTACCACATAGGTGAAGTGTCCCTAACTTAGTTGTCAGGAAAGCTCCAGGCAGGAGGAAGGGTTGCAACAGAGCCTCAAAGGAGGTGAGATTCTAATAGGGAGAGGTGACTTAGAGGCAGAGCAGGGTGTGGGGGAAAGGCTTGAAAAAAAAAAACCCAGTTTGGTGATGGTTACATGTAACCCTAGCAGGACTGAGTTTGAGGCCAGCAAGGGGTACATAACAAGATCTTCTCTCAAAACTTTGTGGTTAAAAAAAAATGAAAAACAAGTAAAAGGTTAGAGCTGGGGCTGGAGAGACAGCTGGGCAGTAAAGAGCACTGGCTGTTCTTCCAGAGGGCCCGGGTTCAATTCCCAGCACCCACAGGGCAGCTCACAGCTGTCTGTAAATACAGATCCAGGGGATCTGACATCCTCAAGCCAATGTACACAAAACAAGGTTAAATAAATCATTAAAATTTCTTTTTTTAAAAAAAAGCTAGAGCTTTGGTACATTAACTGGTACTACAACTTTGTTGGTAGAGCTCCTGCTTAGAATGCCCTAGTGAGGGGCTGGGGTGTGGTCAGTGGTAGAGCACCTGCCTAGAATCCCCCAGTGAGGGGCTGGGGTGTGACTCAGTGGTAGAGCACCTGCTTAGAATCCCCCAGTGAGGGGCTGGGGTGTGGTCAGTGGTAGAGCCCCTGCCTAGAATCGCCCAATGAGGGCTTGGGGGCGTGGCTCAGTTATTAAGCTCTTGCTAAACATACATAAGGCCCTGGGTTCCATCTTCAGCAACATCAAAAAAAAGGAAAAGAGGGAGGGAAGGAAGGAAATTAGAGTAGAGCCAGGACGGAGGGAGGGAGGGAGGAAGAGAGAGAGAGAGAGAGAGAGAGAGAGAGAGAGAGAGAGAGAGAGCGAGCGAGCCGAGCATGGATCCAATATGCCAGTCTTAGCTACTCTTGCTTTTGCTCTGACCTTCTCTTTCTTGCCTATCCCCCATTGCCCTCCCCCACCTCAACCCAGGGCTTCAGAAACTCAGAGCAAGTCCTTTCTGTCTGTAGGGCTGAGGGGTTCACGCCAGCTGCTCACCTTGAAGTAGCGTCCCTCGAGGCTGGTGCACCCACACTGGATCCGAGGGACGCACTCAAAACCACTGAGCACGAAGCCAGGCTCACACTCGCATGCTTCCACACACTTTTTTGGGCAGGGCTGGAGAGCAGATCCAGGATGGCAGGTGTCCGGGCATGGTTTGGCACATAGGGAGTACCTGCTATTTTGAGGGCAGACCAAGGCTGTGGAGGGAGAAGCTTAAGTAAGAGAACGGGCAAGCTGGCTGTGCAGACCTGTAAATCCAGGACTCGGGAAACTGTGGAAGCAGGGTTGAGAGTTCCAGGACAGCCTGGGCTGCAGAGTGAGAACCTGTCTCAGAAAATAACTTCAAAAGGAGATAGATGAGGCCAAGGGACAAGAGGAAAGAATATGCGAAGAAGGTCCCAGCTAGAGATGCCAGGACCAAGACTGAGAAACAGGCCTTGGAGGCGATGAGCCTAGGAGCTCAGCTGACCGCCAGGGCTTGCTGCTGAAGCTAAAACAGTGGCCTGCAGTTTGAGGATACAGTTCACTTGGTAGAGTGCTTATGTGCATGCACGAGGCCCTGGGTTCCAACCCCAGTGCGGCATAAACTGGTTGTGATCGTGCATGACTGTAACCCAGGCCTGGGGAGGTGGAGACAAGAGGATCAAGAATTCAGTGCCATCTTAAACTCCATGGTGAGTTCAAGACTAACCTGGGCTACATGAGACCCTGGCTCCAAAAGCAAACCAAACAAAAGAGCCAGGCCTGTTGCTTGGATGCTACCAAGGCCCTCCATGGAAAGCAGATGAGCTCCGAGTTAGAAGATGCACCCACTCTGATAGATAGACATTCTCAATAAGCAAGTATGGCACCCAGCAACCCATGAAGAGCCTGGTCCTGGGGATGCAGCTTCCCCAGAGGACTTGGAGGTGGGGGTGCGGTCCATGCCAGAGCTTCAACACAGACTCAGGCCTTCACAGACTTCACGCATGAGGACTTGGGGGAGCACAAAAGTACACTATCTTCTTCCCTACTGAACCAAGTAACTGTGGGTGCTTATTGTTCTGCCTTCTCTTCCTCTTCCTCCTCTTCATCCTTTTCCTCCACCTGCTCCCCCTCTCATATTTCTTCTTCTCCTTCTTTTCCTCCTCCTCCTGAGTACTCCCAGTGCTGAGGATTCAAACCAGGGCCTTGAGCAGCACATCAGAGAAGTGCTCTACATCTGAGCCACACCCCAGCTTCTCACTGACAAGCACCCTATCACTAAGCCACATCCCCAGCTCCTCGCTGGTGGATTCTAGAAACATGCTGTACTGCTACACCATGCACCTAGCCCTCTTTATGACTTTATGTTTTGAACCGAGCCTCCCTAAGATGGCCATCTTGGCCTTCAACTTGAGATCTTCCTGCCTCGGCCTCTCCAGGAGCTGAGGTTACAGAACCTGCTGTCTGGCCAGCTTACTCATTGTTCTCAGGCATCCTTCCAGCTCTCCCCGCTACCTTCTCCTCATAGGTAACTGTAGTAGAGGGACAACAGGAGTACCCTGTCTGTATCTACAGGAAGCTCTGCCAGATCATCCCCCAATGCTTTGGGTCCTAACTCACGGCAGAACTGGGGTCTTCTCCAGGGCCTCACGGCATAGCCAGCATCTTGGCAGACAGCAGTCATGGCTGACATATGAGTACAAAGCATCTGCTGGAGCCCCTGGAAGCTACACATGTCCGACACACAGTTATCCAAGAAGAATGAGGCCTTCATGTGGAACAGGCATGCCCTGGGGAGAGAGGTTGAGTCAAGACGGCAGGAAAGGGCAGAGCCTCTGTTCTCCACCTCAGAGAAACCCTAGTGCTGAGCAACCCCAGGCAGCCCATCCGCCTTCTTCCATACTCAAAGGTTCCTCTTGGATCAACAAGCTGGCCACATAACTTGTGCTCCGACATAGTTCTTCCCAAGGCTGGATCACAAGATGGGGGGCTCTTCTTGTTCTGACACCTGGAAGAGACCCAACCCAAGCAGTCAACAAGACTGGAAGAGCCCAAAAGAGGTAGAACAGCTGGAGTCTCCAGGTAGGGAAAGAGGAAAGGGCAATGCTAGTCATCTTCTTTTGTTCCTTTTGAGACAATATCACTACATTAACCCAGCCTTGACTTTGACCTTCCTCTAGTTCTGGAAACTAAAGATCACAGGCAACCCCCACCCCAGTCCGTTACTTTTGCTTCAGTTTTTACTGAGGATCAAACCCAACACCTGGTGCATACTAGACAAGATCTCCACTAAAAAGCCACACCCCAGCCCCTCACTGGGGGATTCAGGCAGGGGCTCTACCACTGAGCTATAAGCCCAGCTCTTGGTATTTAGAAACTGGATCTTGTTATGTCTGTGGCTGCAGACGAATGACAGGCAGGAACAGCTAAGCCCAGTTCTGATAGATCTTAAAATGGGCAGAGGACTGAGAAAAGGAGGTCCACCCCTGGCCCCCAGTGGGGAGCCTCACTCACTCCTTGTTCTCTTCCTCTTTCAACTGCCAGCTCTTCCCCAGCTCGTCCCCATCCTGTGTCCTCGTGCCGTCTGGCTTCTGGTTATCATTGCTGCTGTCCCCGTCATAGTTCCCACAGAGACCACAGAGTTTTCTCGAGTAGGTACTGTGGGTCCAGGAGAGGGATGAGTCATGACTGGGAAGAAGGGTCTCAGTCATCAGAGACCACAGCAAGGGGGCAGATTCTGTGACAGGCCCCAGCCTGAGCCATCTCTACAGGATCCTCTGTTCTTTCTGCTCAACATCCCTTGCTGCCCCTACCTTCTCATGGGTTTAAGCAAGAATGTTTCTCTCTCTCCTCTCTCTCTCTCCTCTCTCTCTCTCTCTCTCTCTCTCTCTCTCTCTCTCTCGTGTGTGTGTTTATGCACAGGTATGCATGTATGTGTGGGTCAGAGGTCAAAAATGGGTATGTTCCTCAGGTGCTGTCCACCTTATTTTTTTTAGTATATACATGTGAATATGTATTTTAGTATTTTTCTTTTTTTTTTCTTTTTTTTTTTTTTTTTTTTTTTTTTTTTTTTTTTTTTTTTTTTTTTTTTTTTTTTTTTTTTTTTTTTTTTTTTTTTTTTTTTTTTTTTTTTTTTTTTTTTTTTTTTTTTTGAGACAGGGTTTCTGCGCGTAGCCCTGGCTGTCCTGGAACTCACTCTGTAGACCAGGCTGGCCTAGCACTCAGAGATCCATCTGCCTCTACCTCCCAAATTGAAGGAGGGCATCACCACTGGCCAGCATTTGCTTTTATTTTATGCATATGTGTGTCTTGCCTGCACGTATATTTGTACACCACGTGCATTCAGTGTCCACAGAAGTCAAAACAGGGCATCATGTCCATTGGGACTAGAATCACAGACAGTTGTGGGCTGCCATGTAGGTGCTCAGAATTGACCCTGGGTCCTCTGAACTCTCAGCCCTGGTGAGTGTGTGTTTTACATACCCTCATGTGCACTCAGAGGCCATAGAAGGAAGTTGGATGTCTTCTTCGATCACTCTCCACTTTATGTCTTTGAGACAGGGTCTCTCACTGAACCTGCAACTAGGCTGGCGGCCAGCAAATTCCAGGGATCCTCCTGTCTCTGCCCTGCACAGCCCTGGAGTTGCAGGTGCACGCACAGCCATGTCCAGCTTTTAAGATTCAAGCTCGGGGCCTCATGCTTGTGCATGAAGAACCCTTGCCCTCTGAACCATCTCCTCAGCCTCCTCCAGCTTGGCTTTTGAGGAAGGGTCTCTCGCCGACTCTGGAGCTCAGCGAGTCAGGGTGGATGGCTCGCAAGCCCGGAGAGTCCTTTCATCCCTGCTTCCCCGGGCACTGTAATTATGAACACACCACTGCACCCAGCTGTTCTTTGTGTCTGTGTGAGTTCCAGGGTTGGAATTTACCAGATGTGCCACCTCTCCACAAAGCCTGACTTATCCTTGTCTGGGGAGCCACTCTTCCCTGAAGAATGGCCTCTGGCAGCCGCTCCCCTGACTGCTCTCCAGCACATTCCGAGGCATTGTGTTTGCATCCTGCTGTTATCTCACTGCCCTGACCCCACTTCCTCCTGTTTCCCTTCTGTTGCTCAGGTTAGGAGCTTCCCAGCTTTGAGGACACATGTAAATGATTAACCCCGAGTGGCTGGAATGGTGCAGGGTGGAGCATTCCGGGAGAGGAATGTCAGCTTCCTAACTAGGCTACCTCCCTTACCTGGGCACAGTCATAAAAAGCTGCTGGTCACCATCCCATTTGACACGCAAACCAAATGTCGTCCTCAACTCCACAAATCGCCCACTCAGACCCACATAGATGTTATTAGAAGGTATCACTGGGAGGGTGACTCTCTGGTCTCCAATCTGGCAGATAGAGGAGACAGAGAGCGTGATCCAGGGGTCGAGGAGAGAGAGCCCTAAGACTCTAGCATCACCCCTCACACAGCATCCCTCCAACTTCTCTTGCCCGGGCTGGTTTGAAGCATCACCGTCATTATTTTGCTGAAGCCCATCCCTGACAGGGTGTGGGGACAGGTGGGGCTGACTGTAGCCTGGCCTGGAGGAACCAGCAAAGGATGGGACTCACCAGTGTTTGTCTACCACTGGTCATGGTAATGGTAGTCTCCGGAAGGGTGATGAAGACTCTGTCCAGGGATGATATGCCTTCTACTCCCCGTTCTTGGGTGCTTGCTGTTATTTTAAAGAATGAATCTAGATGGAGAGAGGAAGGGCCATGTTTCAAACGTTTGTTTGTTTGTTTGGTTGGTTAGTTGGTTGTTTTCAGACAGGGTCTCATTATAGCTTAGACTAGCTAAGAATGAACTTGAACTCTTGAGAGTACTGCCCTTGCCTCCCCAGTGCTGGCATCATTGTAGACATGTGCCACCATGCCCAGTTTATGTGGAACCCAGCCAGGGCTTTGTGCACGCTAAACAAGCACTCAGCTGACTGAGCCGCGTCGCATCCCCAGCCAGTTGGTTTTCAGAAGTAGTCTTGCTGTGTATCCCAAGCTTAAACTGACAACCTCCCTGCCTCAGCCTCCAGAATGCTGGGGTTAAAAGTGTGCTCCACCCCATCCTCTGCTTTCTGACACCCTGTTGGTGGTGGTGCCCGACTTGGCACTGCCAGGCAGACAGAATGTTCCATGATATGGCCCTGACTCAGAACCCAAACGGAAAGGAACACAGCATGATTTTCTGCTTTCATGGTCTCCTGTCTCCCCTCTGTGGACTAGGACATCTTCAGGCCATCCTGTTCATTTATGACTCCTTTGTCACCCTTTTTGTGAGACAAGACCAGAGCTGGTCTCAAACTGTGTAGCTGAGATGACCTTGAACTCCTGATCCTCCTGCCTTAGCCTACCCAGGGCGGAGAGGATGGGCTTGCACTCCACACTCACGAGGCCCCAACCCCACCCCACCCCTCCCCCGCCGTTCGGGCTTGAATCTCCTACCTGTGGAGTTGTCACAGGTCTGGGCCAAGATATAGGTACACGTTCCTGTGAAGCTAATGTGTCTCTCATCAAAGGTGACAAAATGAAGGTCCCCATAGACCAGGCAGGTGGCACTACCTGCCAGAGAAAGGGAACGGAGACGTAGGAAGCTATTTCCAGTGTCCAGCCTGACTGAATCCAACACACCAGCCCCTCCTACCCAAAGACAATCCCAGCTCCAAGGCCCAAGGCAGATGTGGGGCGCACAGGCTCTCCCTGACTCTGACAGGGTGTTGATTTACAAAGACACTAGGGACGACTTTCTGGGGTCAGAACAGCACATGCAAACGTGGGGACGGGCAGTGCTTACCGTAAGGCTGGCATTCATATTCGCCTCTCTTCAGCAGGCACGCCGTGTCCGTCGCACACTGGGAGATCTGACACTCCATCCGGCTACCGGGCAGGCAGCGGCACCGTTCTGTGCAGTTGGGACTAAACCATTCTTCCCCAGGCTAAGGGCAACAGATGGAGTGTCACAAAGCCGCAGTTCTAAGGTGTGTGTGTGTGTGTGTGTGTGTGCGCGCGCGCGCACGCGCGCGTGTCTGTTTCCGTGAGCCATGGCACAAGTCTGGAGATGAGAGAACAACTTTCTTGGGGAATCTGTTGTCTCTTTCCACCATGCGGGTCCAAGGGGTGACACTCAGGGCCTTTACCTGCTGAGCCATTCCACCAGCCCTCCCGCTGTGCTTTGTTTCTGAAGCAGGCTCTCACTACATCGTACTCAGGTAACTCTCCTGCCTCAAGCGCCCTCACGTTGGCCTGCAGACACCTCTGGGAGTATCCTCCTATTGCCTTCATGGATATGGGAAGACCTAGCCTAAAAGTGCACACCCCATTCTCTGGTTGGTCCTGGACTACACGAGAGTGGAGAAAGCTGGGCACTAGGCATGCACTGACCTCCCTGTGCTCTTGACTGTAGAAAGTGTATAAAAGTAGAACCATCTGGGGCTGGAGAGATGGCTCAGAGGTTAAGAGCACTGACTGCTCTTCCAGAGGTCCTGAGTTCAATTCCCAGCAACCACATGGTGGCTCACAGCCATCTGTAATGAGATCTGGTTCCCTCTCCTGGCCAGCAAGCATACAGACAGAGAGAACACTGTATACATAATAAATAAATAAATCTAAAAAAAAAAAAAAGTAGAACCATCTTTCATTCCTGCTGCCTTGACTTCCTCTCAGTGATGCTCTGTTCCTTGGAGCTATGAGCTACAGGAAACCCTCACCTCCCAAGGTTTGTTTTTAGCCTGGGTATTTTATCAGAATATTTTATGAAACCAAAACATATCTTTACCAAAAACAATCTAATTTTTTTGTTGATTTTTTTTTTTACACCATGTCTCATGTAACCCAGGCTAGCCTTAAATTCCCTTAACCAGCTGAGGATGATCTTGAACTCATGACCCTCCTGTCTCCATCTCTCTACGGTTATGATTACAGGTGTGTGCTGGCACACCTAACTGTATACACTCTGAGGTAAGGAGAGAAGAATCTTGAGCCAAGAGTGGTAGTGCACACCTATAATCCCAGCATTTGGAAGACTGAGGCAAGAGAATGGACACAAGTCTGTGGGCAGCCTGGGCTACAAAATGAGTTCCAGGCCAGCCCGGAGCAGCAAATAAGACTCCACCCAGAATGGCAGCAACAAAATGGAGTAGCGTTTCCCTCCTCTTGCCGGAACTGAAACATGGCAGAAGAAGAAGATCTGGATGTAGCTCAGGGACTTGTCTGACAGGCTCAAAATCCTAGGTTCCATCCTTAACACTGCACAGCTGGAACCCAGCATGTGGACGGTGGAAGAGAAAAAGCAGATGTTGAGGGGCTGAAGGTCCGCCTGGGACATATGAGACTTGTATCTCAAAAGAAACTAAATGAGTCAGGCAGTGGTGGCACACCATTTTTTTTTTTTTTTTTTTTCGAGACAGGGTTTCTCTGTAGCTTTGGAGCCTGTCCTGAACTAGCTCTTGTAGACCAGGCTGGTTTCGAACTCACAGAGATCCGCCTGCCTCTGTCGCGCCCGGCTGGCACACCATTTTAATCCCAGGTCTTGGGTGGCAGAGGCAGGCGGATCTCTGTGAGTTTGAGGCCAGCCTGGACTACAGAGTGAGTTCCAGGACAGGCTCCAAAGCTACAGAGAAACCCTGTCTCTAAAAAGAACCAAAAATGTGATAGTTCTGTAGCTTGGCCCTCTTGTGGGACTCCTAACAGTGGGAACAGGGGTGTCTCTGACTCTTTTACTGTCTTTTGGGACCCTACTCCTCACACTGGGTCACCCTGCCCAGCCTTAATACATGGGGAGATAATCTTACTGGAACTTAGTATTCCATATGCTGTTGAATCTCATGGAAGACCCGTCTTTTCCTAAATAGAAATGGAGGGGTAATGGATTGTAAAATAAATAATAAATTTATTAAAATTAAAAAAAAATAAAATAAAAACTAAATACAAATGTAGGTTTTACTGTGCATATTATATAGCCATGGGAAACAGATTTAACAAGATAAACATTCCCAAGGTCATGCAGAGGAGGCATGCTGCATCCATGTCCCGGCTCTGCTACCTAACTCTAGATTGTCTATTATGCTAGTCACCAGCCATACCTAGTGACTGAGCTCTGGCAATGCAGTTAGTGGTAGAGCACTATCCTAAAGCCCACCAGTAAGGGATTGGGAGTGTGGCTCAGTGGTAGAGCCCCTGCCTAGAATCCCCCAGTGAGGGGCTGGGGTGTGGTTCAGTGGTAGAGCCCCTGCCTAGAATCCCCCAGTGAGGGGCTGGGGTGTGGCTCAGTGGTAGAGCCCCTGCCTAGAATCCCCCAGTGAGGGGCTGGGGTGTGGCTCAGTGGTAAAGTGCCTGTTCAACATCCCCTAGTGAAGAGGTGGACTGTGGGTCCTTGGCAGATCACTTCCCTAGGATGCAAGCTGTCCTTGGCTCCATCCTCAGCACTGTAAAGCCAAAACCAGTGCTGAATGGATGGCTCTCCCATTTTATAACCAATCCTTTGAGCCTATACCCTGGAACTTTCTAGGCTCTTCTCACACAGAGAGAAAGCAGGGGCACGAGATCCAAGGTGTTCTGGCATCAATTCCCCTTTGGAAATCTGGGCATCCCCGGAGTCATACCTTATAATATTTGTTGCTATAGAAGCAATTGCAGGAAGAAGCATTAATACATTGATAGTTCCTAAACAGAAATCCAGGATTGCAGACACAGCCAGTTCTGCAGGGGGCGTGGCAGTGGGGCTTGGGGTTCTCACAGGATGCAAGGCACGCACACAATTCCAAGTGGGCATTTGGAGGGCAGCTCTCTGGAAGGAAAGCACAGCCTTCATCAGGCTTCCATTGCACAACTGCCTCCGGACCCAGAAGCCTCCCTGTCTCTCTCCTACTCTGAACTCCAGTTCTTTTCTAAGCAAGCCTGCCTTTATCCTTCCATTAAAAATAAGAGTGAAATAGCTGGGCATGGTGGCGTCTGTGGGAAGCCGAGAGAGGAAGACTGCCAAGGGTTCAAGGCCAGCTCCATAGTGGATTTGAGGCCAGCCCGAGCTACATAACAGGACCTTGTCTCGAAAACAAAAAGTTCTGACCAATGTTGTAATGAGGTCGACATCTTGAAGACATTGTGCTCACAAATATGTTATATGGTTCCACTGATGTGAAATATTCAGGTCCAGGTCAGGTGTGGTGGTACGTGCCTGTAATTCTATTATTCTGGAGACCAATGCAAGGAGATCATCAGTTTGAGGCTAGCCTGAGCTATATAGGAAGACAGGAAGGCAAGAAAGGAGGGAAAGAGAATGGAGTCAGGAGAAGGAAGAAAAGAGGGAAGGGAGCTGAGGATGATTCAGTTTGTGGCTGGTGTATCTGCAGTCTGTGTATCTGCAGCCTTTTACCTCAAGTCCCTCCCTCCCTAATCTCCTCATTGTCTTCTACAGAGAGCTCCAGGCCATGCTCTGCCCACTTCATACCTGTGGTAGTTATACCTGCAGCCAGGGCCATCGAGACACCTGGAACCTGTGACGGGCTTGGACAGGGTGGTTTACCTGTTGTGGGCATTTGAATGGGAGTAGATTGCTCTGCAAAGACAGTCGTCTCTTCAGTGGGGACAATGGTCCCTTCAGGAGGGGTGGCAGTCTCCTCAGGAGGGACGCTGGTCTCTTCAGTGGGGACAATGGTCCCTTCAGGAGGGGTGGCAGTCTCCTCAGGAGGGACGCTGGTCTCTTCAGGAGGGACGGTGGTCCCTTCAGGAGGGGTGGCAGTCTCCTCAGGAGGGACGCTGGTCTCTTCAGGAGGGACGGTCCCTTCAGGAGGGGTGGCAGTCTCCTCAGGAGGGACGCTGGTCTCTTCAGGAGGGACGGTGGTCCCTTCAGGAGGGGTGGCAATCTCCTCAGGAGGGACGCTGGTCTCTTCAGGAGGGACGGTGGTCCCTTCAGGAGGGGTGGCAATCTCCTCAGGAGGGACGCTGGTCTCTTCAGGAGGGACGGTGGTCACTTCTGGAGAGGTGGTGGTCTCCTCAGGAGGGACGCTGGTCTCTTCAGGAGGGACGGTGGTCCCTTCAGGAGGGGTGGCAGTCTCCTCAGGAGGGACGCTGGTCTCTTCAGGAGGGACGGTGGTCCCTTCAGGAGGGGTGGCAATCTCCTCAGGAGGGACGCTGGTCTCTTCAGGAGGGACGGTGGTCACTTCTGGAGAGGTGGTGGTCTCCTCAGGAGGGACGCTGGTCTCTTCAGGAGAGATGGTGGTCACTTCTGTAGTGACAGTGGTCGCTTCTGTAGTGACAGTGGTCACTTCTGTAGTGACAGTGGTCACTTCTGTGGCAGCAGTGACCACTGTTGTGGGGACAGTGGTCACTTCTGGAGAGGTGGTGGTCTCCTTAGGAGGGACGCTGGTCTCTTCATGAGAGGCAGTGGTCACTTCTGCAGTGACAGTGGTTGCTTCTGTAGTGACAGTGGTCACTTCTGTGGGGACAGTGGTCACTTCTGGAGAGGTGGTGGTCTCCTCAGGAGGGACGCTGGTCTCTTCATGAGAGACAGTGGTCACTTCTGAAGTGACAATGGTCACTTCTGTGGCAGCAGTGACCACTGCTGTGGAGACAGTGGTCACTTCTGGAGAGGTGGTGGTCTCCTCAGGAGGGACGCTGGTCTCTTCATGAGAGACAGTGGTCACTTCTGAAGTGACAATGGTCACTTCTGTGGCAGCAGTGACCACTGCTGTGGAGACAGTGGTCACTTCTGGAGAGGTGGTGGTCTCCTCAGGAGGGACGCTGGTCTCTTCATGAGAGACAGTGGTCACTTCTGAAGTGACAATGGTCACTTCTGTGGCAGCAGTGACCACTGCTGTGGAGACAGTGGTCACTTCTGGAGAGGTGGTGGTCTCCTCAGGAGGGACGCTGGTCTCTTCATGAGAGACAGTGGTCACTTCTGAAGTGACAATGGTCACTTCTGTGGCAGCAGTGACCACTGCTGTGGAGACAGTGGTCACTTCTGGAGAGGTGGTGGTCTCCTCAGGAGGGACGCTGGTCTCTTCATGAGAGACAGTGGTCACTTCTGAAGTGACAATGGTCACTTCTGTGGCAGCAGTGACCACTGCTGTGGAGACAGTGGTCACTTCTGGAGAGGTGGTGGTCTCCTCAGGAGGGACGCTGGTCTGTTCAGGAAGGACAGTGGTTACTTCTGTAGGGATGATCTCCTCAGGAGGGACGCTGTCCTCTTCAGGAGAGACAGTGCTCTCTTTTGCAGTGACAGTGGTCACTTCTAAAGTGAAAGTGGCCACTTCTGTGGCAGCAGTGACCAGTGTTGTGGGAGTAGTTGTCTCCTCAGGAGGGATGCTGATTCTTTCTGTGGAGGCCATGGTCTCTTCAGTGGAGACAGTGGTTGTTTCTATGGGGAGCATAGGGACTGTGGTTTCAGAAGAGCCAATAGGTGGACTCAGAGAACCGGAAGGAGTTTCCATGTGTGGGAATGCTACAAAGAAAAACAAACCCCTGTAAACTCATTAAAATTAGACCACCTCCCTTTCACTCACCCAAATAGGAGTGGGTGGGCTCAAGGGGGCACTTAGTCACCCCTATTTCTGTTCCCAATCCCCAACCTTCACTCTCTTGCTCAAGAGGCAGAGTTCCCAAAGCACCTGACATGGTGCCAGGTACAGGAATCACAAAACTGAGCAGGAGATAGGTCCTGCCTTCAACACCACTAGAGAAGGAACAGTGTGGATCTGGCCACAGAAACTCATGCCATCAAAGACTCCATCAAAGTGCCCCACCTGACATTGAGGCAAAAGGATCACAAGTTTGAGGCCAACTGGGCTACATTGTGATCGCCTGTCTTACAGGGAAAACAAAACAAGTTCAGCAGGAAAGGACTTTCCCAGGATTCCCCTGGTGAGGGGCTGGCACCATGGCTCAGTGGTAGGGCCCTCACCTAGAATCCTCTAGTGCGAAGCCAGGGTGTGACTCAGCACTAGAGTGAGCCTGCCTGGCAGGTCTGAGCCACTAGGTTCTAGTCCTCATACCAGGGAACAGGGAAGAAGCTGGGCCCTCGAGTTTTATCTTAGCCCGACACGGTCCATGACTGATCAAGATGTAATTCACAGCGATGACAAAGGCAGTGCTGGTCCCCCGGGTGGCCTCAAGAAGCAACTGAAGGCAATGGAGGACAAAGGAAGAAGAACAGGAAAATAAATCCCCAGAAACTCAAAAACTCCACAGTGCCTGTCCCCTACCACCCATCACACCCCCAGCCTCTGGAGCCTTAAGTCCACCTTTTCTCTGGGCTCCTCCCCGCTTATAACCTGACTATGAAATGCCCCATGCAGACATGTGTTAGCATACTTGGTCCCCATCTAGTGGCGCTGTTTTGAGAGGTTGTAGGACCTTTCAGATATAGGCCACTGGGAGACAGGCCTTTGATGACTGTAGCCTGACCTTGCTTTGGGTGCTGGTCCCTGCTTTGTGATCTTTACAAGCCACTCAGCAAGCTCATGAAGAATGAGCCCAGCCAACACGCCTTTCCCACCATGATGGGCTATACCCTCCCCCCACCAAAAAAAAAAATCCTGAGTCGAAATAATCCTCTCCCTGCATAAGGTGCTCCTGTCGGGTGCCCAAGAGAACTAACGTATCGCCTTCCTAACTCAGTTTATTGCCCACCCCCTTAGTTATGGACCCCCATACTAAGCCCCACCCCCAGATACATACAAGGCCCACTCTCCATCTCTCACCTCCATGGGCTGCTGATGTCCCTTCAGAATGGTGACAGAGCTGTTCACCCAGCCAGTGCTCTGAGACCCAACACGTTTCCACAGAGAAATGGGAGAACTGCCCGCAGGACTCCCCAACAGGAGCTTGAGCGTGGTGCCGTCTCCAAGGCCGTACATGTGGTAAGCAAACTCCACACAGACATCCCCAGGGGCACAGAAGGGTGGACTCACCAATCTGGCAGACTGTCTCACCTCGGGTACCATGGCTGAATCGAAGTAAATATAATGTTCCCCTGGGTGAAGGAAGGGAACCAGATAGGTGAGACTCCCCACACACATGCTGATTTCTGCCTACAAGTCGAGTCTAGCGGCTTGCTGCAGTCGTGCCTAACTTTCTCTTTGCTGTTTTCTTTAGTTTCTAAGACAGGGTCTTGTCGTATACCTCAGGCCAGTCTAGAACTTACCATAGCCCCACCTTAGCCTTCCCATCACATGGAGGCTTCACAACTACACTCTGCTCCTTTAGGACTGACTCTTAGCCGAAGGAGACCCAAAGACATGGGAAACCCAGTCTACAGATTCTATTGGCATCACCTGCAAATGTCTTGGCTGAAAATAAGACAGTGGATTTTGAAGTCTTGGGCTCAAGGCAGAGCAAAGACCCTATTGCTCCATCCCACCCCTAAAGCCGGGGTGGAACCTAGGGACTTTCACATGCTAAGCAAGTGCTCTGTTGTCGAGATGCACACACACGCGAGCGCACACACACACACGCTCACACATACACAGAAAGACACACACCAGCCCCTCTTCGGAGGACTCTAAACAACCACTCTACAACTGAGCCATGCCCATAGGGGGAAGCCTAGATTTCCTGTTGGGCTGCAATGATCCCACCGTCTTGAGCATCCTTGGCATCGTCTGCTTTCTGGGTCTGAGTTCCCATCCATCAACACGTGCAGGAGGTTGTTCCCTCCATCCTCTGTCATCCCTAATTCCTACATCATCCTCATGACACCACCAAGTCCCTAGCTCAGATGTAGATGCAAAGATCCATCACCCCGGGCTGGAGAGATGGCTCAGAGGTTAAGAGCACTGCCTGCTCTTCCAAAGGTCCTGAGTTCAATTCCCAGCAACCACATGGTGGCTCACGACCACCTGTAATGCCCTCTTCTGGCCTGCAGGCATACACACAGACAGAATATTGTATACATAATAAATAAATATTTTGTAAAAAAAAGATCCATCACCCCGAGGGGTCCCTCAGTCTCCTCACCTCCATATGGGAACTCTCTTGGGGGTCCTGAGATAGGGGTAGGTACACTTTTACTCCCCCAGCTCCAGTGTCCGGCGTCTCCTACCACGTGGTTCCAGTCACAGAAAGGATGAACTCTGTCTTCAAAGTTACACTGGGGAAAGCCCTCTAACAGATTCCAAGAGGAAAATTTGAGACACAGACTGTGCCCACCCACCCCCCGACACCCATTATGCCAACCCCTAACTCAACAGGGGTTCCCGAGGTCTGATTTTACCCCCACAGGGAGAGATGCTGATGGAATCCACAGCTATTGCTGGCTCTGGCTTCTCTCCAAACACACCCACCACTATGAACTGGAAAGAAGAGAATAGGCCTGGAGTGATCCGGCCTATCAACCCTCCATGCCCCACCCCAATCCTCCAGTTCTCTTATGAAGGCTAGGATTAACCGTCAACTTGATGAACTCTAAAGTCACCTCGGTAGACAGGCCTCTGGACATGCCTATTGGGGGATTAACTTGGTTGCGTTCATTGCATTGAGGTGGGGAAACCCACCCACCATGAGCGGTGCCCTTCCCTGGCTGGGATCCTGGACTGTACTGGTGGTGAGAGGAAGCTGAACAGCAGCAAGCACTCTCTGCTTCCTGATTGTGGGTGGGGCAGGACCGGCTGCTTCAGGCTCCTGCCGCCATGAATTCCTCCCTGTGGTGGACTGTACCCTCGACCTGTCAGCCAGAATGAGCCCTTTGTCCCTTAACTTGCTTTTGTGAGGGTATTTTGTCACCTTGACAGGAGAAGACACCTCCCATCTGGCATTTCCATTAAGACTCAGTGCCTTTTCCTGATGCCAAGACCCCCAGCTCACTCAACCCTATGAGAACCTACCACACGCAAGGACTCCTAATGAGGACCTCGCCCCTCTGTACCTGTATCATTCCCTGTCCTGTATAATTGACAGACACAGACTGCCAGTCGAGTCCACGGTGTCCTGAGAAGAGAGTGTGTTTCCGGATGTTGCCTAAAATGGAGAAAACACAGAAGAGAAGGAAGTTTATGGGGACTTGGAGTGAAGGACAAGTTGCATGGGGAACTCTAGGGCAATATTCCTCCAGATGCAAGCAATCCCCTAGCCCCCCTCTCCCTCTCCCTCCCCCCTCTCTCCCTCTCCCTTCTCACCTATCTATCATCAATCACCTATCATCTATCAATCACCTATCTATCATCTATCAATCACCTATCTATCTATCATCTATCTATCTATCTATCTATCTACATTTCTCATGTCTCTCCTGCTTTGTGTGTATGTGCACAGCACATGTGTGCACTCTTGCTCCCACTCCCCTGTTTTGTGTGTGTGCATACATACTCAAGTATTCATTCTTGCTTTTGCTACTGCTTTGTGTATGCTTATGTGTACAAGAGCACAAAATGCACATGCATACCCATAAGTGTATTGTGGGCAGGTTTATATGCAAATGTGCATACACATGTCTTTACTTGTGTATGGAAACCACAAGTCAAATTGAGGCGTCATTCCTCAGGAGCTAGTGGTTTTGTTTTTTGAATGAGTGACTCAGACCTGGGGCTTATTAGTCACCCTACAGTAGGTGACCATGGAGCCCCCAAGGATCCTGTTTCTGCCTACCCAGTGCTGGGATTGTAAGCAAGTGTTACTATGTTTAGCTTTCTTCATGGGTGTTGGGCATGGGAATCAGGTCCTCAAACTTGTGTGACAAGCACTTTAATATCTGAACTGCCGGATTGGTTTGCTTCTGTTTATTTGACAGTCTCCTGTAGAATAGGTTGGCTTCAAATACACTTTGTAGCAAAGGCCTTGACTTTCTAATCTTCTGTCCATCCATCCCAAGTGCTATGGCTATAGACATGGCCAATCATGACTGACAGAGCTTTTACTTTCTAGAATCCAGAGCCCTTCTCATTTCTAAAACATGGAACAGTCTCACAGTACATTGAGTTTTCCTAGATCCTGAAGAGATATTCCTCCTTATTTCCCCATCAATCCAACCCTCCCAGACGCGCCCTGGTCAACCATCTCCTCTAACCTAAGAATGAAGCATAGGCAAAAAGGCCTTCGCCAGCCGACAGGCCGCGCATTATGTATTGGAAAGACAGGGTCAGGCAGCCACTGGAATGGCTCAGGGGACTCAGAAGTACAGCTTTCTGTCCTGGTCTTGCATTCGTAGGGTCCAGGAGCATGTAGTAGCCACCTGCAAACGAGAAAGTCAGTGAAGTAAAATGGTTGGGATGGAGGGGAGGCGGTAAGCAAGGCGAAGGCGTAGGGACTTGGGGAAGAAAGGGATTTGGCCGTGGGGAACTCCAACTGCCGCCTTAGAACGTGGCAGTGGTGAGGGGCTTACACCCAGTCACGACTAGCAGAGTGCTTGGACTGTGTAAAGACCTGGTGTCGTTATAGTAACTGCAAACATCCTCGCAAAAACAGCCACGCAATCTTGTCTCTTTAGTGCTGACTCTTCAGGGCTCTCAATCTTAGCCAGACAGCCAATCAGTCTGAGCTTCGCTTAGTGACGCAACTAGTAACCAAGGGGAGAGGGAGTAGGGTGTGCCGTGGAGGTCCGTACACGCATGCGTACTCGTGTCCAACGCCCATTGGCTCCCTGAGAACCTTGGGCTGAGGGAGGCCAAGAAACCAAGAAAAAGAGCCGGTGGTCAGGAAAACAGAAGAGGGGGGTAGTGATAAAAAGCATAGGAGAAAGCAAGGAAGAAACCGCCAGGCTTGCTGGAGCCTGGAGTTTCAACCGGCGCTTTGGGAGCCGAGGCCGGAGATTGGAACTCAAAGCAAAGATTAAAAACCCAACCGACCACCACTAACACGACTGATTTGGGACGTAATGTTAAAGGCTAAAGGGTCCAGAGAGGAGGTGACCAGGGGATTTACCAGGGGTTTCAAATGAAAGGGAAGAGGAGGCTGAGGAATTTTCTAGAAGGTAAACCTCCCAGTACTATGTGGCGATGAAGAGGAGAGCACAAAGGAAGGAGAGGACAGCGGAAACCGGAAGAGATCTCCCAGGCAGGAGGACAGGAAGGGGGAAGGCAGAAGGGATCACCATGGAATGAATGGGAAGGAACATTTTGGCTTAAAAGACTGCAAGTCTTCCTCAGAGTCCTCATCAGACCTTGCTGTTCCAGACAGCAGCTTCTCAGCAGGAAATGCACGTGGCAGAGTGTGCTGGCCAGGCTCGGCTGGCCTGAACTCACAATCTTCCTGCCTTGGCCTCCCAAGTGCTTGGGTTACGGGTCTATATCACCATGCCTCCCTCTCTCCTTCCCTCCCTCCCCTTTTTGTTTTGTTTTGTTTGTCCTGGAACTAGTTCTTGTAGACCAGGCCTTGTAGACCTTGAACTCACAGAGATCCCCCCCCTGCCTCTGCCTCCCAAGTGCTGGAATTAAAGGCGCCACCACCGCCCAGCTCCCTTCCTTCCTTCCTTTTCCCCCCTTCCCTACCTCTCTCTTCTTTCCGTAGCACTGAGAATGGAACCCATGGCCTTGTGCATGCTAGGCAAGTACATTACCCCTGACCTACATCCCTAGCCCTTATTTTTTATCTAGCCCAGGCTGTACTTGAACTTGCTGTGTAGACTAGGCAGTTCTTGAACCTCACCTCCTATTGCCTCAGCCTCCTGAGTGCCAGGGTTACAGGCATATACCTTCATACCTGGCTCCTTGCTGGTTTTACACACTGATTCTCAAGTTTCTGGGATACTGTACAAGGTAGCTACTCAGTAAATGCCAGATAAATAACTGGATGAATGAAGAACAGAAGATGCCAAGGAAGGAGGTAAGGAGCTGGCTGTGTTGAGGCTGCTCAGCAGCCATCGTGGCAGTGTGTGTGGGGGGGGAGCTGGAAAGTACTTGAAATCATGCTTCTTTTAAAAAAATGATTTGTTTAAATGATTTACTTATTTTTATGTGCATTGTTGTTTTGCCTGCATGCATGTCTGTGTGGGGGTGCCAGATCCCCTGGAATTGGAGTTACAGATAGTTGTGACCTGCCGTGTGGGTGCTGGGAACTGAACCCAGGTCTTCTGGAAGAGTAATCAGTGCTCTTAACCGCTGAGCCATCTCTCCAGCCTGAAATCATGCTTCTTGCCATGATCTCTGAGCTGAAAGAAGCTTGGGGCTGCTGGGCTTCACCTAGCCTGACCTAGAAGTGCTACTGTAGGAGATGTAGAGGTCACAGGAGCCCAAACAGTCAAGGGATGTGTTCAATACTCACTGCCAGGGCTAGAGAAGTCGTCATCAGGTCCCACACCCAGTATCCCTGATGATCCCTTCTTCTGAGTCCACTTGGCCCCGGTGGCAGTTGGGACCCAGCTCCAGCCACAGAGATTGTTTAGAGCATCAAAGTTGCACATCTGGGACATGCATACTGAGAGAGGGGAAAGAAGAGAAGGGGCTGGGGTGTGGCTCAGTGGTAGAGCCCCTGCCTAGAATCCCCCAGTGAGGGGCTGGGTGTGGCTCAGTGGTAGAGCACCTGCCTAGATTCCCCCAGTGAGGCGCTGGGGTATGGCTCAGTGGTAGAGCACCTGCCTAGAATCCCCCAGTGAGGGGCTGGGGTGTGGCTCAGTGGTAGAGCACCTGCCTAGAATCCCCCAGTGAGGGGCTGGGGTGTGGCTCAGTGGTAGAGCACCTGCCTAGATTCCCCCAGCGAGGCGCTAGGGGCATGGTTCAGTAGGAAAGGACCTGCCCTGGATCCCTCAGTGGGAAAGTGGGTCATAGCAATAGAACACCTGCCTAGAATCCCCCATTGAAAGGCTAAGAGGGATTGAGCGCACTGGCTGCTCTTCCAGGGCACCTGGGTTCAGTTCCCAGCACCCATCTGGCAGCTCACACTCGACTTTAATGTCAGTTCCAAGACATCCTCACACAGACATACATTTGGGCAGAACATCGATGAACATGAAATAAAAATAAATCATATATATTTTTAAAAGAAGCCCATTTATTAAAAATAAATGCTAAGAGTTCATTGTAGCCACAGGACACTTATCCCATATGGGGCTTAGGACAGGGCTCAGCAGTAAATTTTCCTAAGACCTTCCAGGGACTGAGGGACTGAGGCCATTGTTCAGTCCTTGGCCAGAATTCTCCAGTGAGAAGCTGGGGGCATGGCTCAGTGGTAGAGCATTTGCCCAGTATACACAAAGCCCTGGTTAAATAAACCCCAATATCAAAAGGAATGAGTTTTCTGCCATAGGAAAAAAATGCCTCCGCTTGGGGTCTGAACTCCGAGGTTCACCCTCAAGGCTGTAGTGAGCTCTAAAATGAGGCCCACCTCTCTTTTATTGCCCATGAATGCCACTCTCGGCCCAGATTCCATAACCTGGAATCTCTCAGTAACCTGGGAATCAGCTCTGTGTGAAGCCATAAATTGAATTATGTTTGTGGAGCATCTGGCCTAGGCCCCATGTTTGATGAGTTTTCCCTTGATAGCTTCTGGAATTTTCCTTTCCAGTCAGTCTCAAAGGGCCATTCTGTATGTATCAGAGTCATTAGTAGGATGGGACTAACACCTACGGTGACTTCACATTCAGGTTTTCTTGGAACCAAAGACTAATTTTGTTTTGGAGACAGTGTGGAATGAGGCCCTGGGCTTTGTAGGCCAGGATGACCTTGAACTTGGGACCCTCCTGCCTCTGCCTCCAGAATGCTGGGATTAAAAGTGTCCGACACTACACCTGTTGAATGCAGAGCTGGGGATGGAACCCAGGCTCTGTGCATGCTGGGCACGTGCTCTACCGACTAAGACACAGCTCCCACCCCACCAAGGGTTTCTTGACACATGGGGTTTCCAGTGCTAACATAGACCAGCCTGTGGTCATGTGTCCTGGTCAGTCACTGTAGACCGGCTATCCCCTATAACTCCATCTCGAAAGGGGACCTCTTACAGAGCGACTGCTTTAGGAGCCAGGGGTCTGGGGCGAGGTAGCCTCAGAAAACGAGGAGCCTCAGTTCATGGGAAACCAGGGTCCAGGTCGCTGAACTGTCTTACCCCTACTTCGGAAAGTTTGACAGGGGTCAGGAGAGGGAGAGGCGCCTGAGAGGGACAGGAACTCACTCTGATTGCAGGTGCCCTTCCGGATAGAGAGGCCATCCAGAGAGATGTCCAGGTAGGCGGTGTTGCCCCTCATGCCCTCAAACATCAGCTGCGGAGTTAGGAACAAAGAGACCCTGACCCTTTGAGTCACATGGATGGCTTCCCTTCTCGGCTGCGGCTGCTGATTTCCACCCCGAATTCAGATGACTGGGGATCCAGGTCTCTTTTTAACAACTACATTCATTTATATATAACACATGGCACAGATGGAAGAGTCAGAGGACGTCTTGGGAGTTGGCACTAGCCTTCTACCATATGGGTCCTGGAGACTGAACTCAGGTCACCAGGCTTGCTGCAAGAAAGTTCCATGTGTGCCCTCTGGATCCCCTCTTTGCCATTGCCTACCTTCCTAGGCCCCTTCTTCCAGACCCTTCTCTCCCAAATCTCTAGATCTGCTCTCAGCCTCACCCAGCTCGGTATATCACGATCCGCTGGCACGGTGACCGTGGTGGGCATCCAGGAGGGACTCTGTGTATTCACATATTTCCAGAGCATGTTGGGCCGGTGGTACCTCCGACCCCTGAGCAGCATCAGCCTGAGCTGCGCACCCCATGACAGCCCAAACATGTGGAAGGCGAAATGGATGCAGAGCGGGCCTTGCTCCCATATGTCCGGGCTGCGCAGACGTGCCACTCCGCCCCGAGGGAAGGTGCTGGCATCCATGTGCAGGTAATAGCCTTCTATGGGGAGACAGAATGGGGGAGGTTGAGACCCTGCTGTCCTCAGGAGCTGACCCCTCCACCCTCCCTCAGCTCAGCTTCCAGTGGTCCCCTCCCAACTTCATTCCTTTTCCATGGTCCTCCTCCAAATTTTAGGCTTCCCTCAGACTCATTACCTCCATTGGGGTAGCCCCCGGGGGGGCCAGAAGTGCCATTGGGGGAGGGTCCAGTCATTCGAATCCAGTCCCCATCATCCGAGGACATTTGAGACCAGTCACACAAAGGTCGGGTGTTATCTTCAAAGTCACACTTCGTGAGAATGGCTGGGGAAGAAAGAGCCTCAGTGAGGCCTCGGAGAGGGCAGAGGGCAGGGGTCAGGTCACAGAGCCACACCAGGAGATGGGGTCAGCAGGGTCTCACTAAGCTTAGAGAAGGCCACCACTAAGCGTTCACACCCGGAGCAGAGGTGCGGGAGACAGAACTCCTGGGGAGAAATGCAAAGCTAGGGAAAAGAGTAGTTGACAGAGTCAGGGAGCTCAAACTGGAGTCTGAACTGATTTAGTCAGACAGGCCTTGTCTTGGCGTGTTTTATTGTGGCTATTATCATTATATTATCTTGGGGGGGTGTGCGTATGTGTACATGAGCATGCTCGAGTGCGTGCTAACGTGGTGCATATGGGTAGTGAGCAGAGGTTAACATCAGGTGTCTTCAGTCCACCTAATGTTTTGAAACAGGGTCTCTCATGCCCCAGGGCTCATTGATGCTACTATTCTTACTGGCTAGGGAGCACTAGAGATAGGTCCTCCTGTCTCTCTGCCTCTCTACTGCAGGGACCCAAGGGTGTGCTCCCAACCCAGCTTTTTACGTAGATACTGGGGATCGAACCCAGGTCCTTATGCTTGTGCAGCAAGCACTAACTTTCCCTACTGAGTTATCTCCCACACCTCCTCCTGCTTAAATAGGTTCAAAGTGGCCTTGAACTCCGGATCCTTCTGCCTCAGCCTCCTGAGAGTTTACAGGTGTGCACTCCAATACCTAGCCAATTGTTTTGTTATTCTGAGACAAGGTCTTGTTACTGTGCAGCCCAGGCTGGATCTGAACTTAGGACCCTCCTGCTTTGGCTTCCCCATTGCTGGGATGACAGTCCTGTGCCACCATATCCAACGTGCCTGTCATATTTCATCTGAACGGGAATCTTTGAGGTGGAGTTAACAGTTTCTCCACTGTTCCCTCCGCCCTTGGCGGTTTAGAAGCCGCCCTTAGCACATTTATCCTGTGCTGTGCCCCGACAACAAGCCCTGTGCTAGGGACTGGAGTTCCGGGTGGGAACACGGAGCGTGAGGAGGGAAAGGAGGCCCGAGCAGCCCTGGTTCCGACTCACAGCTCTCCCTCGAAGTGCGCACCATCGGTTTCCAGTCTGAAGAGTTCTGTCTCCTTGGGATTGGTTTCCAGAAAGCAAAACACATTGCCTTTGTCATTAAAATTATCATAAGACTATGATTATATTTTAATACTATTTCTTTTTTTCTTCCTTCTTTCCTTCCTTCCTTTCTTTTGACACAGGGTCTCACGTAACCCAGCCTAGCCTCGAGCTCCCTGTAGAACTGAGGATAACTTATGTTCATAATTCTCCTGCCTCCACCTTCTGAGTATTGGAATTACAGGAGTTCACTACCACACCCTTTTAGAATCAAAGGTCTTTGGATGAGTAGCCCAGGCTAGCCTCAAGCTTTCAATCCTCCTGCCTCCCTCATCCCTAGTGCTAGGATTGCAAGTTTGCACCACCACAGCCAGTCCTCCTCCATGCTTTACAAACCCCACAAAGAAACCCATCCTCTTCAATCTGCAGCTTGGGTCATAATTCCCCACAATTCACCTGCTTCTTGTCCAAAGCCCTGCACTCAAGTTCAAGGAACCTAAGCTACCTTTCATTTCCTTGCAGCCTTGTGCTTGAACTCAGCTAGGCCCACCCTGGGTGTTGGAGAGTGTAAATTCTTTTGGCTTGGCGTGTCACCTCACTTCCAGGTTGTGGAGATGTAAGGCTCTCCCCATCCTGGTCATTAGGTCGTCCTCCTCCCCCGTCCCTCTTCTGACCCTTTCTCCCCAGTCTTCTGTCTTTGAGGCAGGGTCCCCTGTAGCCCAGGCTTGCCTAAACTTGCCGGTAATCAAGTGTGACCTTGAACTCCCGCTCTTCCCGTCTCCACCCTCCAAATGCTAGTGTTGCATCCTAAGTCACCACACCAAGTTCATGCGACGCCCCGGACTTGAACCCTGCGGGCCCTGGACCAATGGAGTTACATCCTTAGCTCTTCTCTTTTTTAGTTTGTTATTTTGAGGCAGAGCTTCACATGGTTGAGGCTGGCCTTGAACTCCCAATCCTCCTGTCTCTGCTGAGATGGCAGACATGCACTCCCATACTTAGCTAGGCCTCTTGTTATTAACCTTCCTGCTCCCTCTGGCATTCCCAGATGCAACACGGAAAACCCCTGCCCCATTTGTCACTGCTGTCCCCCTGTCCAGCTTACCGCACGGGGGCAGGTGCTTGGTCCTGGCCCCAAGCAGCCCCCACCAGCAGCGTCAGAGTCCAAACTAGAGGAGCCATGGGGAACCTCGGAGGTAGACCTCAGGTAGAGAGAAAAATTATGGCAAAGGTCCCCAGCCACTTTATAAACACCTGGCCCTCCTCTCTTGTCACCTTGCCATTAAAAAAAATCACAGAATTAAAGAAGTCCCTGGGAAGTTAAAGTTACCAGAGTTACACTGGAAAACCAACAGAAGTGTTATGGAGAGAAAGAGAGGGAAAAGAAGAAGGGAGATAAACCAGTCCAGGACGTCTAACATCAAACAAAAGTAATTTAAAAAGAAACAACAAAGGAGCGGGAGGGTCTCACAGAGCCCAGGCTGGCCTCTGATTCATGATGTATGCCAGGCTAGCCTTGAACTCCTGATCCTCCTGCCTCCAAATTCTGGGATTATAACTGTGGTAGGCCAGCTAAGAAAACACAAGAGAACTGTCCCCAAACTGAAGCACCCAGATCTCTAGATTAAAAGGAACCTAGTACCGTGGATTCAGAGAGCCACAGAAACTACTTTGTGAAACTTCAGACTATCAGGGCCAACGGGAAAATCAGGAACCCTTTTAGTTAGTAAGGAACAAGTCACATACTAAGGACCAGGGATCCTCATGGCCTCTGTTTCCTTAGTAGCAACCATAGGTTCTAAATGCAGCAGAACAATAGCTGCAGAATTCTGATGGAAAAAATCATTCAGACCTAACATTCTACAACTGGAGACAGTGGCAGATGCTGTCGGGGGCCAACTGAACAGCTGGAAATAATGAGGGTCAGAGATTTGAAGGACATACTCATAGAGGAAGAAATGCAGGTTGCCAGGAAACATTGGGAAGGGTGTGTGTGTTTGTGTTTGTGTGTGTGTGTGTGTGTACAACTTGCAGGCATTGTTCTGTCCTTGCACTGTGTAAGTTCTAAGAATCAAACTCAAATTGGGCTTGGCAGCCAGTTGAGCCATCTTGTCGACCCCTGTTTCATTTTTCTAAGAGTCTTGTAGCTCAGGTTGGCCTCCAACACTTCATTGTGAAGTTGAGGCTGGAGTGCCACCATGCTAGTTTATGTGGTGTTAGGAGTCAAGCTCCGGGTATCATGCCTACTAGGCAAGCCACCCACTCATGAGCTTCATCCCAAAACCTTTTGTTTGGTTTTGCAGACAGGGAGTCACTCACTCTGTAGCCCAGGGCTAGCCTGGAGCCATCCTCCAAATTGCCTCAAAAGTGTCTATTCTCCTGTCTTAGCCTGTAGATGTAAGTCACAAAACAATCCCACACCAGTTTGGAATTAGGATTAATAAAAGGGTTATTTATTTAAGGGGAAAAACTTACAGATCACCGTCCTAGACAAAAGCCCTCTGCGCGACCAGGAACAGAGTCTAGAAGCCAGAAGTGGAGCCAGAAGCAAGAGAGAAAGAGAGAGCAGCCCCACTGCTTTTTAAAGCAAAAGAGACCATGCCTAAGTGGGCTGGTATCTTAAAGGCTATTGGCTGAAGGAGCAGAGGGAGCTTCCATAGCACCTCCCCCTTTTAAGTAAGCAAGTTCCAAACCTGATACAAAACAATATACACTAGGAACAGATATCAAGTATAAGATTAGAATTACAATCAGCATAAACAATATTAAGCAAGAAACATATGCTAAATGTTTTAATAAACATTCTGTCCTAAGGAGTCTAAGTCTTGTATTGGAAATGGCTTGGCTAGATCATAAGAGGACAGTAACTACAACAATCTAATCTTCAGCCCCATCAAAGGCCTGAGAAGGGAGATGATATTACTTGAGCAGGCAGGAAGTACAATCAAGTAGCTTACAAAGCAAGCAGTATATGACAGAAACAATCAGCTACCTGAGCAATCACCCAAAGTCTCATTTTGCAGTGTTGAAGCAACCAACTTCGGCTGTGGCCTAGCATAATTGACAGACCATTTTCAGAGGCAGGAAAATTTTCAAAACCATCTTATCCTGTCTTGGCAAGATTTAACAGTCCTGCTTATCCATTTCCAGATATCATGTACCTTGTCAGTGGTTGAGGCATGGGCAGTTCCTTGCCCAAAGGCCAGCATTTGCTGCACATTTGTTTAAATAACCTATAATGAGGACAATGACCTCAAAATGTAAACAATATATAAGTATCTTGATCAGAGGTAGGAGTAATATATAGTGCAATATGAAAATATATCCTAAAAGTTGTATCAATGTACAAAATGTTGCTATGCGGTGGTGGCGCACGCCTTTAATCCCAGCACTTGGGAGGCAGAGGCAGGCGGATCTCTGTGAGTTCAAAGCCAACCTGGTCTACAAGAGCTAGTTCCAGGACAGGCTCAAAAAAAAAAAAAAAAACTACAGAGAAACCCTGTCTTGAAAAAAAAATATACAAAAGGTCCTAAACAAAGATAATAACATACATATATACAATCTGACAAAATAACTTTGTATAGGTGTACAAATAATGTAAACAAAAGTAACAAATATAATTTGTTTTTTTAATATTTATTTATTATGTATACAATATTCTCTCTGTGTGCATGTCTGCAGGCCAGAAGAGGGCACCAGACCTCTTTACAGATGGTTGTGAGCCACCATGTGGTTGCTGGGAATTGAACTCAGGACCTTTGGAAGAGCAAGCAATGCTCTTAGCCCCTGAGCCATCTCTCCAGCCCCAACAAATATAATTTGAACTTGTATCAATATACAAAACTATACCAATGTAAATTATCCATGAATAATAGCTCACAAGTATTCACTCTATTGCCCACTATTACTATCCCCCTGCTTTTTAACAAACATAGTTTTCACCCCAACCCTCTATCGAGTACAAATAATAATCAACAACCCTAAACAGTGTTCCCAACCCTATGGACAAACTTTTTTGGGATGGGGGCATCATCTTCTAGAATTGCTTCCTGCTGTCATGGGGGTGACGGTCTCTTAATGGGATCCTGCAAAATTAAAGTGATGGTTAAGTTTCAAAATTACTGTGTAGTATAGTTGCAGACAATTTCCAAGCATAGAGTTTTTTTTTTCTTTCAAAGTTCTTATTTGGAGTTCTGGCCAGAATGACATGAGAAGGTGCACCATTTCATCAGCTGGTACCCCACACACACAAAAGAAGCAGTCTTATAGCAACGCTGTCTGCATCACGATGTCATCTCAACCAGGTAGAGTTGTTGCTGTGGGGCCCCATCTTCTTCCTGGAAACTTCAGAGATTACTGTACGAAAAGGATCTGTAGGAAAATCTATTGTTCATCATGGAAAACTTAAACATCATTCACATAAACCTACATTAAAGGAAGAATATGATATAGACAAAAAAGGCAGGAAGAAAGTAAAAATTTTTCCTAAAGTCTTTCTTCTGTCCCATACCAGATGGCTCCTAATATGAGACAGGAACTCTGAATATTCCTTTTAACAACATGCTTGGATTTAGAGAAGTACAGAGCCAACTCCAAAACCAGCTGAATATATAAATGTGTGTGTGTGTGTGTGTGTAAATGTAAGTGTAACCCATACCTGGATTCATAAACCATATTCTGTTTTCTAGATGCTCCTTAGTGGATAGTTATTTTTTCTTCTGTCAGCATTCAAACATCCAGGGTCTCCTGAATTTTTGATGATGTGTATTTTCCTGCAAAGATTAGAGCAGAACCCTGCTCCAACCCTAAATGGCTTTCCTTACCATCTGTATGGTTGTCACCATTGTGGACAAGCAGTCATTTCTGTTTCAATAGGTTTCTCCTTTTCAAAGCGAATCTTTATTAATTTTGATGGTATCCATAATTTTTCTTCTCCTGTGGAAACAAGAGCAAAACCCCTTCCCCAATGTAGTACATCTCCTGGTTTCCATTGTGAGGTCAGCACATCCTTGAAATATACTGGTTGATTCAATTCAGAAGTTTTTTCCATTATCTAATGCCTCTCTGCTGCTGTTGTTCCTTTCTCATTAGTGTTAAGAAAATTCAAGGTTAACAAAGTATTATGCAATCTATTTCTGGGGGTATTTTCCATCCCTTTTGGTTTATTTAGCATATCCTTTATAGTACGGCTTGACCTGTAGGATTATTTGGTATACCTCTACTGTCCTTTATATTGTAATAAGCAAAAAAAGTTTCATTTTTTTAAATACATATGCCGGACCATTGTCTGTCTTTATTTATGCAGGTATACCCATGATGGCCATAACTTCCAGTAAATGTGTGATTACTGAATCTGCCTTTTCTGAGCTCAGGGCAGTAGCCCATTGAAAACCTGAATACATGTCTATGGTGTGGTGTACATATTTTAATTTACTAAATTCCGTAGAGTGGAACACATCCACCTGCCAGATTTCATTCCTTTGAGTACCCTTTGGATTACTTCCTGCAGACAATGGTGTTTGATTATAGAAAGAGCAAGTAGGGCATCTCTTTATGATGTCCTTAGCTTGTTGCCAAGTAATGGAAAATTCTTTCTTCAAGCCTTTGCTATTGACATGATGTTTTTATGAAATTCTGAGGCCTGCAACACACTTCCAATCAATAATTGATCAATTTCTGCATTACCTTGTGCTAGAGGACCTGGCAGACCCCTATGGGATCAGATGTGTGTTATGTACATAGGACAAAGCCTATTTCTGATTATGTCTTGCACTTGGATAGACAATGAAGTCAATTCTGTGTCATCTGGTATAAATTCAGCAGTTTCAATATGCAAGATAACTCTTTCTGCATATTGCGAGTCAGTAACTATATTGAGAGGTTCTTTAAAGTCCCTTAGCACCATGAGAATGGCATATAAATCTGTCTTCTGGACAGAATCATAAGGGCTTTGTTCCACCTTACTCAGTTCTTCTGACTTGTAACCTGCCTTCCTTCATTTATTTGCATCAGTATAACTTGTGTGGGCTCCAGTTATTGGAGCATCATGTACAATTTGAGGAAGAATCCAAGAAGTTCTCTTTATAAGGTTAAATCTATTGCTTTTGGGATAGTTGCTATTAATTTCTCCCAAAAAATTAGCACAAGCTCTTTGCCATGGTTCATTGTCTTCCCATAACTTTTTTATTTCACCAGTAGTAAAAGGCACTATAATTTCTGCTGGGTCTATACCTGCTAGTTGACGAAGTCTCAGTTTATCTTTTAATTATAAAAGATAAACTTTTAATTTTATAAAGTTCACATATACCTACATTAAAGGAAGAATATGATATAGACAAAAAAGGCAGGAAGAAAGTAAAAATTTTTCCTAAAGTTTTTCTTCTGTCCCATACTTCTTCCACATAAGTTTTTAATTGAAATTTTTACTTGGTTTATGTGGTATAAAGATCCATTCTAAAATAATATCTGCATTAAAATTCCCATAGGAGAAATTCTGGAAGGTAATATGACTAAAATACAACTAAGATTTGGATTCACCCTATCCACATGTGTATCCTGTAATTTTTCCTCAACCATTTTCAGTTCCTTTTCTGCTTCAGGTGTTAATTCTCTGGGACTATTCAAATCTTTATCACCATCTAAGGTTTTGTTTAAATGAACAATTAGATCAGATGTTATTCCAACAGCCGGTCGTAGACTGGAAATGTCTCCTAACAATCTTTGAAAGTCATTAAGAGTCCGTAACCGTTCTCTCCTAATTTGTGCATTTTATGTTCTAATTTTCTATAAACCTATACTGTAACCTAGGTAATTAACAGAATCTCCTCTTTGAATCTTTTCAGGAACAATTTGTAATCCCCACTTAGGCAAGACTTTCTTTACTTCTTCAAACAGTCTAACGTATCTATGGTTGAATCAGATAGCAAAATATCATCCATGTAATGGTAAATTATAGACTTAGGAAATGGCTTGCGTATTATTTCCAATGGTTGACTTAAAAAATATTGATACAATGTGAGACTATTTAACATGCCTTGTAGGAAGACAGTCCACTGGTACCTCCTAGTAGGCTGAGAGTTATTATAAGTAGGCACTGTGAAGGCAAACTTTTCTCTATCCTTTTCTTGTAAAGGTATAGTGAAGAAACAATCCTTTAAATCAATAACTATGAGAGGCCATCCCTTTGGTAACAGAGAGGGCAGAGGACTTCCAGATTGCAGAGGGCCCATAGGTTGAATAACCTTGTTGACAGCCCTAAGATTTGTCACCATTCTCCATTTACTGGACTTTTTCTTAACAACAAATACAGGAGAATTCCAAGGGCTGGTAGATTCTTCAATATGTTGAGCAGCTAGTTGCTTTTGTACCAGCTGTTCTAAAGCCTGAAACTTTTCCTCAGCTAGAGGGCACTGCTTAACCCATATTGGTTTCTCAGTTAACCATTTTAAAGGTAGGGCTGTTGGTACCTTTGAAGGTTTATCGATTGCTTTGAGTTGTTGTACAGCCCAAATGGCTGGTTCCGTCATCTATAATAACTTCTAATATTTTCCTCAGAAGCACAAGTTTTTGGTGTTGCAGGAATGTTAATCTGGTATTCCATTGCTGCAATAGGTCACGACCCCACAAAATCACTGCAATATTGGCTAAATATGGCCTTAGTCTTCCTATTTGCCCTTTCAGGCCCTATGCATTCAACCTATTTCGTGCTTTGTTTTACGTGAGATAGGGTTCCAATTCCCATGAACTGGAATTGGAATTGCAGAGGCCATTTTGGATGCCAAGATTCTGGAGTAATGATACTTACATCTGCACCCATGTCTAATAAGCCTTCAATAAAAAATGCCATTTATAATTCTTAGCTTTGTTTGATCATTAATAGAAGTCTGCTAAAATATACGTTTCCTCTGTCCTACTGGAGTTTTTTGACCCATCCTCCACATTTATCCCATTATTCAGACCAGTATTGCTTTTTACAGCAGGCATTGGATTTTTACATTTTCTTGATGAGACATGTTCTCCACTGTAGCTGGAAATGACTGGGCCACTGTTGGCTTGGGGGCTTGCGAGAGGCCCCTCAAGGGGTTTTCCGATGGTATCAGGTTGCCTTGTCTGTCTGTTGTTGACCTGCATTCATTGGTCCAATGTTAGTCTTTACCTCACCTTCTACATATACCTGAAGGCCGAGGTCTCCTATTTTTGCCATTCCCAGAGGACACATTATTCCTAGGAATTCCTTGCCTATAATCCCTTCTCAGTTGTCCTATTTTACCACAATTGAAACATTTGACAGTTTGATGTCTCCTCATTGCTTTGGAAATTGCTTCTCCTACCCAAGATTTATCATGACAGTCAAATGTCTCAGCATTCATTGTCCGCAGAATCCATTCATCCATAGGTGCTGATCTAAACCTTAAAGGCCTAATTATCTTTTTGCATTCTAAGTTTGCACTTTCAAAAGTCAGAAATACAAGAATTATTCATCTAGCTTCCAGGTTTGTTACTCCTATTTGTAGAACCTTAATTAATCTTTGTACAAAATCAGTAGAGTTCTCTCTGTCCCTGCCTAATCCTGGTATACGATTCATCCTTTTTCCTAGATCTTGAATCCTATCCCAAGCATTCAAGGCTGCTTTGTGGCATAGGGACAACACTTCTTCGTCATAAAGAAATTGGACATGTGGGTCAGCATACAGTCCTTTGCCAAGGATTTGATCTTGGGAAACCTCAAGATCTTTATCTTTTCTCTGTTGTTCCATATGTTTGGATTCTTCTCGGAAATAAATTCCAAACATCAGCAAAGGTCCATCATCCAGGACTGCCAAAACTAACTGAAAAATGTCATGGGGGTGGGGGTTGCCCTGACGTCAGAAGCCCAGGTCTTTGTCATCTCCCTAACAAATGCAGAGTGCAAGCCGTAAGTGACGACAGCTTGCTTAATTTCTTTTAGATCAGTCAGTCCTATTGGCGTCCATCTACCTTCTTTGGCTCCCTTCGAGCCTTTAGAAGTTGATGCTTTGTCAGAGTAAATTACAGGGTAGGACACTAAAACCCTGGGTGATCCAGTTCTGACAGCCACTGGCGATGTTGCATCCTGTCCTTGTGCCTTCTTTCCATGTTCATCAGTTCCAATAATTTCCTCTGTCATTTCAATTTTTTTATCATTGTTTTTTGTAAAGCCTGAATCTCCTGGCCTGTATATTTTTCTAGTGATTCATGGAGGCATCAAGTCTCTGGTCCTCATTCTGCATTTGTGATTCCAATGTTTGAATGTTCTCCTTTAAAGGTAAAATCTCCTCCTTGGACTTTTCTTGAATATCGTGTAGATTGCCGCCCTGGAGGTACATTCTGTCTGCTACTTTATCAAAAACTTTTTGATAACTTTTGAATGTCAAATTCAACAGTATGAATTCTTTCAGATAACTTCCTTGTACCCTTAGATATGGAGTCAATTCTGTCTATCATAGTATCCACTTGTTCAGATAACCTCTGATTTTTTGATTATTTTAATCCTGTCAACTAGCTGTTCATCATTAGTCTGTAAAGATTGTATCATTCCTAGGAGCGCCATAGTATTCTTTAATGATAGAATATGGAGAAAACTGAAACCTAGTAACCAGTAAATTGAGGTATCCCCATAGTCATACAAGCCTCGCATGATATAAGCCATTGTATTAGTAAAGAAAGCAGTAAAAGTTGCATTGGAAATTAAAACTGCCACATTACCTGTTAGCCAGCAGGTGGCGCTATTGCCAAGTCATGACTAGAACCAATGCAAAGGTGACAGAAACGGTCCTGTTTCATGTCCCCCTTGGTATTTGTTAAAGACTGGGAAATATGAGTTGCTCAACAAAGTAAATGTAATTAAATCAATTCCATACACGGAATGAGAAACCCAGAATCCAGGGGCAGAGAACAACAACCCAGAAGCCGCGTATGCCACCATGCAACAAAGAGTCACCCCAAAGGGTTGCAGCTGCTCATGCTCTGACTCACGCTGCATAGGTGTTGCGCTGTGACAGGGATTTAAAAACCGCTCAGGAAAGAACAAACCAGGCAGGCAGAGACTGTCTGGGCCCACGGAGCCTGGGAGGCATGGAGTTTAAATCCATATGGGTACTAGGTGTAGAAGTAACTCACAAAACAATCACATACCAGTTTGGAAATATGGTTAATAAAATGGTTATTTATTTAAGGGGAAAAACTTACAGATCACTGTCCTAGACAACAGCCCTCTGCGTGACCAAGAACAGAGTCTAATAGCCAGAAGCGGAGCCGGAAACAAGAGAGAGAGCACCTGCTCAGGGCTACCTCTGCTTTTTAAAGCAAAAGAGACCATGCCCAGGTGGGCTGGTATCTTAAAGGCTATTGGCTGAAAGAGCAGAAGGAGCTTCCATAGCACACATCTACCTCTACTCAAACCAAACAAAACTAATACCTTCTAGGCCTGATAGCCCAGATCTGTCTTCCCAGTTACTCAGGTGCTGCGGCAGGATGACTTCAAGTTCAGGCCAACTTAGACAGCTGAGCAAGACCTTGTCTCAAAATGAAAAAAAAAAAAAGTTTGGTTTTGCTTTTGTGTTGTGGTTTTGCTTCTCTGTGTGTGTGTGTGTGTCTGTGTGTGTGTATGCGTGCATGTGAGTGTGTGTCTGTGTGTAGGTTAGAGGACAACCTCAGATGTCATTCCTCAGGAATCTTCCACCTTTTATTTGAAATGATGTTGAAAGAGGAACAGCAGGCTGTGTTCCTGGTGCCCAGCTAGCTTATCTTCAAAATAATTACACAGAAACTGTATTCATTTAAACACTGTCTGGCCCATTAGTTCCAGCCTCTTATTGTCTAATTCTCACATCTTGATTAATCCATTTCTTATAATCTGTGTAGCACCATGAGGTTGTGGTTTACCAGGAAAGATCCTAACCTACGTCTATCTCGAGCCAGAGCTTCATGGCGTCTGCCCAACTCTGCTTTCTTTCTCCCAGCATTCTGTTCTCTCTACTCCACCCACCTAAGGGCTGGCCTATCAAAAGGCCAAGGCAGTTTCTTTATTAACCAATGAAAGTAACATATAGACAGCAGACCCTCCTACTCCAAAATGGAGTCTCTCATTGGTCTGGAACTCTTCAAGTAGGTTGGGCTAGCTGTCCAGTGAGTCTCAAGACTCACCTGTCTTCACTTCCCCTCCTTCCACCACTGGGATTACCACCGTGTCTGGTCTGTTCCAGCAAGACGTCTTTTTGCTGTCTCCAAAGAGCCCATGCTTGTTTTAGTTGGGGTTTTCAAAAGGAAAAGAACTGGCAAAAAGAATATATACACACATACATATACATACATACACATATAATATACACACATACACATGTACACATATACATACGCCACATATGCACACACGTACACACATGTACACATAAGGATATACATACATGCACACACATATGCACATACATATACAAACACATGCATATATACACGAAGACATACATATACATGCATATGCCCAAAAATACACCTATAAATACACACGTACTTACATACACATGCATATACATAAATATACATATATACACACATACACACATTTATATAATACACACACGTAATATACATACATATATACACATAAATGCACATGCATACACCCATATATATACACCTATAAATACATACATGCATGCCACATACATACACATGCATATACATATATACACAGATAAAGCAAACCCCCTTTCCATTTATATTCATGTACATGTAAAGGGATTTATTTGTTTGACTTACAGGATGAGGCTGTCTTGGAATCTGCAGTAAGCACTCTGACACCACTGAGAATAGAGGAGAGGAGATGTTCCCAGTGAGCCAAAGCCAGGACGGCTCTTGAAAGGATCAATCCCTAGTCCACTTTGTCTTCTCACATTATAGTCTAAAACCACACGGTGGGGCAGGCAAGCGAGGTTTTACAGTGGCACACGTGGCAGTCAGCAGGTTGTGAAGGGCAACGACCGCTGTATTAGCTTTTTCCCCAGGTCATTCTGTTCCCGGTAGTGAGCGAAGTCACGCTCGGCAAATAGGCAGGGCAAGCGGCGCTTTGAGCAAATCAGCAAATAAATCAATAAATCAGTATCAAATCATTGGTCCTTTCTGCCTAATTCTCCTTCCGTCTCACATCAGAGAGACCTAGGAGTCATTCGGCTCACAGGGGTGATGTCCCAGCCTCCCTAATACAGCACTGAAGGACAGCTCTTGGGTCCACACTGGGATCCCAGCAAGTTGGCTCTGATGTTGAAGGGTTCCCACCGCAACCGGGCTTCAGACTTGTCAGTGAAAGTGAGGGCAAGTACACACAACGCCGTTTTCTTCTTCCGTGTCCTTTTCTGTGGGCTGCCAATACTCAAGCCAGGTGGTGGCAGTGCACGCCTTTAATCCCAGCACTCAGGCAGGAGGACCTCTGTGAGTTCGAGGCCAGCCTGGTCTACAGAGTGAATTTCAAGACAACCAGGGCTACCCAGAGAAGACTTGTCTTGAAGAAAACAGAAGATCTGTTATAACAATGTTCAATCGCTACTAAGAAACAACAAAAACAGGATGACTCTTCTACATAGCCCAGGCTAGGCTGGAGTCCCTGCTCCTCTGCCTCAGACACTTAACATGTGGAGTAGTGAAATGTCTGAAGCGAGGCTAGAGGATAGGGTCAGAGGCCCCCCGACAAGAAAGCTAGTTACTTAACCATTTAGACACCTGAGCCTTAAAAACAAGCCAAGCTAAGCTGATGTGGTGTGACCGGCGGAGAGACCAGCCTTTGGGCACATCTGCAAGGCAGGGATTGCCCAGGGCAGGTTTGCTGAGGTGAATGTGGCCGTCATTTCCTGGGCTGGAGTCCTGAACCGCATTAAAACGCGAGCACAAGCTAAGCAACAGCATCTGTCTCTCTCTGCGGCCTGACCAGTCGCCTTGTGTTCCCACTGCCGGCCACACACACCCCCCCCCCCCCCCCCCCGCCGCCGCCATGATGGAGTGTGGACCCCTGGAAGTGTAAGGAAATAAACCCTTTCTCCCCCAAGTCGCTCCTTGTCAGGTACTGGGTTGCAGCAATAAGAGAAGTGGACAAGACGCTGGGCTTGATAAATGTCGAACTCATAGTCGGGTGCCAGCTGTTGATTAGTGCTTTTCCTTGACCTCAAAAGCAAGACTACAGAGGACACAAGGGCGGGCGAGCTGTTCCTGACCCCAGCAGCTGCAGCACTCAGGAGCAGGTCCTGCACCTTGCCTACGCAGCACAATAAAAGTGAGCCAGCCCCAGATTCGCGAGCATGGGAGAGCCGTCCCCATTACTGTGTCATGCAGCAGAGTGGGTGGGAGAGAGATGCCCCCAGCCCTTTGCCCCTTCCTGCCTGCAACAGAGAAGTAAGCTGACCCTCTCCCTTACCAGCAGCAGCACTCGGGGAAATAGGGCCCTGCTCCTCACCTGGGTAGCACTGTAGAGCTGACCCTGTTGGCCAAGGTGTGGGTGAGCCAACCCCGATGTTGTGAGCATGGGAGGGCCGTCCCCATTACTCATCTGTCATGTGGTGGCAGGGGCAGGGGAGAGATCCCCACCACCCGTCAACACCTGAGGCAGGTGATCCCCTCCTCGTGCACAGCACTTGGAAGAGTGTCCCCTACACACCTCCCCTGGACAACACAGTAGAGCTGGCCCTGAAGGTGTAGGTGTGAGAGAACCGACCCTGGGGCTGTGAAAGCGTGGCCCTGTCCCTTGTTCATGCTACTAGCCGGGGGCAATGCTGGAGAGCTCCCCCTGGTGGTGAAGACAGAAGAAAGCTGGCAGGCTGACCAACCCTGCAACTACCCAAACCCAGAGATGTACGTTGACCCGCCCCAAATCTGCTGGAGCATGCAGCGGGTGGTTGGGTGGGGTCAGTCCTGTGGACCCAGGGCTGCAGGATCTCCATGATACAGGGCAGCAATAAGATGGCCAGGAAGAGTCCCAATGAGAGCCCAGCATCAATGGTGTAGCAGAGATCAGGGATCTCAAACCAGACCAAAGATTCTTTGCGATGAGCGCCTGCGTGTAAGAATGTAAGGATAAAGGGGTTCATTGTGTGGCTCACTATGTCACATTGCAGCTGCCGCCATGATAAGATTTTTCCCTTCCCCCCTTTTGTTCTGTTAAATTTTGTTTTGTTTTAATCTTGGGGGGGGGGAGATGGGTGAGATCAGGAGGCATGATGTGAAAGACACAAAAAATAAAAAGAAAGTTTTTTTTAAAAAGGCAAGACTAAAGCCCGGCATGGTGGCACACACCTTTGATCCAACATTCACCAGGTAGAGGCAGGCGGATCTCTGTGAGTTCAAGGACAGCCTGGTCCACAAAGTGAGCTCTAGGACAGCCAGGGCTACAGAGTGAGATTCTGTCTCGGAAAACAAACAACAGAACGAGACTAATGTGTCTGGAGAGTCAACACAGTGGTTAAAAGGGCTTGCTTCTCTTACAGGGGACCAGAGTTCAGTTCCCAGGACCCACACTGGGTAGGTCACATCTGCCCGTAAGCCCAGTTCTAGGGGATCTGGCCCTCTTCTGGCCTACACACACAAAGAATAATAAGTAATGCAAAAATAAACCTTTTTAAGAAAAAGATAACAAAGCTAAACCAGATGTAGTGCTCCAGGCCTGCACTCTCAGCACTTGGGAAACTGAGGCAGGAAAATTCTAAGTTCCAGGACTGCCTGAGCAATTTAGCCCATTTGGTCTCAAAAGACAAACAAACAGAAACACCAACCACACCCCCAAGTCTATTAATTGCAACTCCAACAACCTACAAAAGAGATCTCACCATTGCCCATTTATAGCAAGGGAGGCAACAATCGGCTGTCTGGTCTGGAAACCACAATAAAACCTTGAAAAAAGCTATCGCTTGGAAGGCTCCCTAACAATTCCCAACTGCGCCTGAAGAGGGCACTGTAGTTCAAGAGCTAAGTTGACCTCCCCCCAAATTCTTTTCAGGACACATGAGCATACAAACACACACACACACACACACACACACACACACACACCTAATAAATTCTCTCCAGCCCCTAACTCCTTCAATGTGTGTGTAACTTTTCCTGCAGTGCACTGTAGAAATAATCTCTTTTGAATATTGGGCTGAGCTTTCAGGCTGGATCCTAAAGGCCTTGTTTTGGGAACAATGACCGACAGCCACACAGGCTAACAGCCAGGGCTGGGGTCCTGGTACAATGTGTGTCGTCTTTGACGGGTTGTGCGGGTCTCCCCACCTGAAGCACTACTTTAGGGAAGGAGTCCTAGGAACAATATGGAGTCACCCTCATCCCCTGGCTTGGTACCTGTCACTCCTCAATCTGTTGACTCTCAGGGTTTCCCCGAGAGTCAGACCCTCAGAGTGACACCTCTCGGAATAGGTGGTTGGATTCACAAGCGGTCTATATCCTGAAGTAGGTGGCTAGTGCTAGGGACATATTGATCCATTAACCGGGGTTGGCGTTGCCACCGACCTCTGAATGGGAACCCCTACATACTGGCTGCCTCCTCGGTGGTATCCCCAGCTCACCTAGCACTTGTCCCGGCTGGTTGGCAGCTGCCCACTAAGAGACAGCCTTGAATGGAGCCTGCTTATTGACCAGCGTGGGCAGGCATTGTGGCCTCAAGCCCAGGAGGGTCAAGAGGTCAAACAGGCCATGCGAGGCAGCACGTAGGGCCCCACCCCCTCCACCTCTGGTTTCCCAGATCTGATGCTTTGCTACCAGATTGGGGGGGGGGGAGTAGAGCCAGGAGAGCTTGGGAGGGGGAGCACCCATGAAGACAGACAAGCCAGGAGTCGTGTTGGTGATTTCAGCTGTTGCCAGTGGTATTTCAAAAAAAACACAAAACTTCAAACCCCTTCCCGCCCATGAAAGCTAAGAATCACTTGCATTCTGTCTTCATGGTTTCACCCCCTCTACTGTCCAGTGGGACGTGTGTCAGGGAAGACCCCATGAGACCTGGAGAATTCATGGCTTGCCCCCTCAATCTCCAGTCCCTGTATTCTTTGTAGGTGCCACAAGGATTGAATCCCAAAGCTTGTCCTGTGGGGTCACAGTTCCGGCAGGACACTGAGTTTAGATCTCTGTCCCTGAGTTATATGCTGGTTTCTGGGTGCCGAGGATATAGTCCGATTGGTAGAGTGCTTGCCTAGCATGTATGAAGCTCCGGCTTCCATCTCCAGCACCCCATAAATGGGGGGGGGGTGCACGCGTACAATCCCAGCACTTGGGAAACGGAAGCAGGAAGATCGGGAGTCCAAAGTCATCCTTAGCTACACAGCAAGTTCCAGGCCAGCCTGGTCTATGTGAGACCCTCCTGTCTCACCAAAAACAAAACGGATAAATCCAAGATGGCTGTCTGAATCGCTCCTGTTCTGGGGCCTCAGGTTGGCCCGGTGACATCTGCAGACTTCAGAATGGAGCTCTGAAAAGTTCTGGTTTTCCAAGATGTCACTGCTGATGCTGGAGTGTCCCGAGGACAAGCTGGTGAGGAGGTCACAACCCCTTTGAGGAGGGTGGGGAGTGGTGGGAAGTTGGCGTGACACAGGCAGTGATGGTGAGCGAGTTGGCGGACACATCACGGCAGCAGCAGCAGGTCACCTGTCCCCTCTCCTGCAGGCTTCCCCCGTGTACAACTTCAATTTGCCCCGGAGGAAGTTGGAGTAGACTCGGAAGAGTTTGCAGAAATTCTCCACCATGAGGGTTCGGAGTGGAGCAGGTGGGGTGGCATCTGGAGGGGATATCGACTCCTTCTGTCAAGAGAAAATATGATGTCACTGCAGTGCTGAGGACCGCGGATGAAAATGTAATGAGAAGCCTGGCAGTGGTGGCGCACGCCTTTAATCCCAGCACTCGGGAGGTAGAGGCAGGCGGATCTCTGTGAGTTCGAGGCCAGCCTGGTCTGTGAGAGTTAGTTCCAGGACAGGCACGAAAGCCACAGAGAAACTCTGTCTTGAAAACCAAAAAAAAAAAAAAAAAAAAAAAAAAAAGAAAAAGTAACCAGGGACAGAATGGGGGGATGATGAAGAACGCCCTCAGTATTATTTGTGTGTGGGTGTTTGTATGTGTGTGCACAACGTGTGGGGGTGTATATATGTGTGTGCACAATGTGTGGGGGTGTGTGTATGCGCACAGCGCATGAGGTATAGAAGCAAGAGGTGTGTCTTCCTCAGTCACTTCGCATTGTCTGTTTCTATTTGCATGTTTGCACGTGTGCAGGAGCTCAGGGAGTCTGGGATCCAGCCTCAGATCCCCTAGAGCTGGATTTAAAGGCCGCTGAGAGCCACCTGAGGTGGGGGGCTAGGAACTGAACTCCGCCAGAGCAGCAAGCACGCTTAATCGCCGAGCCATCTCTGTAGCCCGTCCACCTTAGTTTCTGAGTCAGCATCTCTCATGAACCTGGAGCTCACCAACAGAGTTGGACGGCTGGTTAGTGAGTTCCAGGAATCCCGTGCTCCTATGCCCCATCTCTGGGATTACATGTGTATTTCACCTTACCTTGTTTTTGTTTTGTTTGTTTGTTTTTTTAAACAGAAGTGATGGAGATTGAACTCAGTTTCTCACATCTGTGCAGCAAGCATGCTACCTCCACCCCATCTCCCAGCCTGAGCTCTCAGTATTCCTTGTTTTAGATTTGTTGTTACATGAATTCATTTATGTACGCATATGCACCACAGCATGTAGGTGGAGGTGAGAGACCACCAGGGTGGCTTCCGGGGATTTTGAACTCAGGGCATCAGGCTTGGCAGCAGGTACCTTTGCCCATTGAGCTATCTTACAGGCTCAGCCCTCAGCCGAGTCCACACTCTTTCCTACTCACCTGGGCTCCCAGCACCCGGAGCAGGGAAGTGAGACTGCGCAGGCCACTGATGGCTTTGTCTATGTGCAGCTGAAGCATCCCTGATGGCTGGGAGGAGTTGGCCAGCAGGGCCTGGCCATGCAGGATGGCTTCTGAGAGCAGGGCCAGGCCTTGCCAAACTTCTACAGCCTGCTCTTGCACCTAGAGGAGGCAAAAGACTTAGAAAGGGCCATCCAGTGTCTCCCTGGCTATCAGACACCCTAGCGGCTAGGTAGTAGGAGCAGTAAAGCAAGCAGTAAGGTTTGTTGGATGGATGGTAACATATCCCATCAGGCATTGTCTTTATCATTCTTTCTCCCACACTATCGGGGTGTCAGACTAAGACCCACCCACCTCTAGGAAGGGGAAAAAATAGAACTCACCTCCATTCTTTTCCAAGCATTGAAGTTGACTTTGGTGTCTGGGACTGTAATGTTCTCACTCAGTCTGGGACCTTCTGCACAGCCCATCTGAAAGACACACCACCACGTCAAGACCCCCAAAAAGCCTGCAGATACTCTCTGTCTTTGAACGTTACTGGGCATGCTTTGGGGGCCACCAGCTTTAGCATTCTTCCCTATTTTACAGAGTTTCGTGTCAAGGGTTTCAAATTTGAGGCTTATGAAGCCAAGGCTCACCTTGAATTTCTGATCCTCGTACTCCACCTCCCAAATACTAGGGATGTAGGCGAATTGAAACCACGGTTGCTTGTACACTAAGCCAGCACTGTACCAAACTGGGCCACACATCCCCTGTCCAGCTTTATCATTCTTGGGGGGTGGGGGGTGGAAGAGGTTTGGGACTAAACATCTCATCTTGACCCTTAAAGGCAGCACTAAGAAAGAACCCAAATTCCTAGACCCCTCAAGAACCAGTTTCTTTTGTGGGGCCGGCGAGCTTACCGTGACATTCTCGGCCTCTCTGGCCTCCAAGATGTACCTTTCCAGAACGCGACTGTCGCAGATGAGGCGAGGGGGAGCACAGAGGACTGGGAGGCCCAGAGGAAGCAGCAGCAAGGACAGCAAAAGCAGCAGCAGGGTGGGACGTTCTGGAAGAAAGGCAGGCTGAGAGGGAGGCAGGGAGGGGAGGGGGCGGTGGTCCTGCAGAGGCTGACCCCGACCTTGCAACTGCTTAGGCTCTCTCTGCCTGAGTGGCTTTCATTCTGCCCCTCGGCGCTGCACACCCCACCCCCCAAGCGACCGGCATCCACTTCTCGGTCAAACTTCACTGTGGGTGCGCGCCAGAGGCTGGCAGATCCTGAGAAGCTGGGACTCCTGGACGCAGGTAATTCTTTGAGCAGCTTCTCACCCACAGAGCAGCGCCTCAGCTCCCTAAAATCCTAAACTTTGTCCCTGCTCTGGATCTCCCCCTTTTTTGTCATTCACGAAGGGGGCTCCCCCAAACCTCTGCGTGCACGTGGAGGAGGCTGCCCCACCCCCTCTCTCTTCCTTGATCCTTGGCTAGTCGCTGGTCCTTGAACACGGCCACTTCCTGGCCAATAGCTTCAGATGCAAATCCTTGCTCAAACAGGAGCCCCGGAGGTCACAGGTTCCTAGCCTGTGAGTACTCACCAGGCACCCCCATCTCCGCGCCTGGCTGCCGGGGCCCCTTAGCGACCCAGGGCTGGGCCAGTGTCCACGCTGCTAGTCTTCATCCTTGGAAGATCTGTGGGACCAGGTCACCCCACTAGCCTGGAAGAAGGTGGTCACCGCTCAGGGAGCGCGGGCAGAGTGGGGACGCGGTGGCTCTGGCCAAGGGTCTGTTCGGGAACACAGCTAGAAGCAGCCACCGGCCAGGCTTGGTCCGGGGACACTGTGGCTCCGGCCGGGGGTCGGGGATGTTATCAGCATGTGTGCGTGCGCGGGTGGGGGTGGGGGTGAGGCAGTGTGTGCGTGAGGGGTCGCCAGGGGTGGGGGCCACCTGGGGTCAGAGCAAGGGGCAGGACGCCTGGGTCTGGTGCTTGCTGGGGTGGAGCGGGTTGTTCCAGGCACGCACGCTGTCAGGGGGGTCTTCCTTGAGGGGGAGTGGACAGATTCCGATTTCCAGGAGGGGAGCCCAGTGGGGTGCACGTCTGTGAGATGCGCGGGAAGCCTAGACTGAGGTGAGGAGCTGATCTATGAATTGCTGGGCACCAGATCACCTCCTCTGGGGGGCGTCCTTATCCCAGGACAGAGACTTAGATACCTAGGGGCTGGAGTCTGGAAGTAGCCCAAGTGCTTTTGCTCCTTACAGTCTCACGACTTGCTCTAAGAACCAGAGTTGTCCCTGTTGAGGAACCAGATGCAAGTAAGTAAGGACTGTGGGGTTCCTCCCGCACCTCTTCTCATTTTCTAGGACCCTAAAAACCCAGAAAGGTAACTTTCAGAAGAGAAAGCCTGTGGCACATTGCTGAGGACTATGGATACGTTGATGTGGGGTTCTTGCTTTTGTTTTTGCAGTGCTGGAACCCCAGGCTTTCTGTACGGGTTTGCAAATGCTCAATAACTGAGCTCCCACGCCCTTACTGAGGGATTCTAGGCAAGCACTCTGCTGTCGAGCCACACCCCCAGCCTCACTGGGGGCGCCTTGGCAGGCACTCCACTGCTGAGTTACACCCCTATATCCCCTCACTGGGGGATTCTTGGCAGGCACTCTACAGCTGAGCCACACCCCCAGCCCCTCACTGGGGAAGTCTAAGCAGGTGCTCTACCACTGAGTCACAGCCCAGCCCCTCACTGGGGGATTCTAGGCAGGGGCTCTACCACTGAGTCACACCCCAGCCCCTCACTGGGGGATTCTAGGCAGGGGCTCTACCACTGAGCCACACCCTAGCCCCTCACTGGGGGATTCTAGGCAGGGGTTCTACCACTGAGTCTTGCTTCCATCCACACACTGAGACTTTCTATGCAATTGCTCTGCAGAGAAGTCAGATCCCCAGAACTAATGTCTGCTTTGTGCAAGACTCCTATTCATTTTGTAGGCTAAAAAAGCTACATTAACATACTGAAGAGATGGCTCAGTGGTTAAGAGCTCGTGTTTCTTTGCCGAGGATCCAGGTTCTATTCCCAGCATCCTTATGGTGTTTCTCAGTCATCCATAACCCCAGTTGCAAGGAACCGGATGCCCTCTTCTGGCCTCTGTGGGCACCAGGCTCACATGAGGCCTACATACACATGTGCGGGCAAAGCGCCCTCACATAAAACAAAGCCTATAAATCTCACTTTAAAATGTAAAGAAAAGAGAAATGTTTTTGGAATATGGAATGCTGACTAGGAAGGGACCTGAGGACCAAGTCATGAATGCCCGCCCTGGTGACATTCTGGTGGGGAGGGGCCAACAATGGCGTTAGATGGATTGAGACCAAGTAGAGGAGGCTGGAGAGATAACCAGCCTTAGGAGCACTTGCTGCTGTTGCAGAGGACCCAGGTTCAGTTGCTAGCAGCCTCGTGGCAACTAATAACTATGTGTCTCTCCAGACCTAAGGAATCTGATGCCCTCTTCTGGACTCCACAGATCCTGTCCACACATGGTGCGCAGACACATAGGTAAAGTATCCAAACATACAATCAAAACAAGTAAACTTTAATATATTATATAATATACATATATATGAATGAATAAGGGGAGGGAGTCGGGTAAATGACTTAGCAATTGTTTGCTTCATATACACGAGGACCTGATTTAGATTTCCCAGCTCCCACATTAAAAACTGGACTCAGTGGCCTGTGATGGTAATCCTAGGACTGGGGAGGTGGAGACAGGAGGATCCCTGGAGCTCACTGGACAGCTAATCATCAGGCCCCAGGTTCACTGAGATGCTGTCTTAAAAACTAAGGTGGAGGGCCAGGGAGGTGATGGTTCAGGGGGCGAAGGTGCCTGCCACCAAGTCTGGTGACCTGAGTTTGATCCCTGAAACCCGCATCCCCCGGAAGTAGAGAATCAGCTGCTGCAAGTAGTCCTCTGACCTCCGCATATACGCCTTATGGCGGTCAGACATAGAGATGCACGCACAGTTAAGTAATGTAATAAAAATTAAGTGGAGAAGCAACTGAGGAGGACGTCGCAGAGTCAACCTGTAGCCGCCACACCTACACCAGCAAGCACGCACGCACGCACGCACGCACGCACCCCTAAGGAGGAGAGACTCAGAAGGTGTACCAGGAAGTTGCAGTTGTCTGTAAGCCGTCAGGGTTGCCAGGTTGTCAGTGTAACAAGCTGGGCAGGGAGGCAGGAGAAGGGAGCCATGGGGGGAGCGTGATCAAAACACGGGGTAGAAAGATGAAGACGCAGGCAGGAGGCAGCTCGTTTGAGATGGTGGCAAGTCACGTGAACCCGATTCTTCTGACTCTGAACCTTCTCCCCGATTGGGCCTTCTCAGAGTCTCTTCCTGAACCTGCCATCCAGGCTCAGCTCTACTCCCCAACTGTGGTCCAGCTGGGAGACATGCACACGGACACACGTCCACACGGACACACGTCCACACACGTCCGCATGGGAGCTCTGTCCCGACCACCGCACCCCTCCCAGGCTGCTCTTTCCAGGGCCCCTGACTCCTGCGTCACTGCTCTGACCTATCCTCCAGAAGAGAGAGAGAGAGCCAGGGGCCGTTGGGGGCAGGGGTTTAACATGGCCTGACACGGCCTGAGTCTCAGAAGGAGGAGTCTTTTGGGCTGTAGGACCTGTTCCTTCTCTCTTGGTGACTTTGCCGAGAATCCTAGGAGAGGGGGCCAGGCCACCAGCTTCTATATGCTGGAACCAGCAGGATGGTGTGGCCTGTCCCCCAGGGTTTTGGAGAGAGAGCTACCATTGTATCTGTGGGGAAACTGAGAGAACAAGTCAGTCTATGACGCCCCCGATTCTAATGCCACTCGATTCCCCTGGGTGTTGAGGGGCTTTGGGGACCCAGCCTCCGCTCAGATGCACTGGTATACTGCCAGACACAGTCAGTGCATCTGATGGCAAGTGACTCTGAGGGACAGGAAAACAGGAGGCTATTAGTCAAGTGTGCGGGCATACACCTAAAATCCTAGCACTGGAGAAGAAGAGGCAGGAGGACCACCATGAGTTCAATGCAGTCTGGGTTACAAAGCATGTTCCAGTCAGGGCTCCATTGCAAGATCTGCAGCCAAACGAAAAACGAAGAAGCTGGGGTACAGCGGTGCGCTCCTGATGGCCTCGCGGATCAGGAGTTCAAGGCCATCTTCTGATACAAAGTAAATTGGAGGCTAGCCTGGGCTACACGAGACCCTGACTCAAAAAGAGGAAAAGGTAAACAAAATTCTATATAGTGCCCCCAAGGTCCATCATCCTGCCTTTCAGTGTGCCCCCAGTTTGCTTATATTCTACTGGCATAGTTCATCAGTGTCCACGCATACCACAGAGAAACCCACAGCCCCTCTACTCCCTTCCTGCCCCTGCTACTTATTCAATTAATTCTCCCATTGAATAGTCTCGTTCATGGCAAGACCCTGAGCAAGGATCTTTTTTCTTTTCCTTTCTTTCTTTCTTTCTTTCTTTCTTTCTTTCTTCCTTCCTTCCTTCCTTCCTTCCTTTCTTTCTTTCTTTCTTTCTTTCTTTCTTGTATTTGTTTATTTATTTATTTATTGGTTGTTGTTGTTGTTCTTTGAGTCAGGTCTTATATGTCCCAGGCTGGCCCCAAACTCCTTCTGTAGCCAAGGTTGACCTTGAAGTCCCGTTCCTCCTGCCTTCACCTCCTGAGTACTTACTACCACTGTAATGATGCACCATTGCACCCGGTTTATGCGATGCCAAAGATCAGACCCAGGGCTCTGTGCGCGCTAGGCAAGCTCTCCATCAGCTGAGTTGCATCCCCTGATGTGAGCAGGAACCTGCAGTGGTTTCCCTTTGCCTCAGAAGGGAGACCACACACCCCCAAGCTAGTCACACTCTCCTTCCTAGTCAGTTTACGTACTTAGTCTGTGTGTGTGTCCACGGGCATGCTCACGTGTGCCACAGCATAGGTGTGGAGGTCAGAGGACAACTTTCGAGAGTTGGATTTCTCCTTCCACCTTGTAGGACCTGGGGATTGAACTCGGGTCATTAGGCTTGGCAGCAAACCCTCTTACCAGCTGAGCCATCTCGCCAGCCCCACACCGTGACCATTCCCTCATAGGAACTTGGTTAGCCAATTTGCAGGACCTTGCTGCTTCTGCCTGCCTTGCCCTCCCCACTGTGTCCCTCTTCAGACCACACACCCAACCCGTCTTCTCCTCACAGCCTTTCCCCACACCCAGGCAGGACGTTGTCATCACTTATGTACGTGTGTTAGTTTTTGCCATATCAGGGTCACTGTGCGCATCCAGGTTTGGTCCTGCACAACTCCAGGAGGTATCTAGTCATAAAACGTCGGTGCTGGGAGTGGAGTCCTCTGCTTCCCTGTGCGTGGCCTGGAACATTGAGAAGAGAGCCAAGGATGAGCAACGGGAGGTCTCATGGCTTCTCTGCTGCCAGGCTCCCAGCATGGTTCCTGCCCACACTCACCTCTTAGCTGTTGTTGTTTGTTTGTTTGTTTCTAGACAGGGTTTCTCTGTAGCTTTGGAGGCTGTCCTGGAACTCACTCTATAGACCAGGCTGGTCTCGAACTC